GCTGACGCTGGAGCTAACCGTGCACATGGAGAACCGGGCACCTGGGGCCGCTGGGTACTGTAAACCCGTGGGTCTGCGGCGGGTTTACCTTTGAAACCTTGCTGCGACCTGAGTTGATTGTAACCTTTAGGTTAGAACGAGTTATCATAATGGCTCCTCTGGTGTCAGCCCCGTCATATAGCTTCTCATGCTGGTCGACAACATTACCATGTGTTGGTTGGGGAAAGCGATGCTGGGTTGGCACGGAGGAGGACCCGTCGACGACACCCGTCCTTGGTGGGTATCCGGTGGAACGCGGGCGTCTTGACATGACACCAGGCTCCGTCCTGTTGAACCATCAAAGCCTCGATCGTTCCTATTCAAGTAAAGAAGTAGATCAAGCCCGAACTCCTCGGAGATGTGATACTGAAAAAATTGAGATTCCCTTCTGACCAAAGCCCTTGAAACACGGAGACTCATGTAATCTCCATCTCAAAGGACAATGACAGATAGTCAAACTCACCAGTGCAAGCCCGGCGTCGACAAATTCTCAGAAGCAAAACAAGCCCGTCGTGTGGACCAACAGTTGGCACCAAGGACATTTGAGGCCCCCCTCCAAGGATGTTCAGGTTAAAGCCGTCCAGAGCTAGGGTCCCACGCTGTGGCGAACGGTAGGTCTCTGAAGCCGTTGACATGTGTGTCGTCGCAAGTTGAGGGTGCTTTGATGCTCTTGGGGTTCCCGCTTGGATCCCCTCCCCTGCCTCAGGTTCATCTCTTAGCATTAGCCTCAACTAGGGGAAGCTGCCGGAGCTGCAGCCACAGGGTCAGTCGTCACGGCGAGCGGGACGCCATTGACAAGGAGGGAAAAATGAGATCCACGACCACCGTCAAAGTGGCTGGCGGATCGCCATGACCACGGCAAGCCACCTGCAGGCCGAATTCTGACTCTTGGGACCGGCATTTGAGTCTTTGTTGGCGCGATATCCACTTGGTCGTTCTTGTGTTGCTGCGAATACGACGTAAGTGGATTGGGGGCACGAGACAGCTTGGACTGGCCGACTCTTGGACGCAGAGTGCTCCGTAGTCAACCTCTGTGGGACAGCAAAACCCGGGGTCTGGTTGTGTTGTTGACAGCTTCAGAAACAAAGCCAGGTTCGATGAAACGATTGACTCGGTTGAGATTAGTTAGAGGAACTTTAGGTGGAAGGTACGACGGGAAGAGCACGGGACACGGGACACGGGACACGGAGCGCGAGCCGGAGCACGGGCAGGAGCGAGCACGGGGCACGGAGCAGTCCTGCGTCGTGGACTTTTTGGGGGCACAGGCGTACCTGCCCAGCTAGGAAAGCACTGACTGCTCCGTAGGGCAGGTACGCTGAGATCAGAGTGCGTCTTGCGTCTTCCTGGTCCTTCCCCTCACCTGCCCTTCCTCGGGGCCGAAGAAAACTGGAAGGAGCGGAAAAGTGAGGCTGTCCCCGTGATCGTCGCTCAGGAGAGCTGTGTCCCTGCGTCAAATCGCTGCACACCTTAATTGTGAGGGTCGCTCAACATGCACAACGTTGAGCGGCACGAACCCCTTTCATTTGCTCAAAAAATCATCCAGACAAACCCTCTCGCTGCGATTTGCGGAAAGGACCCGGCTAGCACCACCAGCTCGACAAGGGTCGGGAGCCAGGGTCACTGGACAAGGATCATCGGTCGCCCAGCCCAGGGTTTTCGGGGGGTGTGGAGGTCGATTCAGATCCATCCGCCCATCCGCGCAGGTGCTAAAGCACCATCTTGTCGATTCACCATCTCGCGATCCTTGAGCCCCAGGCTTTTATTGCCAGGCGAGTACTGTAGGTAATTATCTATCCCAGGTGCTGCAACCTCATGTTGCAACAGCGGGCGGAGCCTTGACAAGGCCGCGGCCGGGAGCTGGAGGGTCCGAGCCAAGGCTTACACTCTTACTTTTGGGTTGCGGTCTGGTGTACACAATCTTTTATGCTTGTGGTATGTTGTTCGTTGGCTGTCTACCTATCATTTGCAGACTTTGATGTGTCGTGATGTTCTGTGCTGATTCTAGCGCCTAGGTACCGTCATGTCATCCCTGACAACCATGATGAAGAGATCACCATCAGCGGATATCCTTTTCCGCAACAGTGATTCGCCCTAGGACCCGATAAATATGCAGCGACGTTGGACGTTCTTTCGACACTTGCTACAACAGGGAAATTTTATCAATTTCTGGTGAGACTACCGTACCGGACCCCAGCCACGCCTAGGACATTTCTACAATGGATGACCACCACGCCCACCACACCTGAGCACAAAGTGGTCTAGGCCACCATTGCCCGGAGGTGTCTTCTTGATCCTTCCATGGGACCCCCTCGGGAGACATCGAGGCTGGACGCCACGCATTGCAGTTTTGCCTCCCGGCGGCTCCAGAAGGCCGACGGGCCACACAGTGAAAGCATGCAGCGTAGCGTGATGCACTACACTACCAAGGAGGAATGCCGAGCCTTCTGGTGTTTTTCCGTGGAAAGAGTTTTTCTTTTCCACTTCTCGAGCGTCGTCTCGGACGGGATGCCTTTCCAGATCTGACCTAGGACGCCACCAGATTCGAGGTACTGAACTGTAACGATGGATGCTATGCTCTCTCGGCACGGAGCCGGGCGTGTGTATGCGTTCCACAAGTCATGTCGGCTGTGCCATGGATGTACTGTGCTTGCTGTAAGGGCGACGACGATGAGCCCCTATAGCCCGGGCACTGGAATTCCATTCCAACCATCGAGCCATGATGGAATCATGCCACTGACTGAGGCTTCGATCCAGAAGCAATGCCCCGCAGTATTGTCTTGGAGAGAAAGTGGCTACTGGCTACCGACCAACCGACCGACGAGTCTGTCAGGTCGGACTTTGGATGTGTGTCTGTGTCTGCAGAGGAAGTTCGATGAAGCCGTGCATCTCTGGGCGTGGGATGGCGTGCGGGCGTGTGCCAGTGAGCAAGGGCGTGGGCGTGGACCTAAGGCGTGGAGGGCATCTCTAATGTGGGTTGTGGATGGGATGCGGGTGCTAGAGGGCTGTCGGTGCTTTGCTTGCTTGCTTTCTTGCTTGCTTGCTGCTTGCTTGGATGCTTCCATGGATGGACGCTTGCTGGCCCGGAGGCTTGCAAAATAGTGGGTGTGGGTGGACTCTCGACTTGGAACTGGAGGCTCCTCGATTGGATCCCATGCTCCCATCTCCCCCATCTCCATGCCCCCATCCCCAACCCTGATCCTGTCGATATCGCCTTTGGTCGCCTTTTTGTTTCCGTGCAGCTCCAGGCGAGGAGAAAAGTCCTGCTTTTTCATGGCTCTGACCAACAAGCGGTCTTGATTTTCCTTCTCCTCCCCTTCTCTTCTCTTCCATTACCCCTCTACTCTACCTAATCGAACAAGTCATTCTCCGTTTTTGACTCTGTTCACCCTATCCCGTCGATTGTATTTCCAGTCTCTTGGGTCTCGAGACGTCTCTGTCTGCTGGGAGCCGGCCGGTGTCTCTCTTCCCCTCCCCCAAGTTCTTCTGGGCCGCTTCTGTCCGCCACAAACTGCTCGACATTCCCGACGACTGTCTCATCGTCTACGCTCCGTTACCGTCATTGGATTGCACACTGTCTGGCTGTTTGGTGCAAGTCTCACTCTTCCCTCTTAATTCTCAGCCCTCTTTTACCGCCACTCGCCAATCTTCACCGGCTCTCGAAAAGCTGGTTCCCCGCCTGTTCCCGTCTTTTCCAGCGAACCTTTACCTGACCACCAGCGATCCTTCCACTCAACTGCAAGGGCTTCTTTCTCTCCCGTGCAGTGTCTTCAAGTTCACACCCCGAAAAGCCAAAAGCCTCTTTTCCAAGCCTCGTTGGACCTCGACCGGCTTCACCGAGCTTGTCACTAGAACAGAACTGCCACGGCCTGTCTCTCCGTTCCTTGTTCCTCGCTGTTTCCGTCATTGTCGCCGCCATCGCTCTCTCTGGCGTTCTTCGCTTGCGACGCCGAGAATCGCATTGCACTGTACCGTGGTCTTTCGGACGAGTCCTCTGGTCCGAACCATCGTGTGCCGCTAAGACCAAGTCAGCGACAATCTCGCCTCCTCTCCCCGCCTTCTAGAAGGACGACAGCCCTGAAGGCCCCTATGCGCGGCTGATCACAGCACCACCCGAGCCAGGGTGCCCGCCTAACCTAACCTTAGCGACCGACCTGACCTCCCTGAGCTTGTGCTTGTGCTCGCTCAAGTTGCTTGCTTGCTTGCTTGCCCGCCCGCCGGCGCCAGTGGAGTGCTCCAGTCCAGCTTGTGCCAGCCCGCTCGCGCCAGCGCCAGCCAAGCTCTGAACGAGGTACTCCGTCTGTCGACTGCGAATCGCGCCCGCCGTCTTTCTACCTGCCTCTCTCTCTCCGTCATCCTATCCTCCCGCAACGGCCAGCTCCCTCCTCTCCTGTCGCTTCACCCCCCCTCGCGACAGCTGCGCCTGCGCAATCCCTCCCTCCACGTCGCCGGCAATCGTTTGTCCGGCTTCGAGACGATACATCATCATCCCACCTGCGTCTGCGCCCAGGGAATGAGGTAAGTGTCCATCATACAGTACGCGCCCATCCATCCATCTATCGATCGCATCTTTCCTCCTCCACCTTTTTCCAACCGGCTCCGATCCCGACTCCGCTCTCCCACCCAACGTCGCCGTCGTCCGTCGCCTGTCAACCCGGCGTCCCTTCGGGTCTGGTCCACCGTCTTGCATCTGCGTGCGATTCTGTCTGCCGGCCTTTCTCTCCCTATCCCGTGTCGCCGTCGTCGTCTCAAAGTTTAGCCGCTGCACGCCCGCTTCCCACACCCCCATCGGCTTCGAGCCCACCCTCCTACATCTACTACGTCCTTCATCTTCCCCGTTTCCTCCCGCCCTCCCCGTCCGTCTCTCTTACACCATCCGTTCGCTTCCTCGACGTCGCCGCCGCTGGCCTTGTCTCGTCGTCGTCGCTCCTCCAACTGGCACATCCCATCGACTGACCTTCATCATGGCTACAGCGCACATGGCCGTCAGAACTGAGACCTTCCCGCGTTCGACCTCCATCTCCCACGGCGAGTCAATGGGCGCTCGCGTTATTCCCATACCTACTCCCACGATCAAGATGTCTCCCCCGAGTACCGGCGATCCCATGGAGATAACCTCTCCGGCGCCGTCATCCGCCAACCATAACTCCGACTCGGATGCCAATGGCAAATCCAACGACCGACCCAAGAACTCTCCCGCTCCAGAATCGAACAACGTCTCCAACAACTCCAACAGCATGCCTGCTCCCCCGCCGGCTGCGGCTGCCGTGCACCAGCCCAAGATCGTGCAGACTGCCTTTATCCACAAGCTCTACAAGTGAGACCGCGCTCTCCCTAGGTTGCTGCTGTGCAACTTGCTAACTGTGCGCCAGCATGTTGGAGGATCCAAATATTCAGCATTTGATATCATGGTCTGCAAGCGCAGAGAGCTTCGTCATGTCGCCCTCTGCCGACTTTTCGAAAGTCCTATCGTACGTCAAGACAGGGTCTTCGAGCCAGGTTGCTGTGCTTGATGCTGACTGTGCCTCAGACAATATTTTAAACACACCAACATTTCATCGTTCGTACGACAGCTGAATATGTACGGTTTTCATAAGGGTAGGTGCAAAAGTCAACTTTTAGCGTGCGTCGACCCATCTAACCGCCATGCAGAGAGGGACGTATTTCACACTGGTAACCCGGACACAACGCTCTGGGAATTCAAGCATGGCAATGGAAATTTTAAGCGAGGCGATCTTGTTGGCCTCCGTGAGATCAAGCGAAGAGCGAGTCGACACGCCCTTGTTCATCGAGAGAGCAACTACAGCAAAGCAGCGCCCTCACAACCAGGCACACCAGCAGAGCCTGTTCCTCTTCCGCAAGACGGCCCCGATGCGCGAATGCTCAACATTGAGCATTCTCTTTACGACCTGAGCGCTCGTCTACAGAGAAGTGAGGAGGCAGCTCACTACATGCATGTCAAGAACCAGGCCGCGATGGAGACAGTGAACCGACTCCTCCACTTCAACCAGGAGCTATCGAGGACCATGCTCTCGATTGTCCCTGCTGATAGCCCTGTTTCTCGTGATGGTTTGTACCCGGCGCACATTCTGTTTGTCAACTCGACTAACTTTGGCAGTGATCGCATTGCAGGGCGAAATTCAAAGACAGGCTGATATGCTCAGAACAATTGACGAGCCTCCACAGGAGCCCCCATACGTTGGTCGACAGCAGTACTTCGCGGCTGTGGAGAATGCCCCAGTATCTCCCAGACAGCTCGCCCAGGACGATCAGAGACGAGGCCCCAACCTAGCGGTTCCCCAAGCGCGTGGTCAGAATTTTTATCGACCACCTGTTCCCTCCAACCTGTCGGTCAGCACTCGAAGGCCATATGGATCGATCAGCGGAAGCAGCACCACTCAGTCGTCCCCCCTGCGGACAGTCCCCCCTCCTCCGCCTCCGGCTCCCCATCCTCTCTCAAACGTCGAAACCGCTCCCGGTCCCGGTAGTCTTGCGCGTCGACATACCGCCGCCGATATCCGTGCCCATGGCTGGCAGCCGACACCGTCACCCTTTGGCGCCGGCGCTCCGGCATCCAACTGGCCACCCTCCCCCAGCCGTGTAGCTCCCGAAGACCAGCGCATCAGGGATTCACTATCGACCTATTCGCTCCAGGCGGCGTCGCAGCCCCATTCTCAGTCTCGGCCGACAACGCCCCCTGGTCCATTCGCAAACGGTGGTGGTGCCGCGGCAGATACGTTCGGAAGCTGGTCATGGAACTCGGCTGGTCGCGAGAATAAGAACCTCGCCATCAAGGACCACTCAGCTCCGCCAACTAGGAGGGGGAGCATGGCGCACATCCTGAACCCGAGCGACACAGCCGAGAGGTCAGATGAGGATGAAGACCCTCGAGGCGATGACGACAGAAAGCGAAAACGAATGCAGTAGATTACTGCCTGCACAGGATTGAAGTTTTTCAGATCTTGATCAGATTGTTTTTGCAAATTTTCATGCGTGCCAGGATTATACACGACTTTATTTCTCTCCTGGACGCGTATTCATATCTTTCTATCTATACACATACCTTGGATTCGGAGCTCTTTTTCTGGGATACATCGTCCACGGTTTGGACACATTGGGGATCTCGAGGGCGAGAGGTGCCTGCTTTGGAGTACAGGGACTGGATGGGCTAGAGGATTGGTCTTGGGAGGCTTTCTCGATTACCAGTGCGAAGCATGACAGCAGCAGCAGCAGCAGCAGCAGCCCATGGGCAGGCGCTTTTGTTTTTCTCCCATGGAGTTCTGGCACCCTCGTCTTCACGAGGAGTGTGTTTATTGTTGTAGGCTTGGGAAAGAAGGCGGGTGCATTCATATTGGGAGAGTGAGTGGTGTGTCGGTGGGTGGCATGGAGGGATGGCGGGCATGGCAGTTGGATGCCCCTGAAGGAAAGGGGCTATATCATCATCATTCATGGAATCTCATCATGACATGGAAGGGGAGTCGAATGCCTTTTTTTTTCTTTTTATTGGACATGATGCTGCATGAGGGAGGGCGTGAGGATATGGCGTGGAGTTGGGCTGGCCACTTGCTCCGAGGGGGAGAGTCTTTGCTTGCTTTACGCTGCGTATAGACTGTGTGTTGTCAGAATACTATTGCGTATTTCTAGGGCCATCTCTTTGGTTCAATGAATATGTTTTTAATGATGGGTATCTTGATTACTATGCCTCGTACATGTCTACTTCTCTTCTGCGTTCTTGACCTTGAGCTTCTTCTTCTTGTTCTTCTTCTTGCGCTTCTTTGCACCTTGATCGCTTGGTGTCACTGCTTGCGCCTCATCCTTGGCTTCACTGTCTTTCATGCTAACGTCGCCATCGACCTCGACACTCTTCTCCTCAACGCCTTCTTTCCCAGGTTCTTGCTCAGGTTTAGGTTCAGGTTCAACCTCTCTTCTTGGCCTCTTCCTCTTCCCCAGCGCACTCCTCCCAACATCATCCTCACTCTCGCTCTCCTCCACCTTTCCCTTCTTAACAACCTTTCCATCCCTCCCCAACCTCCCTCTCAACATCCTCTCCTCCTTTGAATTTCCAAGTTTCTGCGCATCCTTCTTATCCGGGACGTATCCCACGCCTTCATTCGGTCGCGAGCCGCGCACGAGATCGTCGTCGTTGTCGTTTTCTGGTATGGTAGTGCGGCGCTTGGTTGTGGGAGCGGTTGGTTTGCTGAGGTTCATGGTCTTTAGGACAGAGGATTGGGAGGCGAGGAGGAGGGATATCCGGTTTGATAGGGCGGCGCGGTTTGCGGCTAGGGGAAGGGGAGGTGCTGGGTCGGGAGCCATTGTTTTGTGTTTGGCGATTTGATGCGCAGGAAGAGACTTTTGAGTGGGCTGAGATAAGCTCAAGAATATCGCTGGCTTTCGATTGTGTAGTAGTAGAGGGAGAAAGATAGCGATGGCGCCTCAATTGACCTTGGGGATGTCTCGCTGTCGCAAGTCAACAATGGCGATGTTGATTTTTGGTGGAGATGCTTTTGCGACAACGGAAGAATTTCACATGCAAGAGAGCGGGTGCTTATCTTATCGATGACTGCTGGGTAAGGTGACACGGATGGGGCTCAAAACATGGGTCTAGTTCAGTTGCAACACCAGGCAGGATATAGAGACATGATTGATCGATTTACCAAGTATATACCAAGGAATACATTATAATTAAGAAGAAATCTAGCGCGCGTAGTTTGGTCTATCTCATGCGCCCATCTTGTAGTCATAACTTCATAAACGTGAAAAAAGACAGCAAACGCTGCCATGCTGTGCTGTGCTCCGTCTCCCCTTTTTCGCTTTTTTGCACAATAAATCAAGTCGTTAATAACTGCCCGCCGTGTCTCTTAGAGTGAGAACGTATGGAAGGTCTGTAGAGTCGCGTCGTGTAGCTAGGCGGATCACCGAACCACCTGAGCTATTCGACGACTTTGATCGGAGGCTTGAAGTTGATGGTTGGCTCAGGGGGTAGTGACGCCGACTCATAGCAAGGCTGTTGCTGCTGGACTTTCGTGATATAGGTCCTGGCCCTGAGATTCCGCTCCTCATGCTGTTGGGGGCGGTGCGATAGACGTTCCAAGTATTCGTGGATGGTTGCCGTCTGGCTCGTCGGGTTGAGCTACTAATGCTTGCCACCTCTGAAGCAGTCAAGTTGCTGCGAGGAGTGCCAGGATCTGAAGCCATATCGTCGCCACCGGCACTAGATGGGGAAGAAGTATCCTCATCCTCCTCTTGGCCGCCGTCGAGAATATCCGGGTCAAAAGGCTCCATCCCGCGAAGGATCTCGGCAAAGAGGTGCATGAGCTCCTTAAACTGAGCATTGGAGATGGGTCTAGTAGAGAAGCGTGCGTATTCGTAATGTGTGAGAAATTTGGTAGTGTTGGCGTCCATCTCGAGTACCCCTAGTTCCGCAAGATGCACCATGTAGTCGCGTAGGCTCATGTTTGCTGTCCGCTGTAGGAGCGCAACTGCATCTGCGTCGAGTAAGGGTGGGTTCGCCTGAGATGTCGGGTCGGGAGGAGCCAAGGTGAGCGCCTTTCCTTCGATGAGATTTGGGAGCTCCGAGAAGACGGTCGTGTATTCCAGGTTTGGCAAGTCAGGCGCGTTTGGTGATGCCCAGCCATAGTGCTCAATATCTCCCCAGACAGGTCGTCGACGAGGAATTGTAACCACCAGCTCCTCCGCAGGTCCTGAAGGTCCATCAAATCCTAGCTTCACCCTCGTCTCGACAGTTTCGTCGTCGGGGATGTCGTCGGTCTGAAGTCGGGGTCGAGATTCAAATGTGATCGAAGCGCTGCGACCAAGACCCAGATGAACCACTTTGTAAACGGCGGAGCGAAGGTCGCCCTTCTCTATCGGAACCCATCCCTTCGGTATCGAGTCCAACTCGGTTTTATTGATGTAGAGGCGGGTGAAGAAGACAAAGGTGACGACGACGATGGTGAGGACGTATGCGGCGATGAGGATCCAGATGTTGTAGAGCTGGCGATTCCTGAAAGAGTGCTGGATAGCATCGACGGGAGTAGCTATCAGCAGGCCGAGGAGTATGACATAGAGAAGAAAGTAGAGGGTGCGATATATGATGGAGGCCACAAGGCGTCGGTGAGATTGGGGAGACGCCATGGTCCATGGGACGAGTAAACGGGAGAGTCGACGAAGGGGAACCCTATGACAGGGAAAATGACTCCAAGAAGTGAAGAGGTAAAGGAGAGGACATGGCTAATGTGATTGAGAGGCCATGAAGCGGTGTCACGGTCAGACAGTGGCTTAACGTGGAGGCTGGGTGAATCGCATGTCGACGCGCGGGCGAAAAGGCGGACGGATTAAAGTCGTCCAATGTCAAGAGGTTGGGGGGGGGGGGGGGGGAATTTTAGTAGATGCCAAATTTGGCAGGACCCTGGAATACAGTGTTGCTAACCGAAATAACGGTGCACGTGCACGGTCTACCCCATCCTCATCCTTTCATCCCAGGCATGGGCACGTGTACAATTCATCAACTTCAATATGAGTGAATCAATTACAATGACTTCAGTCTTTCTTACAGTGTTACAATGGTATCATGATACATTATTCCCATCTCGTCCTGCCATGCATGCCTTGCCCTTCTCTTATTTGTACATTCATTTTCTATCACCGAACCTCGGCCATCTCGTCCTTCTTCGCCGCCGCCTCCTTAGCTAGTCGTACATCAGACAATGTCAACCTCAGGTCGTTGCTGTAAGGCTCAAACTTGGCCACCACCTCTCCCAGTCCCGTCTTGAGAGCATTCACCACCTTGTCCACCTCGGGACTCTCCCTCTTGCTCTTTATATCCGTCCAGTGGATGGGGAACTTGAGTCGGAAGTCCTCAAGCTTCTTGATCACTGAAGTCAACGTTCGGATGATGCTTCGGACATCCCTGTGAACATTGCCAAACTGATCCTCTGCCAAGCTGTGCACTGAGAGTTGGCAGAGCACGTGGATAGCGTTGATGCATAGTGTAGGTTCCGCATAGGGTGTGCCGAGAACCGCAGCAGCAAACTGCGTCCGGAAGTCAATCTTGAACAAGGCAGCGATAGCATCCACTTCCATCAATTTGAGCACCCGCTGCTCAAAGTTACCCTTGATGTGCTCCGGAGCAATGAGCTCCTGCTGCTCCTTGGTCAAGACACGATCCTTTGCCTCCTTCCACGTCTTCTTTGCAATCGGGCTCAGCTTTGAGGCGGGAGAAGAGCCTGGTGATTGAGCGATCTGGCTTAATCGTTTCTCGACTTCAGTCCGTACTGCGCTCGGTGCAGGCTTGTTGTTGAAGATGGGGTCGTCCTTAAGGGGAGCGGACACGCGCTGCTTGGGCTCTGTAGCTGGCTTGGCGGGAGGCGGCGCGGGGGCCTTTCCGTACTCGTCAATACGTGTCTCGATAGACTTGACAACCTCCATGCAGATTGCATAGACCTGCGACCACATAGGTCCATCCTGGCGGTCAATGTCCTCGTAGATGGCCTTTCGACGGGCCTCAAATCCTCCAGCAATGTAGGCGAGCTCCCACATGGCAAATGCCTACTTCGTGTTAGATGCATCATTGGAATCGCAATCACTCAACTCACCTTGATAGACAGCTTCTTGCTCTTGAGTCCATTCAGAAGACTTCCATTGGGATCCTTGGACTCGGACGTGAGAGGGTTACCATTCTTGAGCGGTTCCTTCACCATGAATGTCGAGAATGCAAAGTTTCCCATGTGCCAGATGAAATGAATGAGAGAACCAGTCTGCAGGCAGCGACCGAGAAGGAAGAGATCGCTGGGCCAAGTGGGCGGTAGCATATTCGTCTTGGGCAGGTTGTAGAAGATGCGCAGGAACATGAGCGCCCAGCCCCAAGCAAACGATCGGAGGACAGAATAGTAGAGGAAGAACGCCACGGGTAGCGCGCTTAATGCGCCGGCAAACGAGTCGGCGAAGATGCGTGGAATCTCCTGGATCACCACCTTCAACGAGTCGGATGGGCGTTCGCCATTGCTCTTCGATAAACCCAGCACCAGTCCATCGGTATCCTTTCTGTAGTGGTTAAAGGTTTGCGTGATGGCGCAGGATGCCAGATAGGCCATCAAGAATAGCGGCTTCTCGTTGAGTCTGGCGCGGTCTCCGCTGAAATATGTGATCCACGACAGGTTCGCGCTGGCGGGGACGGCCCAGAGGAAAACATTGCAGAAAAGCAAGCTCGAGAAGCCATACCAAAATAGGGTCTCGTATGTCTCAAGTCGAAGGAGGGTGGTGCGCAGAGTCTGGAAGCCGGAACCGGTGGTTCGCAGACCAACGTGGTAGTTGGCGATTCGGAGGACGAGGATCGCGAGGCCACAGGTGAAAAGAAAGGCGGTTCGTACACCAGCAGGTCCAAGAGGGAACCAGCCCCAGAGATCTACAATCAGTCGATTAGCGAGACACAGATAGAAGCTCGAGAGCTCAACTCACAAGAGCTCCAGCTGTCCAACAACAGAGCCTGGAAGTAGGACACAACAAGCAGAACAGTCGCCGTTGAAGAGAATCGTCTATGCAGGGCGGGTTGGAGGAAATCCTTGTAAGGCGCTTTTCTAACCGTGGTGGCCGCCATCTTCGCAGCGCATCGCCGGGGGCAGAAAGAGAGCTCGGGGGATGTTTTGCGAGGTTGTCGAAGATGCTTGAGTTGCGCTACCTGGAATAAGCCCAAGTAAATAAAAATATCCAGGCCAGCAACGGACGCCAGGTCCAGGTCCGAGCTGGCATTATCATCACGTGCAGATAGCGAGGCAGGTCCAGCCCCGCTCTGGTTGGTTGGATGATCCGCCTGCCCAATTACGTATGTTGCAGCTGGAACTGAGCCACCCTCGGCAAGGCAGCAGGTGACTTGATTTGACGAAGCAACGGAAACGGCGAACTTGTTTGCGCATTCAGAATCTCGTCTTTTTTATCTTTGAATCGATCCATTCCTTCAAGCGTGAAATCGGGACGGCCAGAATTCACAGCCATGTCGTTTGATCTCGAGTCCGGCCGGGGCGGCGGCTACACCGACGACCCTGCCTTCAAGGAACTTCAATACAATCTCAAGAGCAAGCTACAGGCGCTTCTCAACAGCAACCGAAAGCTCGCCAACGATGTCAACGTTCTGGGCACCAAGAAAGATACTCCGCGCCTGCGGGAGCGGGTTCACAACAGCATGGAGAAGACGAGGGAGATGTGCCGCGAGATTGGCGAGGGCGTCAAGAGACTTCAGACCTGGGATGACCTGACAGTGCGTATCGCAAACTGACCTTTGTGTGGTCGCATGCTAACCCCTCACTAGAAGCAACAAAAGTACGAGCAGACAAAGGTCTCGAGCGATTTCCAGGCCGCCCTCCAAGAGTTCCAGGGCCTGCAGCGACGAGCCCTCGAGAAGGAGCGCGCATCCGTTACCGCCGCCCGCGCCGCGCAAGAGGCCGAGCCCGGCCAACCCGGTGCGCCATCCGATACCCAGCTGGAGCAACTACAGCAACAGCAGCAGATTTCGCAACTTGCGCAGCAGGACGAGGTCGACTTCCAGGAGGCCCTTATCATTGAGCGCGAGGAGGAGATCCGCAATATCGAGCAGGGTGTCGGCGACTTGAACGTGCTCTTCCGACAGGTCGCGCAGATCGTCGATGAGCAGGGCGAGCAGCTTGGATCCATTGCGGATAACGTGGAGAATATCCGCGACGACACGCGACAGGCTGACGTCGAGAATCGACAAGCCGCGCGTTATCAGAAGGCGGCTCGCAACAAGAGCTGCTGCCTGCTGCTGATCCTGGCAGTTATCATGACGATTGTTATTCTGGCCATTGTCCTTGATTAGATATTAGAGCTCAGCGTGCGATTCTTATGGGTGGCTCTCGTTATCTTGACGGCGTCTATCGGAGTTTTCTAGGGATACACAATTTTTAAGAGTATAGTACATGTTTTTAGGTACACAAGAGGGATTAATCAAGATGCTTTTTATGCTTTCAACTAAATAATCAAGAAGGTGGTTGTTTCGGACCCCTTAGGAACGGTAAACTTGCTTGCTTGGGCATCTCAGATTTGAGCTTCGGCTCCTTTCTCGGGACCAGACGATTTAGGATTATCTCATTGATGCCTGTGAGGGCAAATGAAGAACCCCAGTAGATGAAGATGGCGCTCGGGAGATCCGCAAAGAGGAGCGGAAAGGTTGGCATCAGAAGCAACATCCTGCCCAGAAGCTTCTGTATTCTTGGCATTGTGTCGACCTTTTTGCTGTCCGGCAGATTTATGGTCAACAGGGATTGCAGATGCTCTTTGGACATCTTGCCCCAAGTGTTCCATACCAAGATGCCCGAGCAAATGATGGGGAGCCCAAAGTAGGGATCCATGCTGCTGAGGTCGTTGAACCAGAGGCAGCCCCCGTTGACCAATGACTCGTCAAACATGCTGCTCGCAGCACCTAGACCTGCAGTCGCCGAGTCCGGATTGCCCAACCCGACCGAGTTGCTGATCCAGCCCACCGGCGCACCGCACTTCCTCCGTAGTGCCTCGGAGATGGTGAGAAAGGGGACGATGCTGATCATTGGTGCCATTCCCTTCCACCGTTGGGTGCCCCAGTTCTTGTAGATTCTGCGCCGTGACTTTTCAACCAGGCCTGCGGTGCGGACGCGCTGAACGGGTTCAGGGACGTGCCTTTGCTCTTGCATGATAGTCTTGGTATGGCGAGCCGCCCAGGCCATGAGCAAAGGTTGCAGTTCAGCCCTCCTCTGCCGGAGGCGGGCCGTGTAGAGTTGGAGAGGGAAACGAAGTGTGGCGTTGACGCCGATGGCCAGCAGTGGAATGGCGACATACCACGGCATGCCGGCGTTGACGTGGATCCAGCTGAAGGCATCAGCAGTCATGCGAATGGTGTCGCCAACCGTAGACGCAAGGTGAAAGCTCCTGCGGCCGGCGCATGGTGTTGAGGCCTGACGTCGAGTGGTACTGATTGGGAGAAAAGGTCTGGCGTGAGGTGATAGGACATGCGCTGTCCGTTTAAAGAGTGACATTTTCAATCATTCCCGCGTAGTGGCGAGAGCAATTGAGTCCCTGGACGCAGAATTGGAGTAGTTTCTTGGTGAATGAGATGTTGCATGAGATGAGGCTTGACCTTTAGAGGTTGCAGAGGTTGTGGCGCACAGCCAATCAGAGAGAACCTGGTCATCAGACAGTCTGTAAAACTGGGGCGGGAGAGTTGAAGTCTTCAAAGCCGACGAAACTGGTCTTGATCACATTTCTACAAAAGATTTGTCACACATGATTGATTTTATTGTGTGGTAATATGTTAGAGCGTGGGATAAGTTTTTGTTGAAAATATCGAGCTTGGTTTGAGTTCTAAACTGATCGAAACGCTCCGGTCTTGGATTGTGCTCGAGTGACACATGCAATCTCCTTTACTCTGCCTGTCGTTTGCCCGTACTTGTAAAAAGCTTAGGATGATAGGCGCTTATTACGGTATGAAGACAAATAGTCAGGCAACCTGTAAGCCTATTGTGACTTTCGGTGGCCTTGTTGCTATTGCTAGCTCGTCGAGTTGTAGAACATCCACTTAGAGAGAAGAGACAACTAAGACAGGAGGAGCCTGTGCTAAAGGTTACCCATTTGAAGTGCTCATGGAACTTGGACCTCAAGTCTGTTGCGTGGAGGTTGCGCACAGGCACGATTATCGTAGTATTGCGGTCTATGATAAACAGCTTCTGGGCCCAAAAAAAGTCAAGTGCGACGAGATATCATCGTTCCCAGTCTCAGATCACACCCTGTGCTTTGGAGGAAGTTCGACGAGTTAGCGATGGGCTATCAGCACATTGTGCAAAAGAGAAGAGAGACTGGTTGACTCCCGCTCTATTGTGATGTTGTCGATTATAAGAGAAGAACTCCTACCCTTATGATCAGTGTCATCAATCACTTGAGATACATTCACATGCTCACATGACTCGAGAATACATCCTTCAACGTCGCATCGCCATCCGTTCCGATCTTCCCTTTTACCCCGTGGTCAACGGCGAGCACTGACACCCGGGCGTTCCCACACCGCTAGACTCCGCCCGTGACCAGGGTCAGGAGCCTCATAGCGGGGGCTTGCCCATCTTCAGCGCTCAATACCCCTGTAGCTCATCCAGCTGCAGCGGGCAAGCTACCTGGAGCTAGGCTAGAGCTTTCCCCTCCGCCACGGAGGCTATTATTTTTGGTGCGACGTCACCCCATCGTTCCCCTTTGTCGTGGCTTCTTCATGGTGTTTCCTTGCTGCAGGACTTGTCAACGTCTCCAGCCTTCGCACTCTCGATATTTTACGACATCATCGATAGCTATAACCGACCACTGCTACGGAACATCGACTATCCCGAATGTCCGACGACTCGTTTGCGGCGCCCGCGGACAGCCCGCCTATTCCATCGCCCCCCGATAGCTCCTCCAAGATGTCGGTTGTCTCGGGGTGGGTGACCTTGTTCCTCTTGATCGCCATACCTTTGCTTGGCAATGCATTACGAAGCTTTCTCGGATGGACACTACGAAAGCGAACAGAGGGTCGTCGTGCACACCTCCTGGCGCTCATGACGGAGGAGGACAAGGCAGCCCGTGCGAACGATCCCCAAGGCAGCTCCGAAACGAAGCTCGTATTCGACGTCGACGATGACCTCAAGATTACACTAGACAAGCAGAAGGACTGGGACGGTGTTGTTGGCTTCTTTCATCCTTTTTGGTAGGTTTATATCTGGAGGGAGAGTCTGGGCTTGGCTAATGCTGCGCAAGCAATGCCGGAGGCGGCGGGGAGCGAGTCTTGTGGGCTGCTATTCGAGCGACGCAAGATCGATGGCCAAACGCAAAGTGTGTCGTCTACACTGGTGATCACGAAGTTACAAAGGATGCTATTCTGTCTCGGGTTAAGGTGAGCAAGCTCTCGAGTTTGAGGTGAGACGTGCTTACACGGTGACAGCATAGGTTCAACATTGAGCTTCATGCTCCTACCATTACCTTCCTCTACCTTTCCAAGAGAGACTGGGTGCTCGCCTCTTCGTGGCCACATTTTACTCTCCTGGGTCAGTCCATTGGTTCCATAATACTCGCCTGGGACGCCTTCTCGCTGCTTGTCCCCGACGTTTTTGTCGACACCATGGGCTACGCATTTGCTCTCGGCCTTTGCAAGTTTCTCTTCCCCAAGGTTTCTACAGGAGCGTACGTGCACTATCCAACAATCTCGACCGATATGCTCGAGTCTCTGGACCCCAATTCGGCCGTGGGAACACAAGGCGTCAACGCTGGTAAAGGTGTTGGAGCGCAGGGTGTTGCGAAAAAGACTTACTGGCAGCTATTTGCCGTGCTCTATTCATGGGTCGGCTCGACAGTGGACATCGTAATGACCAACTCGACGTGGACTCAAGGGCACATTCAGAGTCTATGGGGCCCATACCGCACAGGAAAGAGTAAGAAGGATCCGATCGTGGTGGTCTACCCCCCTACTGCCGTACGAGAGATGGAACAAGAAGTCGAGGTGTCAGAGGAGAGTGAGAAGCGACGAGAAAAGGCCATCGTTTACCTGGCACAGTTCCGACCCGAGAAGAATCACCAGCTTATTATGCAGTCCTTTGCCACATTCCTCAAGAGAAAGAGCGAAGCATCCAAGGGTGCGCGTCTGATCCTCATTGGAAGCGTAAGAGACGACCACGACTCGAAGCGTGTGTATCAGCTGCGCATCCTTGCCAACGAGCTGGGCATCAAAGACAGCGTCGAGTTTCATCTTGACGCCTCGTGGTCAGAGATCCTCGAGTGGCTGCGGAAGGCTTACATTGGCGTTAACGGCATGTGGAACGAGCACTTTGGTATTGGAGTCGTGGAGTATCAGGCTGCTGGGCTTATTTCTGTCGTTCACGATAGTGCTGGGCCCAAGTTTGATATCGTCGTGCCAATCGACGGCGAACCAACTGGTAAGCAGCTCAACTTGTGGCATATTGGGTTGACAACTAACTTTCGCAGGCTTCCACGCTACGACAGAAGAGGAGTTTGCGGATGGTTACGAAAAGGCCCTGTCGCTGCCAGACCCATTGGCAGTCCGCCTCAGGGCACGCGAGTCGGCAAAGAGGTTCACCGAAGAGGAGTTTGCCAAGAAATGGACGGTTCAGATGGCGCGGTTGGTGACGCTTTCGAGGTAGAGCGTGAGGCGAAAGTAAAGTTGCGTGATAGACCAAAGGATACCCCCTTTTTACAAACAGTTTACTACTGGAAGTCGTACATAGAGTAGAGAATACAGCGCGGAGCTGACAGCGAATGCTTGTGAGATGCAACCCCAAATCATGGCCAAACAGATGCTACGTGGATGAGTCTACCTATTGATTTACAATGTAAAGCCTCCGCTATTCTTCTGCCTCGACTCGGCTGCAACATCAAATACACCGTCACTGTCCCTCGTCAATGCCTGCACTGCGCTCAACCCCTCCTCGACCCAGGTAATGTTGTGCCCCTTGGCCCTCAGCCCGGGCACTTCCCAGCGGCTGAACCTGTTTTCAAGGAGGAGCTGGTTGGGCAGCAACTGGTTGTGCATCCTGGGCTCGCGCACAGCGTCTTTGACGCTCCACGATGGTGAGGTGAGGATGCGCCAGGCGACCTGAGTCGTCGACGAGATGATGCGGGAACCGCCAGCGGCTCCGAGAACAGCTACTAGGGTACCGTCTTTGAGGGAGACGATTATGGGGGTGCATGAAGATAAGGGGCGCTTGTTTGGGCGGATAAAGTTCTCCTCAGCCGGGGCAAAGCCAAACTCGTTGGGAACACCGGGAATAGAAAAGTCGTTCATCTCGTTGTTTCTAGTAGGTGAGTTTGGGGAACTTGGGAGTAATATCTAGGGAAGACTTACAGGATGACGCCGGTGAGGTTATCCATGAGAAGCGATCCAAAGATGAGGTTGACGGTCGTGGTCAGGGAGACAGCCATGCCGTCCACATCTGCCGTGACAATGTGAGAGGTTCCATGGCCGTTAGACGAGTAGATCCTCGAGGGGTCATATTTCTCAATGTCTTGTGTAGTCAAGGGGTCGATACGGCTGCGAATCTTTTCAGCCGTCGTTGCGTTGAGCATCTCTTCCTCAAAATTGGGCACATCGTCAACAAAGTCGGGATCTCCTAACCGCAGCCGAGCCCCGTACGCAAACTTCATGGCCTCGATGTATCTGTGTAGTGTAAGATTGCCATCCTGACTCTGATCGTCGTATCCGTCCATGGTGTTTAGGATGTTGAGAGAGACGGCGCCGCCAGCAGGGGAGCTGATGCCGTAGACGTCGTAACCTTTGTACTCGGTGTGCAGGACCTTTCGAGAGATGACCCTGTAGTTTGCGAGGTCCTCGAGTGTCATTGTGCCGTTGGATTCTTGAATGGTCTTGATCATGCTCTCGGCTGGGGTGTGTTAGGAGTGTATCATGTCTGGAGCTTAGGGGCTTACCGATGGGGCCGGTGTAAAAGGCTTCAGAGCCACGATCGGCAATGGCCTGAAGAGTGCTAAATATGTTAGCAGAGATACAAGCATTTGTAGGCTTTCCACTCACCGTGCATATCGAGGTCTTGTGATGGTGTCTCCCTCCCGGAGAAGTTGTCCTGCATACCATCAGCGCTAGCTCTAGTTTAGGGGTAGAGTAACGAACCATCTCGAGTGAAATCCTCAGCCCATGAAGGGTCTTCTACGAGGAAGTTGTACTTTCCAGCGGACAACTTGGACACAAACTTGTTCATGTCACCATTGACTAGTTATGGAGTTAGTCGACACCCATAGTGGTCAAGCTGGCTCTTACTTTTGAAGCCATCATTGGCTATCTTGATAGCCCCTTGCATGACGGTATTCCATGGGAGTTTCTGCAAACTCAGTTTAGATAGGAAATATGAAAGGGTGGCTGTCAATACTTACACCGTATTTCTTGTGAACGTACTCCAACCCCCGAACCTCGCCAGGTACGCCGACGGACAAGCCTCCATGGATGCTTCCCTCGACATTTCCCTGGTACATGTTCTCATGGGCTGCGGCTGGAGCTGACTCGCGAAAGTCGATAGCTTCATAGTTGCCCTTTTCATCCCGCACGAGCATGAAGCCACCTCCGCCAATGCCCGAGTGATACATGCCGATAACGCCGACACAAAAGGTCGTCCCGACCATGGCATCAACAGCATTTCCCTAGAATTGTTAACAAGTAGGAACGGGCATAAAGTGTTGTTTGTAGACTTACACCACGCGCGAGCAGATCCCTTCCTATGTAACTGCATTCTCTCGCCTCGGACGCCACGGCGCCTTTGGTACCACCTTCTGAACGAAACAGGTACTCCTCATTGACGGGGCTGGCCGCCAAAAGTCCATATTGAGCAAAGAACAGGCATAAACGCCTCACGCCGAATACACGCCCTGGGAAAGGGTTAGTAAGTGTGCAACGTTGAAAGGATGTTGTGAAACTTGCCCATTTGTAAGTGGTTGCTGCTTATCTAGAAGGGGTTACTGCGCCAAGATAAGCATTCCCGAATCTTGAGAAGATGAGAGAGAAAAAATCAAAGTCTAATGAGTTGAAAGTGAAGCAAAAGGGAGATATCGCGAATTTTTAAAATGCACAAGCAAAGGAAGCGTTGACGTGATGAGACCCCGGGTCCGATCTCCGGCCAAGGGCGGGATGGGACGGACGCGGTTTCTCCCCCCGGTAGTTGCAAGCGGCCTCGTGAGTCGCATCACCTGCCATTCCGGGGGACCAATCAGCGGGGCAGCGATGATAGGAGCCAACCAAGTCATTGGCTGGGAGAGTTTGCTTATTGAAGGCATAGAAGTTACAGATTACGCAGTGCGTTGTTGATGTGAGCGCGTGAGGACATTGCTGATGAAAGTTTTGTGTTGTACAGTATATGCCTATTTGGTATGTGTTTAGCATGAGACCCCGGGGTGGTCAAATGGCTTCTTTTTCTGTTGTACAGATTGTCAGACGATGAGGGTAGATGTATGTATGTGTGCAATGCATGAAAGAAGCATAAGCAAGTTGTCATGTGAAGAATCGAAGTAAAGTGTCTTCAGGTACAACATCTATCTCAAGAAATAGTCTCGAGACATGAGATAGATCAAAGACGAGCTCTTATCGTTGTTGGATACAATCCCTGTCCTGGTTTCAGAGGAGGATAGAAACTCCAACCAATGACAGTCCCTCATGTCATCAGCCAATCAGACAAAGCCTAAAACGCAGCCCAAGGACCCCAAAATCTCAAAGTGGGGCACATGCAAGAACCTTTCCCTGTCTCATTCTCGACTCGAAAGAAAAGTTGAAAAAGTTGTGAGCAACCTCAAATTTTCCCAGAGGAAAACCACACAAAAATCACTCCTCTCAACACTTTAGAGACAAATCCTTGGGTTGTCCATGAGACGACTCAGGCTTCTGCCACTCGTCTCTCTCACAAGAAGAGCGCGCCCTTACAATCTCCGCCCATTCGCAGCCATGGCGACCGCCCAGGCAGAGGCACCACCCGCCGCCGTGCTCAACGGCCACTCACAAAGCAATGGCAACACAGAAAAGCCTTTGAACAAGAGGCCTAATCAGCAGAACAATCGACAGTGGAAGCAGAAAAAGACAAAGCGGGAGAGGAACATCACTGAGGGTTCGTCTGAGGAAGTCCTCAAGTATGACGTCGAGGCTCTGCTCAAGCTGAGGGCGGTGGAGTATGGAGAGGGGACTGAGAATGGGGTAGAGGTTCTTCCGGAGGAGGGCACTGAGACAGAGGTTGAGGTTTTGGAGTTGTCGTCTACGGGAGAGGGCTTGGCTATGAGACCTGGCTCGAATCAGGTCTATGTTGTGCCCTTCACCGTACCCGGCGACCTTGCGAGGGTCAAGGTCTTTCGCCATGTGCGTCGCGATAACCAGACCATGGCCGACTTCATCTCTGTCGTCAAGCCCTCTCCTCTGCGCGACGATGCCCGCATCAACTGTAAGTACTTTGCCTCGTGCGGCGGCTGCCAGTTCCAGATGCTCGACTACGCAGAGCAGCTCCGTCTCAAGAGGCGCGTCCTCGAAAAGGCCTACCAGAACTTTTCCAACCTCGATCCCGCTATCGTGCCTACTGTTCAAGACACCATGGGAAGTCCTCTGCAGTATGGATATCGCACAAAGTTGACACCGCACTTTGACGGGCCCCCTGGATTTCGTCCCAGCAAGAGGGGGAAGAACCCCCGTGTACCCTTTGAGAGCTGTCCCGATATTGGATTCATGCAAAAGGGGCGTCGAAAGGTTTTGGATATCGAGGACTGTCCTATCGGCACTAGTGCAGTGCGTCTGGGTATGGCGAGGGAGAGAGAACGCATGCAGACCGAGTTTAAGGATTATAAGCGCGGTGCCACCCTCCTCCTGCGAGAAAACACACAACGCCTGCCAAAGGACAGCCAAGATATACCCTCCGAACTACCCCCTCACACAGTCCGCGTCGACAACGAAGACACAGTCGACATCAAGTCCTGTATCACCGACTCCAAGGCCACCACCACCGAGTACATCGGCCCCTACACCTTTACCAACCCCGCCGGGTCCTTCTTCCAGAACAATAACTCTATCCTCCCATCCTTCACCACCTACGTCCGCGACCGCATCCTGCCCCCTGCTGGCTCCGGCATGGAGATCAAGTATCTCATCGACGCTTACTCTGGCTCTGGCCTCTTCACCATCACATTGTCATCCCTTTTCCAGCACTCTATCGGTATCGACATTGCTGCCGACTCGATCGCCTATGCAAGCCGCAACGCCGCTCTCAACGGCCTCAACGAGGATCGCTGCAAGTTCATCGCTGCTGACGCAGGCGAGCTCTTCAAGAGTGTCACGTACAACCGTGACGAGACCGTCGTCGTACTCGACCCCCCTCGCAAGGGCTGCGACGCAGACTTCCTCGGCCAGCTACGCAAGTTTGGCCCCCGTCGCGTACTCTACGTCAGCTGCAACGTGCACACGCAGGCCAGGGACGTGGGCGTGTTGGTCCGCGGCGAGGGCGAGGGTGAGAGGTATGAGATTGAGAGTCTGAGGGGCTTTGACTTTTTCCCTCAAACTGGACATGTCGAGGGCGTTGCTATTCTCAACAGGGTTGATACCAAGGCATGAAATGGTTAAAAATAGGGACACGGCGCTTTAAAAAGGGGAAACCTTCATAGATTTTTTTCATTGCGACACTTGTAATCATTGTCCTCATAAAAAGAACCGCTGCATTAACTCGTGCGTGACAAAACAAATTGCCAACTCAGCCAGCATATATATGCATCACTGCCCCATGTTCATGACTTGTCCCCCAGCAGAGCCTTGAGGGCCTGCACCGTCACCTCGAGAACCTCGGGTCTTCTACTCTTCTTGAGACATTCCTTGAGGACCTCGACGCCGTCTTCATCCTTGATCTTTTGCCGCGCCAGCTCACCGACCTCACCCTCGGCTGTCACGAGGTTAAGTATCACAAACACGCCGCGGTGCCGGATGTTCTCGTCGTCGTCGACGCACATGGACAGGACGACCTTGACACCGCGCTCTCTGTTGATAATACCGCGGATGACACCCTCGAAAGATGTGAGCGAGGCCAGCGCGCCACCAGCCGCACTACGAGTTCCGGCATCTTCGGCGTCTGCGAGGGCGAGGAGGATGTGAAGGCGGTTTCGAGCCTTGGCGGTCTCCTCGGCGTACAGGGCGATGGCTTCAGGAGCCTGGACGAGGTTGCAGACGAGCTCGACGGCTGCCTTGGAAACAAGAGCGTTGGATGAGAGCATCTGCTCCTCAATCTGGAACCACGCGGTCGCAATGATGCTACGTCTCGTATCTTCATCGTCCATGGAGGCTAGGTTAGTCAGAGCCATGAGAGCCTCAAAGGAGGGGAGAAGGTCTCGCGTCTCGGCAGCCGGGTCAGGAGGGACGATAGACACGAGAGGCCGAATTGCAGCACTGAGGGGGTTTGATCGGTTGCCGCCAAAGACGAGGGCAGGGTTTGTACTGATGAGAATCCGGGCAAGGGCCTGCGCAGCAAGACGACGGGCTGGTGCTTCAGTCTGGGGAAGCGTCATCCACGCTGTGAGGAGGAGCTTGACGGCGCCCTGCTGGGCGAGCTGGCCGCGAAGAGTCTTGGTGACAGACAAGGCAAAGATGATGGAGATGACCAGCGATAGAGACGCTGGCGAACCATTTTTGCTGTGAGTGACAAGCACAGGCGTGATGCCGGCATCAAACACCAGCTTACACCGCTTCGCAACATGCTCGTCGTCATTCAGGGGGTCCGGCCCACCGAGTTTCCCAGCGGCGTTGGCGTACGCCTTGAGCTGGTTCATCTTCTTCTCCTCCTCGGTGAGGTTGGGGAGGTACCTTGTAAGATTGACAAAGATACTCAGAGCTCCGTAGGTGGTCGGAGAACGGGGCTGCGCCTCGCTGAGAGTCTTGACGAGCTTCTGAAGCAGCTCAGGGTTGCTCACAATCGACTCTTTAACCTTGGGTTGAAGAGACGCATAGGCTAGACCTTCAATAGAATGCTTTCTTCCGTGATCCTCATCCCGTAGGATCATCTTGGTGAACATGCCAGAGAGGTCCTCAATACTAGTGACTGCTGGCTCGATCCTCGACTGGCTAGCCTCGCCGGGGGCGGGCTTCGCGGGAACTGCCTTGAATTCTGAGTTAGTTAGTCGTGAACAAAGCACGGCACGCATATCTCTCTCACCCTCAGCTTGGCCAGGATGACGGCGGCCAGGTACTGAACCTGCTCCGAGTGACGCCTCATGGTGATGGAGCCGCCGTCGCTTTGAAGGTTGGGGTCGGCGTTTGTGCTGCGGACGATCTCGCTGAGGTCCTGGTCGACAATCTCCTCGAGCCACTCGATGCAGTACTTGTTGATGGCCTCGCGACAGAGCGAGTTCATGCATGCGGCGTTGAGCATCTCTAGACAAGCCGTCTCGACCTTGCGGCTCTTCCACTTGCGTCGCATCAGAGTTCCCAGGCTGGGGAGGAAGTCTTCATTGAGGAAGAGCTCTGCAGTGAGATCCGGGACGATGGGGAAAGTGGCGGCTGCGACGCAAAAGGCGACAATGTAGTCATCGTAAGTGCCTCTCCGAACACGGTCAAAGAAAAAGGTGGATAGCTTCTTGCTGCCGTCGTCGCCGGCAGCCTTGAGGTAGGCCGACGTTGAAAGAGTGGCGTGCCCACGGACAATCTCAGGCTGTCGCATATCGAGATAGCACAAAACTGTGTCAACGCAGTCGCCGTCGATGACGTTGCAGATAGTCTCATGAGACTTGTCCTTCTGGCGGGCCTCATAGTCGTTGTTGAGGAGCTTGGTTAGCTCGTCGAGATCACGGCACGTCTCATTGTCCTCCTGGCCACCCTCCATCAAGCGCGCAAAGACGATGAGGGTCTGGTCCTCCAAAGAAGGGGCCGGGGCCTCCTGCTTGGCGGGTTCAGCCATGATGAAAAAGAATCTCGAATCTTATCAGATGGAATGGGATGTCGAGATGGACGATTTGAAAGGGAAAAACAATGGGAAAAGCTCGAGGCCCAAAACAGGAGCCCGTGATGTAAATCGATAACGCCCCTCATCCAACTCAGCTCATCAATCAAATCAGCTCTGTCCTGTGAGACCACTAGAAGCGCTAGAACCTTGCTTTTTCCTAGTGGCCGCAAACCCCCCCAACCACGACCACTGATAAGCCCATGCTCCCCCCCGCTGCTTTGGGAGCTTCGTCACGTGTTTTGGCGTCTATGGGCGCTGCGCTAGGGGGATTGCTCCAGGGGCTCATTGGTGCCTGCAGCCGCGTCCCATTCGTGACGGGATGCTCCCACACCCTGCTCCTGTGGATGACGTCCAGCGAAAGACTCTGTTTTTTCTTTACTCCTTCAATCCCTGTAGCCGTGATAAGAAATTCTTGGGCTCGCACGACAGAATCTTCGAGTCGGTCGTGATATTCCGGGCTTCAAGGCTCATGTCTTTCATCCTCGGGGCGGCCTGAAATCGTGGCAAGTCGTCGCACAGACCGGGGACGCTATAACCACTAGGCCAGCCGCCGTTCAGCGTCCAACTTGAGCCTCAACATTGCATTGCCCTTGCAGACGCCCATTCTTTGTCTGACTGCCTGCGTCAACGTTTCTCGCCCTCTCAGCGTCACGATCTGCAGCGCAGCTTGTCTCACTTGCGCAGCGTTCATCTCCTCCACGGCCTCGTAGCCGTCTCCCCAACCGACATCCTCACAACCACGTCCGCCTCGTTTTCATCATGGACGCCGTCGATGTTTCGGAGCACTACGAGGTCAGCACCCACGAGGACACGCCCTCACTCCTTACCATCGTCCTTGACACGAATCCGCGAGCATGGGCTGCTATCGGTAATGCCCTGCCTTTGTCTAGGGCCATCGCAAATATCCTCGTCTTTGTCAACGCCCATCTCGCCTTCAGCAACGCCAACCAGGTCGCCCTCATCGCCGCCCACGTCGACCGCGCACAATGGCTCTACCCGACGCCGCCCAAGCCCACTCGCGACGCCTCAGGAGATGTATCTATGAAGGACGCCGCCCCGTCTCAGACGTCGTCGGCCAACAAGTTCCCCCAGTTTGCGCAGATCGAGGCCGCCGTTTTGGACTCTGTGAGGAAACTCATGGATCAGACGACCGAGGCTGACCTCGCCACCACCACGACACAACTATCAGGGGCATTAACGCTGGCCCTCTGCCACATCAACAAGGCTGCGCAAGCTCTCTGCTCGCCCACCGCCAACCTCGAGGACAACCACAAGGCCACCACCACGGCACCTCCCACCGTACGCGGCCGCATCCTCGTCATCTCCGTGTCCGACTCGGAGCCTTCGCAATACATCCCTACCATGAACGCTGTTTTCGCCGCCGCCCACGCCCAGGTCGCCATCGATACCCTCTCCCTCACCGGCGACCCGACCTTTCTCCAGCAGGCCTGCTTCAACACGGGCGGTACATACCTCGCCGCAACACATCCCCAGGGTCTGCTCACCTATCTCATGTTCGGTCTCATCGCCGATACAGAGGCTCGCGAGGCTCTCGTTGCGCCGACCCATGACACGGTCGACTTTCGCGCGGCGTGCTTCTGCCACGGCCGAGTTGTTGACACTGGCTTTGTCTGTTCCATCTGCCTCAGCATCTTTTGCGAGCTGCCAGAGAATTCCGAGTGCCTTACATGTGGCACGAAATTGTCGCTGGGCAACTACGGCGCCAAGCCCGCCGTCGTGCCTCGGAAGAAGAAGAAGAAGCGGAGAATCGTCAACGGGGGTTCACGGGAAGAGACGGGAAGTGCGACGGGGACACCTCGTCCATGATGAATCACTCCCTATTTTGTATAATAGACCAATTAAAATAATGACGAGATACCTACAACGATTAAGACAGAATAATGCATCTATTCCTGGGCTTCAGGGGCAAACACCACTGACACATTCAAGTGACAACTTGACTTGGAGCAGAACATCAAAACCAAACTTGAGCACATTAAATAAATAAAGCATGCAATGTCTCTAGGGATAGAGGGTATCATATCAAGTCTAGCGATGGAGAAAAAGACTAAACAACCATCCATCTCACCGTAGTAGCCACAGCTTGGCCTCAACCCCATATCGATCAAGCCCTGACAGGAGTCTAATGCCCTCTAAAGTTGCCAAACTCCATATTCCAATCTCAGAAGCCCAAAACTGGCTCAGTCAAAACGAACTTTGCGTCCACCCTTGGCAATCTTAGCACTATCCGGAAGCCGAGACATGGTACAGTTCGGTTGCTTCTCTAAACCACCCATCGAGGCCAAAGCAAACGAGTCAGTGTTGTGGGCAAAGTACAAATAATACCCCATCTGTGTCTTCTTGACAACCATGACACCGATAGCGCCAGCTGAGTGACAGTTCTTGACCCCAGGGTGATTCATGAAGTCGTCGGCGATGAAGGACTCCATGATGGCATCCTCGTCGTCATCCTGAATGTTGACTCCGCCCTTGCCGCGCCTTGTCCCATGATAGATCCTCTCGGCGCATCGTTGGGAGGCCATTGTCGTAGCCATGTGCTCTCCGGTGCCGCTTGTTACGGCGGCAACGCTGATCTGATCTTCATCTTCTTCATCACAAGGGACAACGGCAGTGCCAACTCCAACCAAAGCTGCTGGTCCAAGTCGACCTCGATGCTTCATTCCAATCCCCCCCGAGGACGATCCAGCAGCAATATGACCTCTCTCGTCAATCGCAATGGCACCAATAGTGTCTGTGATGAAGTCCTCGTTCCCAGTCCCAGACCGGAAGCTGTCTTTGATGGATCGAGAGTCGCCCTCTGCTCTCTCATCTGGACTGGAGGGTCGCTTAACTCCGCGAGGACTCGCCAAGTCTTGCTGACCAGCTTCATACTCCCCGAGGTCCATAGGTTTAGCCCGTGATTGTGGCGAAGCAGAACCATCACGGCTCGGAGAATGTTCATGTTGCTTTTGATTGGGCTCTGTGTTTTCCAGATTGGAAGGCTTGTCATCCGTGGCATTTCCTTGGCTGGGCGATCCGGGCTTCCTGGAGATGGGCCTGGAACGAAATGACGATGGCGGTGCGCCCTGTGCACCTCTTGCAACTCCAGCGTAACTCGGCGATAGCCTCTCCGCAGTCGCCCGGACAGAAGACCGACCCACTGTAGGTGCGGCGGTGCCCATGGTTCGAAAGTAACTGGTCGTCGAAGAATTGTCGGTTGAGGGCGTGGTTGTTTCCTGGATCGGAGTGCCCATCCATGGAGAATCAGGCTGCCCCTCGTTCCATGTGCCTGCCATGATAGCTGCTCTGTGATCCCGGGGGAAGGATTGCTGTGGCTTCGGTGTGGAAGCTGTGTCGTACTGACACGGAGGACATCCGATGCTTGTCTCGCCAACCTCTGGAGAAGCCCTCGAGTCCTTTGACTTCGTCTCGGCCCGCTTTAGATCTTCTTGCCAACGTAGGAATCGATCTCGGGCATTCTTGGAAACCATGTACTCATTCGGGCAAGTAACGAGGCCATGTTCTTCAGCAAAGGCCTTGGCGCCTTCTCCGATTAGGGCATTTGGCGGAACTCGACGAAGGCTGAGAGGCTTATTGCTCTTGTCTAGAATCAGCTTGGCGAGGGAAATTGGGTTTCGAATATCTGGGGCGGCATTAGTTATTGTGCCGACATGGATCTGAAAGACGAACTCGGAACGGCACCGCATGCACCGCTACGACCGAGATGATCGACAACAGTGGCATCACACTCTACAACGCCGTCGATGGAGAGGTTGGAACCGTATCCAGCGTTGGTGATTTCCTTATCCTCGAGGATTCGCAGGGCGGCTTCGACTGCTTCGGTAGCCGTGGAACCAGCCTTGAGAAATCTCATTCCCATCTCGGCGGCCCTGCCATCGTCAGTCGAGGTACGCACAAGGAACGATCGAGTAAGCCTCACGCAACACAGGCTTGAAGATGGATGTGTTCATTCTGGTGGCTATGAAATCCAGCCCCTGCATGGACAAAGATTGCAGGTACTGCCTTTGGCTTCTGCCCCATTCGCAGCACGCGATCCAACGCGCCGTCAGTGCCGTGCGGCGTGAGTTCCGAAAAAGCAGAGGCTTCATCGTCATGGCAGTCTGACATTCTTGATCGAATTCATGGGGTAAAGAGCGAATAACGCATGCAATGAGTGGTAAGTTGGTGAGTAAAAGAAAGAGGTGGTGGTGATTCGAGGCGGCCGGGCGAATTGATAGAAGCCCGGCGAGAGCGCGTGGGCGAAGATATGTTAGGAGATTGTAGGTTTTGAAGTTTTGGGCCGAGGGCCTAAAGATGGAAGTTGATGAAAAACCCTATGAGCGAAGAAGCAAGAGCAGGGCGATGGTTATCTATTCACCTTCCACAGCACAGAAAATTATATGGAAGCTGCGCTCGTGCGAGATGCAGGGGATTTCTCAACTCGATGAAAAGGAGTTGCCTAACAATCCATATGCCAGCATCCGTTGATTGTCCAATTCTCCTAACTTGGACGAGGCAAGCTGAGAAAACATGGGCAGAACGATAGCAGGCTTCGCACCGATATATCACTTTTTACCCAATCTAATCTCTTTGCACGCAGCTATTGTTTGCTTTGCCGTGTATTCATTTCATCGCTGCTTCAACCTCTTAGAAATGACGTCGTATCCCAAAGCAGCAAAGTGATCCCCTTTATTGCAGTAACGGGGCGTGAGCCACCGCCAAACGGCGGGGCAGGACCACTTGTCCTACACAGCCACATCTCAAGCCTCACCTCAAGCTTGGGAGCTTCGCAAGGCACGTAACGTAATCCCACCCAACGCAACGACCACCGCCGTCGCCGCCTATCGCATTTCTCCTCGCGGCACGACTCTTGGGTTCTCTCTACCTCTCTATCTGTCTAGTCGTGCGCTCGATCACGCACCCTCTCTCATCATGGCCAACCAAACTCCCGCCGTTGTCATGGACAAGCAAGTCTCACCTCTCCCAGCCCCCGCACTGACGACGACAGCTAACCTCAGCTCACCAGCGGCACGGGTTTCTCCAAGCTAGGTCAGTCACCGCTATACATGCTCTTGGAGCTTTCGATTGTATCTGGGCTGCTTGCTGATGCCTTTTGCAGGTTTCGCCGGTAACGATTCTCCCTCCTTCGTCTTCCCGACCGCGATCGCAACCAAGGGGCCAGCTGGCGGAGCTGGTGGCTCCGGCTCAGGACGACCGGCCGTTGCCAACAAGCCTTCTTTCCTCACCGGAGGTGCTGGACCTGGCGGTCACTTGAGCGCAAAGAGAGGAACTGAGGATCTTGACTTCTTTATCGGTGATGAGGCGATTGCTGCCTCGGGCGGACCAGGTACGCAGCTATTGCGCCCCTGAGAGGTCAATCCGACTGACGGAACCAGGATACGGCCTTCACTATCCCATCCGACACGGCCAAATAGAGAACTGGGTATGTCGCCGAGATATCCGACATGAGCTGGGACTGACCGCCTACAGGACCACATGGAACGGTTCTGGTCCAACTCCATCTTCAAATACCTCCGAGTCGAGCCCGAAGACCACTACTTCCTCCTCACCGAGCCCGTGAGCCTCTCGCCCCTACTTCGAATCCGCCAAGATACTAATTAGGATAGCCCCTGAACCCTCCCGAGAACCGCGAGAACACCGCCGAGATCTTTTTCGAGTCGTTCAACTGTGCCGGCATGTACATCGCCGTCCAGGCCGTCCTCGCCCTGGCTGCTTCTTGGACATCCTCCAAGGTCCAAGATCGATCACTCACCGGAACGGTCATTGACTCTGGTGACGGTGTCACCCACGTTATCCCCGTGGCCGAGGGTTATGTCATTGGATCCTCGATCAAGTCGATCCCCATCGCCGGTCGAGACATCACCTACTTTGTGCAATCCCTGCTCCGAGACCGCGGCGAGCCCGACTCGTCTCTCAAGACTGCCCAGGAGATCAAGGAGGAATACTGCTATGTGTGCCCCGATATCGTCAAGGAGTTTGGCAAATACGACCGAGACCGCACCCGATTCGCCCAGCACGTCGTGTCGCACCCCAATGGCCGCCAGGTCGCCGTCGACGTCGGTTACGAGCGTTTCCTTGCCCCCGAGATCTTTTTCAACCCCGAGATCTACAGCTCCGATTTCCTGACTCCTCTCCCCGTTGTTGTCGATGGTGTCATCCAGCAGTCGCCCATCGATGTTCGACGAGGCCTATACAAGAACATTGTCCTTTCTGGAGGTAGCACGCTATACAAGGATTTCGGCCGACGATTACAGCGAGACATCAAGCAGCTGGTGGATGCCAGAATCCGAGCCAGCGAGGTCCGCAGCGGTGGTGCTCGAAGTGGTGGTCTGGATGTGCAGGTCATTACCCATAAGCGACAGCGACACGGTCCCTGGTTTGGTGGCAGTCTTCTTGGCCAGACGCCCGAGTTCCGATCGTACTGCCATACCAAGGCAGAGGTAAGACGGATGGTATCTTCATGTGTGACAATGGCTAACGATGATTGCAGTACCAAGAATATGGTCCTAGCATTGTGCGGAGATTTGCTCTGCTTGGTGGTCCCGGTGGTTCTTAGAGCAAGGCTGTTAGCTGATAGATGCTTCAAGAAATACTCCCAAACAAGCCCTGGGTTTCACAACAAGGGTCTTTGCAAACACATTGATCTACAGTCTCGATCTCGAGGGACAGGGATAGGCTAAAGATTCAATGTGGTTTTCTCTGTGGGGGTGCAAATGGTGGTGAGGGCGCTCAAAGGCGCTCAGCTCAATCTCAAGTGACAATTATGCCTACCTTAAGCGATGCAACTATGGGTGAAAGAAAGAGATGGTGGCAGCAGGTCTTTGCAGAGTTATTACATTAGTCGTTTTCAAAAACAAACACATTCATGCAGGTGCTGCATTTCCCCGCATCTTGACTCGTATTTGGGGGCTGCCGACGATCGAGACCATAACATTTTCTGTGTCTATCTCGAAGCGTTTTCTCACGAACTGCACCAGTTCAACAATCAATTCTCAACGGCAGGGATATTCATCCTTTGATCGAGACACGGACGTTATAACCAACCTCGTTAAGCGACGTGCAGGTGTTGTTCTAGATGCCCGCCCGAGTGTGCATACAGGAAGAAAAAAAAACGTAGATGGCATGATCTTTCTAGACGTCCCCAAACGTGGGTTGTTCTAGACGTGGCTTGGTGGCGGAGAGGGGGAGGGGTTTGCAGGAGAAGGGTTGCATCCATTCTTTTGTGACGGAGGGGTGACGACCAAAGTTGAAAACCGAGTTAGGATAGTCGATCCTTGAGACCTTTTTTTCTGCCAATTCGATTTGAGTTGTGACGAGTAGACTTGTTCCGGGATGGCCGAGGGGTAAGATGACGACGTGTGTCACTGAGTGGGTGGTGGTGAGGGTTGACATGATCAGATCAGGGACGGAAGAACGACTTGACTCCGAGATGCATGGGAGTTCACGCATCATGTACAAAGAGGAAACCGGCGATATCAGATACGAGTAAGTAACAAGTTGCCCCCAATTAATTGGTACTTCTAGACCCTTTTGCTCTAAACATAGATGACACACATGGCATTTTATTACATGTACTTTTTTTCTCTTCTCTCACCGCAACAAACTAGCAAAGAAAAAAAAAACCGCAAATATCCGTCAGTAGACGTCAAACCACAATCCACCCGTATTCATCCAAACGAACTTCGATTAGTGTCATTGATATTTTGCCAAAAGATGAACATCCCAGCCCACTTAGAAAAAAAAAGTGGCTATCGGTGGATTCTCAGGCACGTGGCTCCGGCGTGGTCGACGACGGCGGCAGTGGGCGGGCATCGAACCATGTGTCGATTTTAGAGTTTGCGCGGGCAGAGTTCGGTCTTTTTGTCAGTTTGAACCTTGGACGGGGATAAGTTCCGGTTTGACGTTTTGGTGGTGTGATGAGGCTGTAGATGTGAATAGTAGTATCAACCTGGGATAGATACTTGCCAGTTGGAATATTGTACAGGTAGTCAGTTTATGCTGTAGTCAGAAAAACATCTTGATCAAACAGTCACTATGTGAAAGAGGCAATCATTTGGTGAATCGGAATCTTTGTTCCGTTATTGATCCTGTGGTACTCATATCACTCATATCCAACCCAATCTCGCACAATCGTGCAAGCAAGCTCAATCTGGCTACTGCTCATCAACACCGCCGCAATTCCAAAACATCAACTCCCGCCCGAACTCCTCTCATTTGCAGGTGGGTCGTCCTGCTTGTTGTTTTTGGGCAAAGTGGCTGGGTTGTTCCACCACTGCCCTGTAGATAGCCGCGCGCTTATCGGCTGGTGTCGACGACGTAGCGACCGGCAATCTTGCCAGCGGTCATGAGGTCGTAGACGCTCTGGAGCTCAGAGAGACCGACAGTCTTGAAGGGGACCTTGATGAGGCCGCGGCGGTAGAACTCGATGGCCTCAGCAGTATCGGCACGGTTGCCGACGTAAGAGCCCTTGATGCTGATCATGCGAACGACAGTGTCGAAGACGGGAGCAGAGAGGCTGGCGTTGGCGGGGAGACCAATGCACACGACGGTACCGCGGCTGCGGACGTACTGGGTAGCCTGCTGGAAGGGCTTCTCCTGGACAGCGACCAGGAGGACGGCGTGGGGGCCCAGGCCGTCGGAGGTAGCGGCCTTGACCTCGGCGACGAGGTTGGAGGACTTGGTGAAGTCGACAAAGGCACTAGCGCCGAGAGACTCGCAGAGAGCCTTCTTGTCATCACCACCATCGATGGCAATGGTGTGGATACCCATAGCCTTAGCATACTGGAGAGCGATGGAGCCGAGACCACCACCAGCACCGACGATGGCGACGGTCTGGCCGGCCTTGACACCGGACTCCTTCAGGCCCTTGTAGACAGTGATACCGGCGCAGAGAATGGGGGAGATGGCCTCGAGGTCGCACTCCTTGGGGATGCGAGCAACGTGGGCAGCCTTGGCGACAGCGTACTGCTGGAAGGAGCCGTCGACGGTGTAACCAGAGAGGAGAGCCTTGGCGCAGAGAGGCTCATCAGAGGTCTGGCAGAAAGAGCACTGAAGGCAAGAGCCGTGGAGCCACTTGATGCCGACGTAGTCACCAATCTCAACATCCTCGACGAGCTGGCCGCGGGAGACGACAACACCGGCACCCTCGTGGCCACCGATGAGAGGCAGCTTGGTGTCAAGGGGCCAGTCACCCATCATGGCGTGGAGATCGGTGTGGCAGACACCGGAGAACTTGACGTTGACGAGGACCTCATCGGGACCGGGCTGGCGGACGGGGACCTGCTGGTACTTGGTGGCTGTAGAGAATGATAGTTAGTATAAGCCTCTAAGAGATGAAGATGTTGCAGTGCGAACGGTGGGGGATCTGTGGGTTGGGTGGGACTCGGGCCAGGAACCCGGGTCTTGGGAACATCTGATATCCAAAAGATATCAGATGGGAAAGAGGCAATTGGGATTGGAACTCGTTGTAGAGCTGAAAGGAAGGGAGGTAAACGTACGACCACCGTTCTTCTCGACGACCTGCGCCCATTGAGTGGTGGGGATCTCGGCGGCCATTTTGGTTGTTGTTGTTGTTTTGTCGTAAAGACGAAAGGTGTTGTAGTTGTTGTTGAGGAGTGTTGGAGAGTTGATTGATGAGCTGGATGAGGATGGAGAGAAAAGATTCGACTTGAGGCCGGAGGAGCAAGAGTTTATATAGATGTTGGACGGGCGATCCGGAGTGAAGGGTCTACCATAGACGGATCCCTAGTGCGTATACGGGACTCGGGCCTAAACCGTATGATGGATCAACGGGGCAGGGATGGGTGTCTGGATGCAAGGTCTCAAGCCTCATCTTCGCGGCCGCGGGGGAGAGGGAGTGGGAGAAGCCATGAGGAAGGGTGTGTGATGAAAGGAGTCGAGTCAACGTGAGTCTACCGCACGCATCGAACCTGAGCTCAGAACGAGGGCCAAGGGGAGGAGCCACTTCGGCTGCACGGGGGATCCGCATTTTGGGCCATGGCCATGGGTAGTTGGACTTTGTTTTCGGATGCGGCGACGGTACAAGTGTGAGAGCAAATGCCAGTAGTGGCGTTATTGGTGGTGGAGGGTGGAGGTTGCTGTCGAGGTGTTGCTAGAATGCCGTCTCCTCATGACGCCTACTACTACAGTGAGTGCTCGCTGGGAAAACCCCGCTCCGGCCGGACATCGACTTCCCCTCACCAGCCAGCGGGTGCGGCTGGACGCGCGCTAGAGCCAGAGGAGAGAGAGAGACATGGGGCTAGCGCGAATTTCAGGCGTTTGTACCTCGAGGAGAAAAGGTACCTACATCCGCAGGCCCATGGCAACAGAAACAAGGGACAAGATGTGTGTGTATGTAATTTGGGGTGTGTGAGGTAAAAGATTGGATCTCAGCCTTGACGAGGACGAGGATGGCATTGAGCATCTATGACTATCCAAGTGTCGTGATATTCGTGTCGCTAACCTCCGTCATGGCACGTCAGCTGCTTTTGCGGCCCTTTTTCTACACCGGACATTGGCCTCCCGTCCTGACATCCCATGTCAAAGAACCTTACCCAGAAAAAAAAACAAGCTATGCCTACCAGATTGTCTGCTCAGATAGCAAATGTGATAACGAGACAACTTCCACCACCGCGGTAACCTCGGATCTCCCCATCAGAGCCCTACCTGAACTTACGGTCCGCAAGCCGGTTTGCAGATTGCCCATCCCAACATGAGATTTCTTCATCACAGCTGACCAGGTCCTCCTGATACAGCAGAGCCCTGCGAGCTCGCTACCTACCTACGTAACGAGAAGCTCGGTGGCCTGCGTAGTATGGCGCCTAATGCTCCGAACCCACGCGTTTCCAAGGCTGGCGCCGCTTCCATGACCCCTAGCTTCTCATCACCACGCACCTCCGTCGAGCCATGTGGAAAGCTCCAACCGCCCATTGCATCCCATAGGTCCCACGAGGCTGGGGTGGCTGTTGGCAGCGGCTCCGTACCTACGTAAGTGTGCCATCTCCTGGTCTGGTCCTCCCTTTTTTTTTGTGCCTCATTCTCCATTCATGCAGTGAGGATGGATTAGACGCCCCAATTCTGCCAACTTGCCCCATTCGGCATCAAGGAACTGCCGATGTGCATGGCTATTTCCATCTTTGTGGACACTTGCGAGGAAAAGAGTGAGAGAAAAATGTCCTAGCATCTTTAAGCCCCGTTGGAATTGACGCATCAATGCCTCGACTTTGTTGTCATGTTTTTTACTTTGTTGGTGGGCGGTTGGTGTAAGTGGGATGGAATGAGGCCCAAGATCTCGTTGTTTCGCGTTATTCAGGGCCGAGGTCGGCGTTATTGCACCCGCTGACTTTCAACTGGTAATTGGAGGGGCAGGCAGGAGCTACTGCCATGATTCCGTCAAAGCTTCTTTCCGTCTAGAAGCCAACTCAATCCTGACGTTACAGCCTCTTACAACAATCTAGGAAGGAAGGCAAAGGTCAGAAAAAGAAACAAAAATATTGATGTCAACCTCCACTATTTTTTTTTCTTGTCAACCTCCACTACTGCATTTCAATGCACGCACGCATACTCTGGCAACGCCCCTCAAGAGACAACCTAGACTGGGTATCAGATCCGTGTGTCAAGTCAAGGACTGCGCCCCCATCCGTTGTCGTGTCAGCATCCTCATCGAATCGTCGTGACCAGTACCTGTGTTTCACTCCCTCCGTTCCACCGCTCTGGACTTCATGACAAACGTACCCAGCTACATACGCAGCTCCGCGTCCTCTAGGCTGGGCAGAGATCCAGTCCGCAAAGTACGGGGTAAGGCATGGATGCGTGGAGAGCGACTCATCGTCCATGCAACCTCCCTTTCGCCGGCAGCGAGTCAACGGCGCTAGCTCTCGCTCGAAAGGAGCTCTTGAGGGGAATTGTGATGGGCGACTACTCCGTACACTCTGCTGCTGCGCCCAGAGCTCCGTTCAGTTACACTGACAAGAACTTACCCCAAAAGACGGTATGGGCAACCGATAAAACAAGTGCCACCTGTGTCTGCTGTGTCGAATTACTGGACGTCGTACTAAGGTCTTGTGCAGGAGTGGAGCTGAAGGCGAACACGCGAGGGCCAAAAGGGCGCCGGCATGGGAGGCGTTTGTCAACGACTCGAGGCATCTCGCTCTTCCCCGCACTCGAGAACCCCCAGCCAGCAACACCCAGGCAAGCATTGGGAGCATGGACGTCCGGTCTCACTAGGCACATGCCCCCCATCCTCCCCAGGATGTGTGTGTGCCGTAATACAGCCTAGCCCACCAACTGCTGCGCTGCTAGCACCACGCGATGGACAGGCAGCTTCGGATCCGTGATGCTACATGAGTTTCAACAGGAGGGATCTGCCACCCAACAGACTTTTTCCTACATACAGACAGCGCCGTCTCCAAGCCCATCGACGCCCGCGGGGGAGCCGTGCTGCTTTCTCTGGGGTCATCCCAGTCGGTTGGACGGAGGCCTGGAAGCAAATGCGGGGAAGCCCGGCCAGTGCAGAGTGACACTGAGAGCGGTGCTTGACTCGGAGCCCCCTGCGCCCTGCGTCGCTGCTGCTACTGTACCGTACAGGCTCTGGATCTGGACCCCAGAGAAGCCTTGCAAGGACCGCCAGAGGGCCCTCAATGTGGCCCCAGGTGGTGGCGGGTCAGGCCGATGGTGAGACGGCTTTTGGGGTTAGCCTCGCTCATGTTCAAGATCGCCCTCAGATCTACGGTACGCACACGCACCCAGAAGGAAAAAACACGTACCCAGCCGTGCAAGGGAGAGCTCTCAGGTACCTGATTTCCAGAAGGTACGTGCCCTCGGCCCTGGGTGCAGACGTGGAGACGAGGTTTGCTCAGCGGGCATGGGGAGCTTTGGATCTTGGTCAGATGACCTTCAAGCTTTCTCCAAGCGGCTCAGGTCAGTGGGCGAAGGCAGCTGCTTGCCTATTTTCCGTCCCTTCATCTAAACTAAAGTCAGCGCTTCCCGTTCGGGCTCCGGGTGGCCGGACGTTGTTCGTTCGTGGCTACTGATGGTTCCATGCCTACAAGCCCCAAGCCCCAAGCTTCCATTGCATCCCGCCATGAGTGAGATCTCCATGACATTTGCGGATAGATGTACCTCTTGGACGAAAGCTACAACGAGCTCTCCCAGGACACTTGCTCAACGCGTCGTGTCCGGATCTCAATGTTCGGTCCTCAATGGCACGTCCCTGCACGGTCTGTGATGCCCTTGTTCGTTTCAAGGGTCTGACCTGAGATGCACCTCGCGGTAGGTCCTCCAGTCCCAGCTTCCTCTCCCATTCCCCGGGCTTTGGCAGCTGGTTGATTGGACGCTGGTAGAGTGGCAACATCTGATCTTCTTCCAGATTGTTGAGGGTCCACCCGTGGGTGATTCTGTCACGGCTGCAGAGATGCATCTCGTCCCTTCAACCCGATTGATTCCCATGTCTGCTGTTTCCCCGCGTCTCCGGACTGGAGGGAGATTTGGGCATGAGCTTTTTTCCCCAGCCCCTGACTGACGCGGAATTGGGAGTGCGTGGTCAGTGTAAGTGGGTTCATTCACATGGAGGTCTAGTAAGTACCTGTTCGTTTCCCCTCACGACTAATCTCACGGAGATGCAGCTAGGTGACCCCCCAAAGGTGGAACTACGGGCCAGTGAGGAGCCGGAGGATGGGGCGAGCCCGTTTTGCAAGCCATGTTGTTAGCCAGAAGGACCAGAACCAGAAGCCGGATCTAGCATCCATCACGACCAGTCGTCGACTCGAAGGCCTCGATGGTCATGATTTCTGGGGCAGCGGGCGGGGAGGGTCTGTGTGTTTCCAGGGCCTCCGCGTTTTTTCCAAGACCAAAAGCCGCGCTTATCCCTTTGAGCCCGTCATCAGGCCCGTGCTAACCCCCGTCGAGGCTCCGTAGGGGCGATGCTAATGGCATCCACTGCGGCTCCGCAGCTTGACTTGCATGAGCCGCAATTGTCTTCCCCGCATTCGACGTAGCGGCACGCCCCCCAGGGGACGCCCCCAGGGGGAAGTGGTGAATTCCCTTCCCACCGGCGCCGTCTGTGATACGGGGCCCCGGACTTGAACATCAGTTGGGGCACCCGGGGATGCCTCATGAGAGCTTTTTTTCGGCCTGGGGAAGGGTAGGGAACCAGCAGGAGCTTTCTTGGGCTCAGGCCGCTTAGGCGTCCTTACGTGCCATGCCCGATTGACGACGTCGTGACTATGATCACACGTTTCCGCCGGCCCATGGGGATATCTGAGATCAAGTCCCTCGAGTCCGGGGCAGCCTGACCTGGCTTGATTCCCCAGGCTTGCCTAGGTAGGCATTTCTTGGGGTTGTACGCGCATCATCATTGGCTGTGGCGTCTGACCTCGCCTGATGAACATGAACCGTCGCTGGAGCCAGCAAGCTTCTGTCCGAGAGAGGGGTTGACATGACAGTCCGGGGATCAGGAAGCTCGAGTTGTTCTCGTGGAAGTTGATTTCCTTCATCACATGGTTGGCATGTTGTTTCTGGCGGTTCCTGTTTTTCTCATTCCTGCACATCTCTTGTTTCTGTGTCGCGGCAAAGGCGGGCGCAGATTCAGCCATCATGACTTTTCTCAGCCCATTTGTGGGGTTACACATTACAAGCCCTCGTGCCATGAGCTCTTCTCTCAGCCGAGTTCCTGAAATTTCTGTCAAAGACCGGGATTCTGCAGGGGAAAGGAGCATTCTCGGCATTCATCTTTTTTGTTTTGGGTGCCTCTTTGACACACTGCATCATGGAGGAGTTGGGTTGTTTGACCAACTCTTGCCTCTTTTCTCTTGCTTCTTTTTCCTTCGCAACGCCCAGGAGAGCAAAGACATACGACTGTGTCCAGTTCGCCCATGCTTCATAGACCACTGCTATGCTTGTGTCAGTCTGAGGAGCTTTCAATCTGCGGCGCTTGCCAGGATCTCCTTGCCCGCGGCGGCAACTGAAGGCGACGCAAGGTCCGAGCTGCGATACACGACATACAACAAGACACACGTCAGCAAGATGCATAGTCAAGCTGTGCAGCAATTGAGGGGCTATGTTGGCAGTAGTGATACAGCCAACAGTTTGCATTGATATGTATAAACCGGGTCAAAAACAGAATCTCCTCCCGCATTCCCTTCCTTTGGCAGGGCCGCAAAACACCGAAACTATTCCCAAGCGCTTGCAAAGCTAACAGATATTCAGATGGATCATTTTTGTCTCGCTTCCCTCCTCTCGGCTCGCCTCGGCTCGCATTGCATTATGGAAGCACTCAGGCAGCGGCGGGAACCTCGATCGACTGCTCGACACCATCGGCGGTGGCCGAGTTGATCTTCTTGCCAGTCTTGGCAATCTTGGTGAGGACGGTCTCGTAGGGCAGGGCGGTGATGACCTTGGCGGTCTGGTTCTCGAGGGAGACCTCGTAGCTGTCGACGCCTAGACGCGGGGTAATGTCAGCTCCTGGATTGAAGCAGCGGCATGCATGGCGCTATGGTGAAGAGCTGTCTGGGCAGGCAGAGGGTAACATACCGTCGAGCTTCTTGAGGACGCGGTCGATAGCGCCAGAGCAGCCGCCGCAGCTCATGGTGACGTTGAACTCGTAGGTGTGGGCGTCGGCCATTGTGATGGTTGGTGATTGGAGATGGTGGGGTATCAAAGGGAAAGTGATGCAAGATTACCGAGTGTTGTTGAAGATTGGAATGGGAAATCGCGTAGATGTGGTCGTCGAGGTGGTTTTGTAGGTTGTGTAGAGTTGTAATACGGTGAGTTGCTGACAATAGAGGCGACGGTGAATTAATAATGGCTGGCTGGGTTGGGCTGGCTCGGCGGCGGCTGGGCGCCTTTTTTGCGTTTTCCGTCCCGCGATAATTGCGCAATTGGGGAGGAGGCGCCCCGTTCAAGCCGGCCGAGGTTCCGCCAATTCCAGATCAAGAAGGGAAATGAAATGAGAATAGACGCTGATAAAAAATTATGAAACTTGCTCAAGACACGGGGGAATTATCTGAAACATGCTCTTGTTTGCAATTCTTCCGACGCTGGCCGTTTCCATACTTTTTTTCTCATTTGTAAGTAAGGAGGCAATTGACATCGTGTTGCTGTGTTACCAATTGTTGCTTTGAGGCTATACGCTAAGCTTACAACATGTCGATCTTGCATCTCTCGTCATCTTAGTTGACAATGCCACAACCACGACATCTATTTAGAGAAGAGGACAGATTTTGTCTTGTCTGAATTGCGTCTTGCTACTAGAGTCCGAGCGCCGATAGCCGAGTTGAGCTCATCATCGTGATGGTTGATGTCAACTACCCTAGAGCGTCAAGTTGACAACTTTAGAATTGCGAATGAATAGATATATCTAGTAAATCATGTGACGAATAGATTCGGAATTATATTATCTATCGTGCATATTTACCTTGGCGTCATAAACTCTCAGTAAACTCGGCACCTGCCGAATCGTTAACCCATGCAGAAGCCATCCCGGGTGTATTTCCTCGAGAAAGCTACATTTGAATCTCCGACCAGACACCAACCGGACATCAATATCTCTACACTGACATTCTATCCCAACACACCTATCGTGCACACGCCTCTCAAGGGGGAAAAAAAGCAAGAATGGGCTGATTCAACTACCGGCGCTAAAAAGGGGACTTCGGAAAGCTCTGACCCGAGCCAGCATTTCATCATCACCTCACTTCACTTCCCGTATTAAACCTCGCAAGAATCCAACGGAGGAGGGATGCCGCATAAGTTGGGTGACGAAAGAAAGAAGCTCTGCGGATATGTAGCCGCACACACACACGTCGGGATAGCAAGTACTGCGTGGGAGGCTCTAACGGGTGACAGCCCTACGACAGGTGATGCACAACGGTTTGTATCGCCATCAGCCGCATTTCAGCCTCATGGGTATTAACCCACGAGGGTTCGATATCAAAAGCACCCCTTTCCCCTGCGAGTCTCGCCACATGTCACTTGCTCCACCGAGATGACGCTTCGAGAAGAAAAGCTATAGGTGTACATCGAACACACCTCGCTGTGCCCCTAGGTTACCTACCTAGCGTGAGCGGATATCTGGCCGAATAGCCTCAAGTACGCTCAGGTGATCTGATCTTTTTTCTTTATACCATGAACCCTCCGGATGCCACCGCTAACAAAAAGAAACCCGGCGCTGTGGTCGCGGGACTCCGGGCAGTTTCTCGGCGAAACCGGTTTTTCTCAACGGAGCGGACTCGGCCTTCCGCTTTGTTGCTCTGTGTGTCATATCTATCGGGTCTGGGTTTCTGACGAGGCAAATATCACCGGAGTGGTATGATGGAGAGCCGTCGCTACCGAAGGGAAGGAATCAAACGGTCTGAAGATCATTCTGCAACGGGCCTCGCCGGGCTCGTTACGAATACTTTTCGGTTATTCGACATGCCCAAGGTCTTATCTTTCGGTGTGTGCGCGTGTGGTTTGCTGTTTTTTAGCCGGTGGGTGGGATATAGTGACGAGTCACATAATGGTTCATGTCGCCACGATGAGGATGGGGTTTGTTCATCTCTTGTCATGGGTAAAGTTGGACAAATGCCATGTTGGGATTCGATATGCGTTTGATCGGCAGAGTCTGTTCTGATCTGATCCAAAGGGACACATTCATCCTATGCCATGATGGCTCACCAAGGCCGTTGTTGCCTTGGAACCTCGGCGACTCTCACGTTGATGCGAGGCATCTTTACACCCCCTTCGTCGTCTACCATGTCATCGTCTACTTCGGTCGTTGCCCACACACTGTCCATCTCATCCATCCACTCCTCGAGCTCCCCCTCCTCAACAAACTCTCGCTCCGTGTCGGTGTCGACGTGCTTCATGCGCACCGTCTCGCCTGGGGAAGGCAGAGACACAATCTCCACCCGCGGATGCGCTTCGATCCCGGCCACGTCGTCGTCCTCGGCTGGGATCGAGTCCGGGTCCCTGGGTAAGTCGTCCCAGACGACGTAGATGGCTCGTAGGTTCCTGGCCCACGCCATGATGCACGCTAGGTTTGGGATGCTGTAGTAGGCGGTAAAAGCTGGCACGGCTAGGTTCCCGACGTCGCTGCAAAGGGGACGATTTCCGCCAGCTTCATAGTCGCGCTCCATGTGGTCGATAAAGTCATACCAGCTGTCGCGCGGCACGTACAGCATGTCGCGGTCGCGATCAAACTCGCGTACGAGCGTCATGCCCGGCGCGTCATTGTCTCCCTCAGGGTCGTGAAACTGCTTGATCGCCTTGTTCTCCTTAATCCAGCGATGAGCGGCCTTGCGTGACTCGTAGCATACAAACAAGGCCACAGGAGTCGGCATTTGTATTGGAGCTGGTGGCATTCCCGGGACGAGGTAGTGCATCAGCCATCTGTCTCCAAACACGTGGAGGGTGCCATTGTCTTGGCATGTGACCTCCCAGATTCTGTAGCGGAGCTCTTTTGGGAGCTTGTTGAAGAGGTGGAATTGGTTCATCTTGAGGTGAGTTTTGAGTTTGAGTTGGTGATGGTGTTGAAGAGAAGAGGAAGAGAAGTCAGATTGATGGAGGGGCAGGTCGAGACGCGGTTCCGTAACGTGGCGTCTATACCTACGCCAAGTCATCTCCCTTGATTTGAAGTGATGATATTGTGATAGATTGGCAATTTAATTGTGATTACAAGTTGCCAGGGAATAAACTGTCCCTTGCAGGTTGGCTGTTCCATAGGAGGACATGATACAACAACCCGAGACGTTCGGCGTATAGTCTGGCTATTATTCACGAGCAGCAATCTCAGGTCAACATGGATAACTCGGAGTGAATGTTGGTAATCACATCCCAACTCACATATACATGAATCTCACACCTAAAACCTCGACTCAACCTTCTTAAGCGTGTCCTGCAGCGCCCACTCACTCCTGCTGGCCTTGCTCCTCACAGCATCAGCCTGCTCCTCAGTGAACCCCCTCGCCTCAACCGCAGGGTTATATCCCAACTTGTTCTTCTGTCCGACCGTGTTCGAGTCAACCACCGGCGCCGTCTTTCCATCAGCTCTCTTATACACCGTCACGACCACTGCACCGCCCAGACCAAGGTTATGCTGAAGACAGTACTTTGTCTCTGGGACGGCGCGGTTGTTGGCCCAGCCTCGGAGATGCCACACCAGCTCTGCGCACTGAGCTATGCCCGTTGCACCGAGGGGATGACCCTTGGAGATGAGTCCGCCTGAAGGGTTGACTACGTACTTGCCACCGTACGTGATGTCGCCTGCTCGGACGAGCTCGTGGGCTTTGCCCTTGTCGCAGAGACCTAGGGCGTCGAGGACGATCATTTCGTTGGCGCTGAAACAGTCGTGAAGTTCGACGACTTGAACGTCTCGAGCTGAAATGCCTGCTTGTTGTGTCGCCTCCTTTACTGCTCGCTGTGTCATCTCGTAACCCATAAGGTCAATAGCGCTTCGAGAGAACAAGCTCGGTGCATCAGTTGCAAGACACTGGCCAGCGATTTCGATAGCCTGTTCACGAAGATGCGGTCGAGCCTTGAGGAAGGCTTCAGAGACGATGATGGCTGCGGCGCCACCGTCTGAAGTTGGGCAACACTGTAGTTTCGTCAGGGGTTCGTGGATCATGGCCGCCTCGAGGATCTGCTCCTTTGTGTAGACCTGCTGGAACTGCGAGTAGGGGTTATTGGGCGAGTGTGCGTGGTTGACTCGTGCAATCTCTGCAAAGTCCTCTGCCTTGGCACCGTACCTGACAGCGTTAGCAGTCATGTTTACCTTGTTTATGGAAAGTTGCTCACTTCTCCATGTACTCTCTTCCAGCGTTGCCAAACATCTGAGCTGCACCGGGAGCGTTGGTGACACCCCTCGTCTCAGCCATCATCTTTGTCGTCGCCCCCAATGGATTCGCCCTATCTTTAAAGAACGACTGTAGACTTCCTGGCATCATCTTTTCAAACCCAACAACCATGACACAATCCGCGGCACCGTGCTGCACGAGTGTGCGCGCCATGTTAAGTCCGGTACTCCCGGTGGAGCAGTTATTGTTGACGTTGTACACAGGAATTCCCGTCAAGCCGAACTGGTAGAAGACGCGTTGGCCGCAGGTGCTGTCGCCGTAGCAGTAGCACGCCACACCTTGATCGACATCGTCGTAGTTGATCTTTGCGTCCAAGAGGGCCTTGACGCCGGCCTCGAAGCCGAGCTCGGTGTAGTCGACTTTTCCGCGGGGCTTGATGAACTTTGTCATGCCCACGCCCAAGACGTAGGCGGATGATTTCTTGGAAGGCATATTGTGTGTTGAGTAAAGCACTTGCTTTGTATATCACTAGAGTTTTGTAAAAGAGAAAAGAGTGAGTTGTACAAGTTGAGGGGAGGAGAAACAGGTAGTATATTAATCAAGTCATAACCCCAGGCTGATCATCCCCAGATAAAGACCCCGGGCTTTTTTTTTTTTTTAACAAACCAACAGGAATAGCTTGTTCAAACAAGGTAACTCGGCTCGTTCTTTAATTCGATCTTGTAGGTTTGTTACCCCAGCTTTTTTCACTTGAATGCGGGGAAGAGAAGCCGAGGCTGTTTTGCTCATGATGATCCAGTTGCGCCGAGGCTTGTTGACTCGGGCGGAACATTTCACGGTCCGAGTATTTCGTGTCTTGAGATTGTTTCTCGTGCTTTTGATGAATTGTCCGATGGAATAAAGGGGACATTTAGAAGAGCGTGTTTAGATGATTGTTGCGCTCGGGCAATTGGTTTGGTGATTGCTAAGCTTGGTCGGATTACGTTGGATAATGCTGATTCTATCGGCCGAGTGACACCGGCCCCGGGATATATCGGCCGAGTTGGACGATGGCCTTGTTGCTCATTATCAAGACGACGAGTACAAAGTTGAGCTTGGAGTCCTGTGTATAGTATATAGATGAAGCAATACTATTACTAGTGTTATCATCTGTCTTTGTTCAGACCTGAACTCTTCAACTCAAAACCCCTAAAACCTCACTTACACGCTCACCACTAAAATGAACATCCTCCTCCTTGGCGCTTCTGGCCGCAACGGTTCTCTCATTCTCCAATCAGCTCTAAAACGCGGATACACTGTAACAGCCCTCGTTAGGGACCCATCCATCTTTACCAACACAAGTCCCAGCCTCACCTTGGTTACTGGCTCGCCCACCTCTCAACCCGACCTCGAGGTAGCACTCCAATCTCCTACTCCTCCAGACGCAGTCATCTTTGCTCTCGGCCACCGCAAGACTGGAACCTCGCCTTTTGCCTCTACAGCACCAAACTGCCCTCATGATCTTATGGAAACTTCAACCAAGGCCTTGTTGAACGCCATCAAGGATACAAACCTCACCAAGCAGCCCAAACTCATCGTCAACTCCTCTCAGGGCGTCGGAGCTTCTATGGCCTCTCTTTCTGCGCCCATGCGCTTCGTTCTCAACTACAGTAAAGCCCTTCGGACAGGTCTAGATGGCCACACCAACGTGGATGCCCTCGTGAGAGACAGTAGCCTACCTTTTGTCCTTGCTAGACCCTGCCGTCTCACTGAAGGGCCTGTTACCGCTGTTCGAGCTTGGCCTGACGATGGACGTGGTGCTCCGGGATGGTCCGCTGCCGTATCTAGGGCCAGCGTGGCAGAGTGGTTGGTTGATGCTGTTGGAGGGAGTGACTTTGATGAAAAAGCACCCGTACTCACCAACTAGGGACAGGTCTTCAAATAGCGAACACGTCCTTGTGGGAAAAGGCCCCTGGCTATAATGCATCGTCCAAATTCACCTTCATAGATCAATATATGCCTGGAATATCTTCATGATTCAAGCACCAGTGTCATCAACCCTCCGAGACAACATTCTTCATGGTCCTCTTTCAATGCCATCAAAAAATAAAACCCCCAAACCAACCCCTATTTCTTAACCCCCCTAACCACACGCCCGCCGCCGATATGTCTGTGTTCAAGCCGCAATGAATACAAAGTCCCTACTTTGACCATCTATCTTGATGCGCCACCCGCGAGACCGTACAAAAAGGTGACAGTATATAAAATGCGCCCTGAAATTCAGGTAAAACACTCGCCCCAACGCCCGCTGAAACTTTCCAGGGCCGAGCTGTGCCGTGCCCGCCCAAAGAGTAGCTGTTTGTTTACCATCGCCGTTGTGGCTCGCTCATCTACATCAAGACCCAAGCCGATACCCCCTCACAGCTCCCAGGACAAAGGAAAGTGATATCAAGATGAAGTGAAGAAACATGATAACAAAGAAGAGAAGAAAAGGTAAAGCAATGCCTACAGCATCTGCCAAAGATGCTCCAAAATCCGCTCAAAAGGCATACATACATATCCAACTAAATCAGGGGATGTACTCATTCCCAGCCTTCCCATAATATCCAACCGTCAAGATCACTGACAGCTGCCGGTACTCCTACCGGGTTTCTCTGGTACATGAATGGCATGTGAGGGTGTCTGTATGCGTCCCCTTGGAAACCATCGACAGGCCCAGGAGGAGCGACAGGGACATTATCAAGATTCATGTTGGTTGCCCTCAAGCAACGATCCAACACGATGTGAAGCCCTTGTACAACCTCGTCTGGTTGGAACTCTGGCTTCTGAACGCAGTTGAGCACCACCGAAAGGCAAACCACATCCTTGGTGTCGCGGCCACTGATGTTGCGAATCAGTAGATCCAGCGTCTTCTCCACTGTGCTAATAAGCCGTGAAGGCGACCATAGCACCAGGTTCTCCGGGTTATAGGATGGGTAGTCGTCCGATGAGTCGGGAGACATGCGCAATGCTTGCGAACCAAGCCCTGAGCTATCAGAAGCCGGACGCACTGCCGACCGGATGTAGAAGCACACGCTCAGGGCCGCTTGGATTATGTCCCTCTTGAGCACCTGATGGTACATCTCGGCGATATCCTGGAAATGGGCCAACATAGGATCCAGCTCGTCCAGGTACTTCATGATGACCATCGACGACCTAAGATATGCCCGGGAAATCTGGGCCGGCGCGTCAGGGGCGCCAATGGCAAATGGCCGGTACAGCGCGAGCAGGGGTCGCCTCACATGCATGTCGAGAATGACCCGGGACCGCCACTGCTTGCTTTTCTGCGCATCGCTCAGGATGCCTTGCCGGGGGAAGATATAATTAATGTCGTCGAGGAATCTCTCAAGCTTGGCTCCCACGTCCAATATCTCCTGGTAATCGCGGATCGTGTCAATGCGGTTCAGCATGTGTGCCACCTTCATCCGCACTCCCAAGGTCATGGCCGCGTAAACTTGCATCTGGTTGTCTGTAACCACATCTATCGGCTTCGACGGCGGCAAATCCTTCATGTCCGGGAATAGTTCTGCATCGTCCAGGTTCCGGGGTGGTCGGCATGTAAAGTCTCCATCTCGGACAAGACAAGGCAAGTTGCTGGCCAGAGAAATATGAAGGTCCATGTCCAGGATTGTGAACCACATTCGGCGGCGCATCTCGCCCAGGTACACAGGGACCCGGGGTTCAAATTCGGAAGGATCTCGATGTAGACCCATGGTCATAGCCATGCGCACGATGGATCCCAGTGATGTCCATGAGTCCTGGATCCGGGGTGTAATCATCCGCTGCGCATGCAGGAGGAGCACCTCCACCTGAAGTACCGCGAATTCAACCAACTGCTTCCCCCTTAAACTGTCCAGCCAGGTCCGTACGAGGGCGCAGGCTGTCGGGATATGTACGCCTTCCGCGCGCTCATTGCCGAGGCCCTTGGTCTTGGTCTCGAATCGGGATGCGATGGATAGGAGTGAAAGTAGTTGTGGGAGAAAGTATTCGGATTGCAACTTGCCCTCCCAGTACAGGTTGTACTGCTCCGTGAACAGGGGCAAGTGCAGGATTCGGTAGATGGTTTCGGATGTATCAACGTAAGAGTCGACGAGTCTATCGCATACCGACTTCTTTGGCAGGATGTCCGTCATGCGCTTATGAACAGGCATCATAGAGTCAACAAAGACGGTGATTGGGGAAAGCGACTTGCGATACTCGTCGAGGAGTGCTTTGTGGAACCTTCTAAAGTTCACCAGGGTGTCTCGAACCCCATTGACGTTGTGGATATTGGCCATGAAATCCTTGGCTTCGTCAAACTGGTCGCATTTAGTATCATCCGGTGCAGCAGCAGAAGGGTACCTACCAAGTTAAGCAAGACACGAGGACTGTTTTGGCCATGATACCTTGTTCTCAAAGCCCCTTCCTTGACCGTCAATCCCCGAATAGTATCAGAGGACGCCGCGATCAGTCTGCCACTAGTTTCAGAGGCGACAGGGCTTCGCGCCATAAGGTGCCTCTCTAGCCTCTCCATGCGCATCGCCAGCTCCTCCAACGAAGTCGGATTTGTAGAATCACCGTTGCGAACCGCCCCGTACACCGAGTCGTTGTTGGGAAGAGGAGTGCCCGAGGTAAACATGGCCGGGCCGCAGTTACGCTTTGCTGGTCGGGCAGGTTCTGGCATCTCGCTGTCAGAGCCATCGGAAAGGTTTGCGGAATCATGATCGACGGCATATTTGCAGGTTCGGTTCGATTTCTGGCATTGGGAGCATGGACAAAGGCGATCGCATCGCAGTTTTCTCTTTCGGCATTCGGTGCACGACTTGACTGGTCGCGGTCTCTTGACGCTGCGTTGCTGTTGCTGCTGCTGCTGTTGGTGGTGAGTAGGCGCATGGCCCTGTGAAGGTGTCTGCTGGTGCATGTGGTGATGCGGTGGAGTCTGCTGCGACAGAGGCGTATCGTAAGGAGTAGAAGCCAGAACGGATGGCGGAGGAGGCGCAGCGCCCACGTCGTGGGCATTCGAATGCGCTGTAGCCATCTCGAGAAAGACCGAGGTCAGGCGACAAAATTTGGCCAAGGTCGAGAAGGCGCGGAGATTGAGGGAGCTTGGAGGTTTAAGGAGTCGAGCTACTGGTCGGACGATTGGTCGGCCGAGAGTGTAAGTGGGATCGAGCAACAACAGCACGCCGACGAGAAGGCGATGACAGTCAACGAGCGTCGGTCGACCAGGCTGCGCGGACCAGCGTCGAGATGCTCAGCGGTGATGGAGAGATGTATGTGATCGTATACGGACGGAGATTCAGGCAGCCGACGACAGCCTCGGCTGGGGGAGGTAGGCAATGTTGAGTCGCAAGCGCGCCGAACTGGCGACGGACATGACGGATAGCGAGGGTAAAGGGACTCGAGCAGATGGCGAGAGGAGGCAAGAAGAGAAGAAACAGATCTGACCAAGGCGAAGCCGACACGAATAAGTCAGAAAGAGGCACCACACACGCAGACTCGGACAGGTTACAGGGCACGGGTTACGGGGAACGGGGACAGCTTGGACCGGGAGGCTTTGGTCCTTCCTTGGAGATGGGGCGGCTTGCCAGGGTCGTTGGACTTTACCTTGTTCGTACCCAGACACAGGTCGACGCCGTGGAGCTAGAGCGCAGGCGTGGTCCGTCGCTCTCTTTTTCTTGCTGTCTGATTCAGCCACCACAGACACGCGCACGCACGACTCGAGCGATCCGGCAGTGCAGTGCAGAGTGCGTGCACCTTTGAGCTTTGCTTTCTTTGCCAGAATGACCCAGTGGAGCCGAGCCGGTTTGGTTGGGTAGAGTTGGGCTGGGGGAGAGGAGTCGGACGGGAGAGGAGAGAAACCGATGGGGGATATTAGTTACAGGACGATTCGGAGTGGTGGTTCGTCGCGCGTCGCGCAAGCCGGACAATTGGCAATTAGCTACAGTAGTCCAGCCCAGCGACTAGCTTGTACCGTACTGTAGGACTTTTCGTGGGGTGAAAATGACCGGCCTGTGGGTGGGTGATGAGTGGGATGGACCGACGGTAGTGCCAGAGCCAATGCGGCCGTCAATCTCTTGTCAACCTATGCTATGCAATGAATCGTTGGAGCGGCTCGAGACGATGGATGGGGATGGCGATGGACCACGAGGCGCTGAATCGCAGCCCAGCCCAGCCCGGAGCTGGATGTGGTGGGGGGAGGATTGATCGGCCGATGGTGACAATCCCCAATCCCGGCTCTTGGTATTGATGCTGCAAGACGACGCCAGAAGGGTCTGGTCCCGACGGTGCTGTCGATCCTTTTGATGCAGGGGGTCGTCAAAGGTAGAGTGCGGTAGTGTACGGAGTACTCGATAATCAACTACCAGCTCGATGGGATCTATGCTCCTGGCACGAGCTTTATCTCCCGTCGTCAACTGATCGGGCATCTCAAAAGAGAGAACTGCAGTTCCCGTCGGGGAATCGATGGGATGTGCTAGCGTCGGAGCGAGTTATGCGGTTGCGAATAAGGTACGTACCCAGGACTTGGATTGGATCCTTCCAATGCCACGGAAGGCAGGTACCAAGAACAGGGTGCGTGCCTGCCTGCCTACCGACGACCAACCTGCTGCTGGGGAAGGGGCTGAGGGGCATCCGCACCGTGACCGCCGTCGGAGCCGGGTCTGGGCCTAGGCCCTGGAATGACGGGTCTCGACCGTCCCTTCCCTGGAAGCTTTGCAGCTCGGCCCATCGCCTCCCAAGGATGGACAAAGGCGCATGAATCGCACGTGATTGCTCCGAAACCCTGGGCCTCTCTGATCAACAGCATCACAGGTACAGTACCGTGCTGTACCTGCAATCCCATTAAACTTCACGTTTTGATCCGTCCCCCCTTCATGATTCAATCAACCACGAGGCAACTCATGCTAATCCGTCCCATCCCGCCATGATCGCCAGCCTCGATCGTTCGCCTCCACTGACTGCGTATCTATCCGCCACCCGTGACACACTAGAGCTATCGTCCAGACAGCTCTCGAGGCATCAAGCGCTGGTCCACGGCATGGCACGTGCTGACCCAGGAACCCCCATCCACCTCAGACATCGACTCTCCGAACCGAGAGAGGCGGGGGGACCAAGAGAGAGAGGATAGGCACAGACCGCGAAACGGAGACGGGAGAAACGGCCAAGGGAAACACTGTCTGTGACACCAATAAGCCATTCGTACTCGGCAGACAGTACACAGTACAGCTTGGCCCGTCACCAGGTTCACCGCAGCCGCAGGAATCCTCTCGGCCGACCCATCTCCAGCTTATCCCCAGTCCCTCCGCTTCCTGTCTGTAACCCCCCCTTCGCCGTCATGTGCAGAGCCGTGCTCCAGGCAGGCATTTCCATCCAATCCCCGGTCACCGGCGGCAGGACACTTCTGCTGCGCTCTGCAGACATACAAATTGTGGCCTTGCAGTTCGCCCATCCATCCCGAGGCCAGACCAAGCCCAAAACAAGCCTTTGGTCGCCGGAGTCTGTGTCTGCAGACGCCAAGACTGGACTCGGAGCATGGCAATGCCCCCCTCCTGATCCCTTTTCGGCTCGTTTGGATCTCCTTGAGCTGGTTGTGGCGCCGCCCGAGGAAAGCCTTTTCAAGCCAAGGACCGTCTGGCTAGCCAATGTGCCCAACTCGTGGGACGGCAGCCCAGCAACTTGTCATTGCCCGCCTCCCTCCCGCGGACGCCTCGTGTCATGTCTTGCTTGCATGCATTGCCGAATGCCCTCCTTCATCACGGTCACTCATTGCATTGTCGGACGAATTGGTCCTCAGAGGCTAGAACCTCTCCACTCGGGTTCGCCCCCGGCGGACGACCCCAGACGGCGAGGCTCGACAACCCCATGGATACCTTGTATCATGTGTTCCGCACAATGTTGCATGCGCCATATGCGCTTACCTACCGTGGGCTCGCGGGATTCTGCTGATTTGATTTGATTCCAGTCGGCCGATGGCTCGGGCTCAGGCTTGGGCGCGTGCTCCCTGCACCATCCATCTCTTGTTGAGCAATTAGCGTCGGTTCCCTCGGCTCCGAAAGAAATCTTGTCGACACGATGGATCAGTAAAGAACCCACGTCCAGTCAACATTCCCTCCGCGCGGGCGCCGATGCTGACCGTCGCCGCAGATGGCTGTGGTTATTATGCTGACCAGCATATCCCGGGACATGCTCCTATTATTCCTCGTCTCTGGTGTCAATGGCTTCATTAGCCACGTCCCTAGTTGGTCCTAGGACCAGTTGGCTTGACCAGTTGGCTTGTTACCAGTCGTCTTTTATTACTGTACTCCATGGCCCCGCGCGGCACGCTCATGGTGATGCAAAGGCAGAGACTCGACGAGCACCAAACTTGCCGATATACCCTGGTCTCACACGCAGCTTCTCAATCTGGCATAGCGGGAATGCTTGTTTCAACAGACCCGGAGCAGAAATTCGCCTGGATTTTCGGAATAACCTCCTGAGCGAGCTCCTCCTGTCTTGGACCGGGGTCAATGGCACACCAACCGCAATCCAAGGTCAAGGCAGGGCTGAGCATTTTCATCCGACTATTCTTGATTGCGCTTAGCACTCTTTTTCATCATGCCACACTCCCGGCATGCTATTGGCTGCCGTGTCTTGGGTTTAATTGTCTTCTACCGCCCATTCTAGAAACCTTCATCTCCCGGATGCGCGCTTACTCGCTGCTAAGATACTCATTTTGATGAATTGCCGTTGCTGTTTTATTACGTGGAAAGAGCTTCTAGATGATCTGGGGAGTCTTGGCTTCCACGGAGGGTCTCCTAGCGGAAATAACATTGTAGCAGCTCAAGATCTTGTCGAGATTGAGTGAGATATGACCATCTCCGGTTGGCCGTTGCACCATGGCCTTCCTGGTCTGGATTCCTTGTTGGGCAGTTCGATCATGGGCAAAAGTCGATGCTCAATTCGGACGAACGGTTGTCGTCTCCGTTCAGTGTTTCACTAGACACCTATTGCATGGGTTCATATACCCTCACCGGCCACCTTTTACAACCACTGTCGATCGCCATCGACGCCTGTTGAACAATACCGTCTAATATGTAACAGCCACGGTAAACGCCTCAAACCTGCACCTGCACCTGTACCGCAGAGTAGCTGGCCTCACCGGTCGTCCTCGGGCCAAGCCCCTGGAACCCCGTCGCCGTTCGGACCACGCTCCGCCTCCGACCCAGGCCGCTCCGGCCTGTCATCTTCACCTTCATTCCCCTGATGTCCAGTACCAGCCTCATCAACCTCACCAGTCGGGCCGGCTGTCACGCCAAGCATCTGCATCAGTCGGTTGAGAAGTCCCGCCTGGTTGCCCGCACGTGCGTGCTCCTCCAGATCCCGCTGTAGCTCCTCGTCGTCAAGCAGGGCGGCAAGTTCCATATCGTCGCCGCCCTCGGCGCCGGTGTCAACTCCAGCCGCGTGACGCGCAAACATGTTACGCATACGCGCTTCGATCTCGCTGGGCGGAGCTTCTGTCTGCCGCTGCCTCTCTCGCCAGGGCAGTTGTGTCCCTTCGCTAGTGAATATGTTGTCCGCCTCTGCAGGTGGGAGGGGGTCGAATTCGTAGTTGGGCTGGGCATCAAGCAATTCTCGAGGTGCCAGCGCCATGAGGGATGTCTGGCCTTCGAGGAAGGCAAGCCGTGTGGCGCCCTGGTCTGCCGGAGAGTCATCCTTGGGCAGTACACTCGTGTCTACCTTTTCTAGGGTGTTGGCTACCCTTTCCAGTACTGGAATGGCTTGAGCGTTGTTCCAGAGATCCTTTGCCTGGTGGATGTAGAGTTTCACCCAGAACGACCTGTCATTGGAGTCGGCGTTAATACCCCAGATGGATGGCGGTGTATCGAGGTTCAGTTCCTGGAATAGCGCGCAGTACAGCCAAGGAACTCGCCTCATGCCCTTTTCGAGCTCTTCGGCAGCGCGGGTCGTATCGCCGAGCTGCAGGTGAGCCAGCACCAGGGTTTGCCTTAGGTATATTGTGTCTCGGTTCTCGCTCGTCTTTTCTACCTCGTTGAGAAAGTCAATCAGCCATTGAGCCTCGTGGGCTCGAATTGCAAGAACGTGGATAAAGTGCCGCATGGCATAGGGGTCCTTGGGATCCAGCGTGTAAAGAAGCTTGGCCCACTCAAAAGCTGTTCGGTAGGTTCCCTTGCGAATGAGACTCTTGAGGTAGTGATATCCTGCCAGCCAGAACTGTCTGTTCTCTGGTCGGCGGAAATCGAGACGTGCCTTGCCCTGCTCAATGTTCTGACGGAAGGCCGAGGTGGTCACGCGACCAAAGGTGAAGAGGGCTCGCTCGCACAGTTCAGCAGCGAGGGCCATGTTCTGATCCTGCTTGGCGACGCTGCTGACCTGCAGGAGAGTTGATACATGGTATGCTAAGATGGGTGTTAGCTGTCATGCTATACATGTTAATGTCCAGTCCAATCTGGTATAACTTACGGACTTCTTTGAGTAGATGAACCATGCGCATAGGATCACCAATGTGCACACAGGCGAAAAAGAAGGCCTGCACAGCATCATAGTTCTTGTCGTGGAAATACGCATACTCGGTCCACGACCCGTCGGGCGCCTTTCCCACCTCCTTCATCGTCAAACCTCCAGCGCTCTGCTTCGGCCAGTGCTCCCGTCCCTGGATAAACACATTGCGGCGCAGCGACACCTCTGGAAGCTTTGGTGCACCTGGTGGCGAACGGAGAAACGTCTCGAGGTCGACTTCGCGCTGCATTTGACCTCGTCGGTTTCGGTTGTTGCGTTCTTGCTCTTCTTCTGCTTCGGCGGATTCTATGACCTCGCGGCCAAAGAGGTTGCGCATCTCGTTGACGGCACGGAGATGATATGGGTTTATGGTTAGTAGCTCGTTGATTCGACGGGTTGATTGAGCTGAAGCTGCTGCCGAGGTGTTTTGTGCGTTGGTGGTGATGTTGAGTTCCTTGATGGCCTTGTCGATTTCATCCTCTTCTTCCTCAACGTCCGGTGCTGCAGCAGAAGCCTTCTTCTTCTTCTTCTTTTTCTTCTTCTTACTCTTCCCTGACGTAGCCGGCTGCTGCTCCAGACTCACTTTCTCCTTAACCTGCTGTTCCTCCTCTTGCTCCTCATCCTCATCCTGCGCATCATCATCATCGCCACCTAGAGCCGCAAAGAGGCTCACCCGAGGCTTAGGAGCTGCAATAGGCGCGACCTCCTCCTCGCTCTCATCTGATTCCTTCTCTGCGAGTCGCTGCGCCTCCTCCAGCTCTCTTTGCTTCTGGAGCTTCCGAAGCTGTCGGCTCGACATGTCTGAGGCGGGGTGTCGAGCTGTTGCCCGACTTCAGGGCCTGATTGATATGTCGATAGAGGTGGACGGCAAAGATTTCCCCGTGATTAAAGTTTGAAATATACTTGATCTCGAAGTAACAGGCAGACACGATCTGCTTATATACTCAACTTCGTCCTTTGTTTGAATGAATGGATGTGTCACGCCGTTGGGCTGATGACGTTTGGCGGGGCAGTGAGAGCAACGTTTTGTGAAGACCCCTCGACCCTCTTTTGAGATGCTCAACAACCAATAGATAGGCCAGGATAAGAATTACAAGGGCTAAAAAGTTGTGCATACACCCTGATGAGGCTTGTGAATATCAGCCTTGAACTGCCAGCCTTCGTCGAGAAGCTTCTGTCGGTCACTCAGATGCAACCTCCAAATCTTGTCTTCAACCGCAGTCAACCGCAACTTTCTGCATTGTCACTTCAATGTGCATCACTGTAACTCAGAAGGTCTAGTGTCAGCATCATATCACGAAAGTTAACGAGTGAGCTTGAAATCATATATTAAGCAGGGAGCATCAGCTCGAGCCCTGTTTGCATCAAGCCCCATTTCCTAGTTTTTGCATCATGGGTTATCGTGCTCCTCGTCAACTAGGTTCTTCATCTTCGTAACCACCCACCCCGGGCCATGCCAGGCCATTCCTTGTTTTCCATTGTTGTTTCATGAATTCAAAAAGGGTCAAAGCAAATCCCCTTGCAGCCTGCAATGCAAACCACCCGCAGTCCCGCCCGCTTCCAATACAATCCTAACTCCAGGCCAAGTGGCCTTGTTTCTGTGGCGGTCGAGCTCTGGCTCGTGATCCCGTCCAAGCCAGTCTGCCTTTGGGCAGTAGAAATGCAATCGTTCCAAAAGCCAGAGCCGTGTGTTGATACATCATACAAGGCAATTAGGAATCTTGTGATACCAAGATCGCGTCTTGGTTTGTTGTAGTTGTCCGAGAAAATGACTGCCCGCCCTCTTCGTAGACGTCAGGTCTGGTGTAAAGCCCATCTTTGATTCATAACCCATCGGCCAATTGTACGCCTTCCGTTTATTGGGCGGCAGGTGTCGTCTGGTACTGAGGTCGGTTTCCTCCTCGACCGCCTCGTCCATAACCGCGACCACCCCGGCCACGTCCACGGCCTCGGCCCCGGTAGTTGCGGTAACCACCGTCAACACTACCTTGGCCAAAGGTCTCCATGTTCTTTCGCTGCTCCTCGCCCCGCCATTCGCGACCACCAGGCTTCTGGCCACCATTCTCGGCTCGCTCTCTGGACTCGCTGGAGATGTTGTCGAAGAAAGACCTCGACTTGTTGTAGGCAACAGGAACATCATCGGTCGTCGTAGGCTCGGGGCCCTCGATGATAGGTCCTTCGGGCGTCTCTGTCAGAGGGGAGCCAGCAATGGCCTCCTTAACAACCTCCTGCTTGTTGAACTTGGCATTGGACTGAGCAAAGTCAAAATCAGAATCAGGCACCTCGACCTTGGCAGTGGCAGGTCGGCCACCACGACCACGCCCCCGACTGGCGGGTCCACCTCGCGAAACAGCGTTAACTCTCATCTCGTTGACCTTCTTGGTCAGGTTGTCCATAGCATTTCCGCCACCGTTACCCAGCTGAGCCATGGCAACTGCCACCGCAGCTCGGGCGGCATTGGTTGCGTCCTGTACATTACCAGGCGCGGCAGTCACGGGAGCCTTGTTAGCGGCGTCTCCTCCGACACCAGGAAGCGAGAATGGCTTGGCAGTAGATCCAGTCAAGGGAATAACGGGAGTGATCCGGTGGTTCTTGGGTCCAGTGGGAGCAGAAAGCTTAGCATCCTCGGGCTTGGTTTGTCCATTGGCGGCAAGACCGGCAGCCGCCTGCTTGACCTCCTCAACCGAGGGCTTCGAGTCGACGGGAGGAGTAGGAGCATGGGCAGGTTGACGAACACCTTGAGCCAGAGACTTCGGCTCAGTAGGGGGCGCAGCTTGTCCACTTGGCGTGGCCGCCTTGGCCCTGTCGGCACCAGGACCGATAGGAGCCGGCTTCGAGTCCTGTGAAGGGCCAGAGCTGGGGGTAGTACGTTGGTTCTGAGGGCCCTCGGGGGCGCCAGGGGCACCAGGACCACCGGGGCCAGGAGGGAAGGGGTAGTTCCAAGGTCCAGGGCCTCCAGGGCCGTTGGGACCACCAGGTGGGAAGCCTTGACCGGGAGGGAACCAGCCGGGAGGGGGAGGGTACGGCATGTTGCCAAAGTTGGGGCCAGGTCCGGGTCCAGGTCCTGGGGCACCGCCACGGCCCCAGTTGCCAGGTGGTGGACCACCATAGAAGTTGTTGGGTGGGTAAGGGCCTTGGCCGAAGGCGCCGGCAGGAGGAGCGTTCTGGTTGGGACCCTGAGCACCAGGGCGAGCTCGAGCCTTTGATTCAGTTAGCAGTTGCATCTCAATCTGCTTTGGCAAAAGAAATTGGTTTGAATCTCCCAGATCAGAAGGAAGGCAACGGAAATCTCGACATTGTTTTTTGCGCTTTCCGACATGTAATGTTTTACATCCGAAATATTTCATCATATGGGAGGGGATACAGAAAGTATTGAAAAGGTGACTTACTCCAACGATAGCAGGGTCATCGGGGACAGCTGGAGGCTTGTTCTCCTTGATGCTGGGGTGCTCCTCGATCCTCAAGTCCTTGACATCGCTTCCACGGAAGACAATGTACTCGTAAACTTGGTCCGAGGGAGCAATCTCCTCCTCGGGTCGACCTTTGCGGCCTTCCGTTCCGAATGATCTCACATTCTCGAGAGATACTGTGGATTCGTCCGAGTTGATCTCGTGGAGGGTGCCAACATAGCTATGCTGGAGTCAGCGACGGTCGCGGGTGCGGATGAATCGCGTGCGGAAACATACCGAATATCGCTCTTTGAGATGAGGGAGATGCGAGACCTGTGGCTGCATAAGCGGGCGAAGACAGGCGTCAACGACCACGTTTACCATACCCGAGAAATTCAGACATGGCCGAATCGAAAAGCCACGTTCAGCACGTGGTGAGCTGGTGTGAAAAGACGCTCGAAATGCAAAAGACAGAAATGAAAGTTGCAGCGAGATGTAGCAAGAGGTAGAGGGAGGGGAGAAGAGTAGGAGGGAGGGTGTCGCGTGTCGAAGAGGTGGAGGTTGGGGGAGGTTGGTTGTGTGGAGGTAGAGTTTTGTGATTGAGGAATGAAAAGAGAGGCTGGAGGTTCTTGAGCAGCAAGCCCTGCTAGTAGCAGTGCGGGGCTAAAGTATGGATATACCTCGGTAATTTCCCGGGTGCTGCTCTCGAGCTCAGATTGAAGGCTGGTTGCGAATAGGGTAGAATGTCTCAAAGAAAGCCACCAGAGATGAAAAGAGAAAATTTGTACAGGGGACTGAGAAGAGTTTCACAAAATGTTGATTTTCGCCCTGAGAATTTATGTAAGCTTTGATGGAAGCGAGAGGCCGGAGTACGTTTATAGGTGAAGTGATCTTATATCACTGACAGTCAAGGACTTGAACGAACTCATTTCATGAATACCGGACCAATAGACTTGCTCTTCCACGGCTTGCCATTCGAAGAGCAGCAACTCACTGACTGGTTGAATCTTCCCTGGCACTGACGACATTGTCCGTATCATGTCTTTATCACAAACAATTTCAAGTGGCCATGCTATCTGCAGCTGGCTGAATAAATGCCAACTGTCGAAAGTTGTATGTACTGTAAAAGCGACGGTCTACATCTAGAATCATGAAAGCATTCCCAAACCCCTGTAACGAAACGAACGAAAGGACGCGTAGACCTCTTGTGCACTGAGGAACAAACCCGTGCAAGCCGAACCTGAAAGTGACTGCCTAAAACTCCATTACGTAGCCGAAATCCCATCTCATCGGAACTTGCTGAAAATGACTGCGATGATAAGAATCACCAGGACTGTAATAATGGCAATCGTAATCACCCGATTTGTAGCCATCCTGTAGATCCACGGTCAGTACTTGGCCATGGGCGTCAACTCCTGAAAGGGCCACTTTACCTACGCGCCATTCCCCTTAGCGTCTTGATACTCCTGTCCACGTAACCCTCACTCTCGAGTAGTCGGCCGTGTGTGTTCTCGATAACCTCTCGTTGTCTGCCGAGATTGGCCAGAGTGTCTGCGCCGATTGCCTCCGTCTCGTTGGCAAGGGCCTGGCTGGCCTTCAAGCGCTGGGTGCTGCGATCAAGTCGGTCCGTACCAGAGAGCAGCTGCTGGCGCTGCTCCATATGAATATCGGATGATCCAGCGGGGTCGTCTGTGTATCGCGATCCGAAAAGAGCTGAACGGTCGGAAGAGAGGGTTGTCAACTTGCGACGGGCGCCATCTGTGTCGGACTCGTAATTTCGGAGGCGTTGATTGACCTTGGTGCGAGAGCTGGTGGGAATGTTTTGCTTCTCCAGGCGCATTGCCGCAAGCTTGATAGCCACGAGTGTTAGTATTCAATGAAAGAGTACAGACAGGCGCGCATTGTAAAGTACCTGTTCATCGAGCTCCTCAAGGGCTCGCTCAGCCTGGCTGATGGCGGCCTTTCGAGGCTCACCCGCCAACTCGGGAATCTGGTCCAACTTTTGCGTCAGATCAGCCTGGATGAGCTTGAACTCGGCCTCGTAAGAGCTAAAGAGCTCAGAGCCAGCGTCGGTATCGAGAGGGTTCGCCATCGTGGAGGGAGGCTGGGTAAATAACAAGTACTCGTGAATGGGTCGAGTCAAAGACACTTGGTCGCAAGTGAAGTCGCGGACTGGTGTAGAAAGATTTATAGCTGGTGGCGGAGGATGAAGCAGTTATCGCGCAATGCTGGGGTGATGTTAGATCCAAGAATGGTCGCTGCGGTTTGACGTTCTCGTCAGCTCTTCCGGGTTCGTCTGGCCCGACCGAGGACGGTTGGTTGCCTGCGTATGGCATCTTGGCCAATGAGCGACGACTTCAGCCACACCAGTTTCACACGTGATTCATATGGTCCGTGCACACTGGAGCAACCGAGATATTATCTCGAATCCGCTGCCAAAGTTGTATTCTTTTTCTCTTTTCTCTTCAAAGAAAGTTGAATCCCCCGGATTGCGAAGAAAATCGGCTCAGCGTCAAGACTTCGGTCGAGGGCGTCGAGTTGAAACAAGCTGGGCAGAGTAAAGCAGGTTTCCTGCACGGCGCTTTTAAGAATTGGCGACTCGATTTCACGTTGACCGATCCCGTTGAGTGTTCGACATGCCTTGGTTTAGGCCATTGGCATTACAAGCATAGCTAGAGATATTGCCATGTCTGGCAATCTTGCTCCTTGACGAATTTGTTTGTGATAATGGCAACTCACTAAGAGCGCCTCGTCTGTAACTGTCTCGGTTTCTGCCCTTGGACTCTCTTGGGAACGGAACTCGGATACAGATTTCTCTGCGACAAGATGCAAACTCTTTTGCGGAGCCGTGAGTGGTAGACGTGGTCCAGAATGACAGCCACAGACAACCGAGGACTTGACAGCCGAGCCACTGTGGCTCACCCTGGTCGGCATCCACTCCAAGTGGGCCATTCAGCTCAATCGTTGGGAAGGACGGTCAGTCGTCGATGTCATTCTGCATCTCGACGCTCTCGGAACAAGCCCAGACGAAGCTCATCCATTCATCTTCAATCCTTCCGTCGCAAGCTCCCGTAGATCAGACTCTCTCCTTCCCAAGATCTCCAGAAGAGGACATCTCATCTCAGCTCAGCTACTGAGTTCAGCTAGCCACAGTCACTGGCTGTCACAATGCCTGAGTCGCGGCACATGTAAGTCACCGTCATTGTCTGTGACTTGTCTCTCCCGACCCGTTCCATTTGTCCCACCCAAATGCCCAACCCCCCCATCTTCTTGATGCGCTCGTCATCAAATCAGCTGCGACACATTCTGCGTCCTTGTCGCTTGTCGGTCGGGCATCCAATCATGTTTGGATGGCCACGACACCGAAGAACTTAACTTTCCGCTGTCACATGTCTACAATCTGCCACTTCCATCTCAAGATGCTTTCCATCGACCCTGGCTCATACTTTTCGTTGCACCCTGGCTATTCCCAACATCCCCAAACCCGACCTGGCCCTATCCTTGTTGTCACCACGCAGCACTCATGAACGGGTCGGCTGATAGATTCGTCAGGAAAAAGGTGGCCATTGTTGGCAGCGGCTGTGCGGGAATCGGTGCCCTCTGGGCTTTGAACAAGACCTATCATGATGTCTACATGTATGAAGGCGCCGATAGGCTCGGCGGCCATACAAATACGGTCATGTACAAGAAGGGCAAGTATACAACAATGGTTGATACAGGCTTTATCGTCTTGAATACGGCCACATATCGTGAGTTTACCAAGTCCAACGGCCATGCATCTTCTCACCGCTCGCAGCCAACTTTATCAGGTTTCTGGATAAAATCGGTGTCAAGACCGACCCTACCGAGATGACCTTTAGTGTTTCTCGAGATCGCGGCGCTTTTGAATGGGCTGGTTCTAGCTTGACTTCGCTATTCTGCCAAAGGCGAAACATTCTCTCACCTAGGATGTGGAGGATGATCTTTGACATTATTCGCTTCAACCAATTTGCCCTGGACCTGTTGATAAACGACGAAGAGGACATGTCGGCAGACCTGGGGGGTGATATGATGAACCACGTCTCCCAGGATGAGACAATCGGGGAGTACCTGGATCGTGAAGGTTACTCGGACGCGTTCAGAGACGACTACCTTATCCCCATGACCGCGGCGGTGTGGAGTACAAGCCCAGATAAATGTTCACTAGAGTTTCCAGCAGTGACTTTGGTTCGGTTTTTGTAAGTCTGCTTCACATGACGCTTGGGGCCATTCTAATTCGTCTCAGATGGAATCATCACCTCTTGTCAACAGTGTCTGCACGGCCGCAGTGGCTCACATTGAGGAACGGATCCAGCTCTTACATCGATGCTGTCATGAAGGGCTTCCCACCGAATCACTTGTTCCTTAAGACACCAGTCAGGAATGTTTCTACTGAGAGCGACGGCAAAGTGAGAGTTCACCTCGAAAACGGATCCTCAGCCGTCTACGATCATGTAATTCTTGCGACACACGGTGATGAAGCCTACGATATCATCAGGCCATCAGCAACCGAGCAGGAGCGGTCCGTCATGTCATGCTTTAAGACATCACAGAACGAGGCAGTTTTGCATTCTGACCTGTCCATGATGCCAGTGAGACAAAAGGCGTGGACCAGTTGGAACTACCTCACCCTGTCATCACCATCATCACGAAAGGCGAATATCGACCAGGTCTCGTTGACCTACAACATGAATATCTTGCAGCACATCCCTCGCAACACGTTCGGTGACGTCTTGGTCACCCTGAACCCTCTCCACAAGCCCAAGCCGGAGCTGACCCAAGGACGGTACTACTACTCGCACCCGCTCTACACGCCTTCTGCAATTCGAGCGCAAAAGCTTTTGACGCATATTCAAAACACCCGTGGCATTAGTTATGCCGGGGCTTGGACCAAGTATGGCTTCCATGAGGATGGCTTCAGCAGCGGACTGCACGTTGCTCAGGACCATCTTGGAGCAAAGCTGCCTTTCCAGTTTACGGACTCCACCTACAGCAGAGGAAAGAGGCCGCGACTAGGCCTGGCAGACCACCTACTGCGGTTGTTCATCCTGATCATCCAGGTGTTTGTGGTTCAAGTCATTGAGCGGTTGTTTGGTACGGGATCTCGACAAAGCCGGCGACCCGTGAACGGCAACAATGGAAAGATTGCCAACGGAAAGTACCAATAAAGGTGAAAAGCTGGGTCATTTACAAGAACGTGGAGTTTTATTTGTCATTCATGGTTTATACTGGGAAAACATGTCAGTGGTTTGGCTATATAGCATGCAAGCGTTGAGATTGGAAAAACATACAAACAGACAGACATCATTAATACATTTGCTATGTTTCCAACTCTTATGCTCGCCGATTAACAAGGCCCAGCAGCCCAGCAGCCTGGCTTTCAGGGTAAGAAACATGTCAGTTGGAAAGAATCGCAATGCCTACACCCAAGACAAGCTGGATGCCAAGCGTTAACCCCAGTATCAGATGCACATTCCTCCACTTGGGAACGTCCAAAATGACGCCTGTCTGCGGCCGAAGCCCCGGCACCACGACCTGATCGTTTGCCTGCGCCGCAACCGCCACGGTTCCAGCTGCAAAGGCTGCCGTCAGCTTACCCATACCTTCTGCACTGCCGTTCTGGGGGTTGCCGTATGTCGACTCGGCTGGGTAGCTCTGGAACTGCTGGCTACTGTTACTCGATCCTAGGGAAGAAGCTCCGTAGCCTTGCAGGGCGATGGCTGATGAAGCGAGGGATGTGATGTTGACGCCCATCTGATGCTCCTTGCGAGCGGCGTTGATCACGGGGCCGAAGCTAATGTTGCAGCGGTAGTACCATGAGTTAGAAGTTGATGCCTCGAAGGCTGTGACTTCGCTCCAGGTTGAGCCTTGGGCTGCAGTCGCATCAAACATGAACGTGGTCTGGTCAATGCCATTCACCGCCATGAGCTCGACCCTGGAGTTCTTGTTGTCGGCAATAGTGATGGTTGACTCGTTTCCCCTGGCACCTCTAGTGACTTTCCAGCTGCGACAGCGTCCTGTGACCTCGACACTACGGTTTGTGCTCACGACGAGGTCGTATTTCTTTCGGCTCCGCGTGGACTCTTGGAAGATGAATTTGCATGACGCCCCTCCACAGTAAATCAAGGGGTCGTTGTTGTCCCAGAGAGTGCCTGGAAAAGGGATATCATCCATGGTGCCCCAGACCCATGCGAGGGCTATAGAGCCGTAGCTGAGCAAGTGTTACTATTTGCCTAGGGGGAGCGTTGAGGTCCATACCTATTTGCTGTATACCGAAGAGCGCTTAGCCCCTGTGAGCTGGATGCGAGAACTCTTTCTGTGTCTAGGTCCGACAGGTCCGGGATTGTGACATTGCCTGGTTTCAGAATGGCAAAGGAGTCTGCTGGGTTGGTCGAATATGCCAGACCCAGAGTTGCCAGGGCGATTTGGGAGACCTGACGGTAAGAGTCAGTACTTTAGCTATAGTCGATGATTGCGTCAACTTGCTATGTTCAGAAGGATAAAGGATATAGCATAGGAACGTATCCACCAAGAGCGAGAGACCCATATGAGCTGGACGATGCGATTGAGATCCTTGGCCTTGAGGATCAACCCGGCCTGTACTTGCGTTAGATCATTGCCAATGGCTGTGTATAGTCCAAGCTAAACGCACCTCTCGATCCGGCCATCCACGAAGACTTAGAATCCACCACCGAATCTCCTTTGCCATAGCCTCGAGGGAAAACGTGATGCTCAGGCCAAGTCCAAGAGAAAGCCCGACGACGAGAGCGTTGAACTCGCGCTTGGTCTCGCCTGACATGACATCTTTGTTAGAGTAATGCCAGAGGACGACGTAGATGGCGATGACGAAGACGGCAGAGATGAGCCATCTTATCAGGTTTGCAGTGAGTGCCTTTCGTAGCTTTTTCTGGTGATGAAAGCGCCTGTCTGTATAGTGAGACGGTGTTTGCCGAGGGCCATCGGATGATTCTGGCTTGGGCGATCTTGATCCTTGGCGAGACTCTTGCTCTACCCCTGCCTCTGGATCTTGAGGTTGCTGTTGTGATTGTGATTGTGGTGTGTGAAACCTCTCCAGCTCCAAAGAGGTCTCACGATCTCTTACCGTCGTTTCTTGCTCCATTGTGTAGCCCGAGTGTTGTCTTGCAAATGGATCACATGTTGTATCACCGGTTGCTACAGCATATAAGGTCTGAATTAAGGTTTTCTATCTATACTGGATTGGACGAAGCTTTTGTGGTGGCGGGAGAACTATTTCGAGTGTGCCACTTCAAGGACGTTGGTGTCCGTGTGCTCTCTTACACGATATCGAGGATATTGAATTGTTAATGTTGTGAATAGTCTACAACAAGTGCCCTGAAGTTGAATTTGAGTAGGTAGGTAGGTTGGAGAGGAACCATGGTTTTGAAGTTCTACTGGTTAAGAATGCGCTCCAATGGCAACGCTTGGATTTGGAACCATTGACTTTTGTCTAGGAGTTGATCTTTGAGCTGTATACGAGATTCAAAATATTCAAAACCCTACAACAACCTCAATTGCACTTCTACATTAAAAATAAGATGGAATATCTTATCAAAACTCTCAGCAGTCATGACTGATCAAGAGTTGAAAAGTTCCTGAGCTCCGGGGTACGTACTCCACCCAGTCGGCGACCCAAACGCCGACTCCCGACGTCACCCAGAAATCGCCAGAGATCATCCGACTGGACTCGGAGGTTACAACCACCATCCCACAGCCAGACTCTTGGGGTCTCAATTGAACAATGAACGCCGCCCCGCGACTCGCCCGAAGCTCGGTACGAGCTGCCTCGTCGCCGTGGTCTTGCTTCTTCTGTCAGAATGCCCGACCGAGGAATCCGTTGAGCTTCCGCCGCAAGGCGTCGACGGTGCCGCCGAAGAAGGACCCTTCGAGGCGTGTCTATACTCCGTCTATGGATGAGATTCGTGCTCACTATAGCATGAAGAATCGGACGGTAGCGTAAGGGAGCCTTGAGAGGAGCTGTATGCGCTCATTGCTGACCAGTATCAGGTACTACACCATCAGCACCATCCTCGGCTTCGTCGCCCTCACTTATGGCTCAGTGCCTCTCTACAAGATGGTAAGCCCCTATCCCTCGACACGCAATCTTCCATATACTAACGCATCTGCAGATCTGCCAGACCACCGGCTGGGGTGGTCAGCCCGTACGAGCCCACGGCGGCCCCGGCACCGACGACCCCGACATCGCGAGCCGCCTGGTCCCCGTCAAGGACGCCAAGCGCATCAAGGTCACCTTCAACGCCTCCGTGTCCGATGTGCTGCCCTGGAAGTTTGTACCTCAGCAGCGCGAGGTCCGCGTCCTCCCCGGCGAGACGGCCCTGGCCTTTTACACGGCCACCAACAAGAGTGACCAGGATATTATTGGCGTCGCCACGTACAGCGTCACCCCGGCGCAGTGTGCTCCCTATTTCAGCAAGATTCAGTGCTTCTGTTTTGAAGAGCAGCGTCTCAACGCAGGAGAGACGGTTGATATGCCCGTCTTTTTCTACCTGGATCCTGACCTGTTGAACGACCTGAACATGAAGGGCGTGGAGACGGTGACATTGAGTTACACATTCTTCAGTAAGTTGCCTACGAAAGGATAAAGAGGAGCCCATACTGACTGCTCTCGTAGAAGCAAGATATGACAACAACGGACGGTTCCAGAGGCCAATGGCTGCATAAATGGATAGACGAAACAATGTAAAAATGTACAATACGCCCTACTCTTACTTGTAACATGTACAAAGCGCTAGACGCTGTTGGTTAGAGAAAAAATAATTTACTTGTATCCAATCTCAAGCGATATCCTGACCCTCAGCTGGGATTCTTAACTATCAACGATAAATGTAGCTTGATACTTGTAATTCATTCTAGCAATTTGGTAATCACCTATCCTCAAAGTCAGTTCCTAACCCGAGAATGTCTACAGGGACAACGCTGGTCCGAACTTCAACAGTCCCAGACCCAATCAATGTTTCTGCCTCTGTTATGCATGTTCATACAGTAACTTTTGACAGTTTTTTCGCCGATATCGCACGGAGCTTTGGAGGGCACTCTCGCAGGGATGAGTTGACAGCTGACTCAGCCAGGGGAACAGCCCAACCTTGCATCAGCCCCTGTCGAGTAGGGCCCAGTATTGCAGTCACGTGCACGTGATTTCCACACCATCTGAATTTCACCCACAACCTTTTCTCAACTTCTTTTTTCTCTCCTCTCCAATCCGCTCAACCTCGCCCAACGCCCATCGACTAACATTTCAGCGTCGTCCTCGCCCAACACCGTCAAAATGGTCAAGGTTAACCCTCGTGAGTCTCATCAACACCATTGATGCTTCTGTTCTCGTAACTGACAATTCTGCAGAGATCGCGTCTTCCCGACGCAAGAGCCGTGCCGCTCACTTCAAGGCTCCCTCTGACCAGCGCCGTGTCATCATGAGCGCCCCTCTCTCCAAGGAGCTCCGTGAGAAGTACAACGTGAGTTTCTTCAATACAGCGCAACATTTTCTCCAATTCTGACAACCCAAAAGGTCCGCAGCATCCCCATCCGCAAGGACGACGAGGTCACCATCGTCCGTGGCTCCAACAAGGGCCGTGAGGGCAAGATCACCTCCGTCTACCGCCTCAAGTACGTCGTCCACGTCGAGCGCGTCACCCGCGACAAGGCCAACGGCCAGTCCGTCCCTCTGGGCATCCACCCCTCCAACGTCGTCATCACCAAGCTCAAGCTTGACAAGGACCGTGAGGACATCCTGGCCCGCTCCAAGGCTGGCCGCGACCTCGCTGCCAACGCCAAGGTCACTGCTTAAGCGGTGAACTCTTGAGCAAACCAAAAAAACAAAATCACGAAAAACCAAGACGACGATCAAACCTCCCTCCTTGGCGAGGACGAATCTTTTCTAATGTTTCACCAACCCTCACACACTCACGACACCCCCCAAGTGTGAGGGACATCTCAAAGGGCAAAAGTTGATGAGGAAATGGGCATATACTCCGGCGTTTTTGCGATACCTCCGTGCTTTCCTTCTGACGCGGTTCGGGTCTACAGCAGGGTAGATGAATTGAGAATTCTAGGGTTCTCAATGGCCATTTCACTCATCTTGGTGAAATGCTCCATGGGAGGTTTATCCCGAAGTCTTGACCTGCTCTCCCCCAATGCACACATGGCGAGGACCCTCGTGATGCATGGCGGACGGTGGAAGAGGCTGCTGTCATGGCTGCCACTCGCCGTCGCGCCCGTAGGATGCTAACCACCGATCTTGGACACACCTCGCGTGTTGTCCCTCGTAGACTGCAATTTTTCTGCACTTGGTGCACCTGTCAACGGTAGGTCGTAGACTCCCAACCGCTAGGATATCTCCGCGTCAACCACCAAGCCCATGGTTTTCGAGGTATACGACTGGCGAAGAACAAACCCAGTAGAGCCCAATTACTATCATGAAGGGCCTGCTCTCGCTTGAAGATTTTCGCCGATTCAACAAATGAAGCTGGAAATTTGAAGGTGAGGTACATACCGTAGCCATCCATCATTAGTGCCCTGAATTAATACACATCTGCACCTGTCATGTCTGCCTTTGGTCATCTCCCTCCTTCGTCTTTGTTGATCAGATCGAGTGTGTCGCTGGAGGATGCACATCACGTATTCATCATTCACGAGCATCATGCGACAGGCTATTAAAACTCTTGTTATGCCCATTTGATATCAACAAAGTTAATGTGGGAACAAGAGTGTTTGTAATCATACAACAGTCCGTCAATAGTCTCTAACATGATGCTGTCTATCGCACACGGTCTCTGCCTTTGGCTGACCGCGACCCATATCTCGGATGCGTGCATCGAAATAATCCTTCTAATGTCTGCCCATGACCGTTGAAAATCCTAACATATTGGGTATTCTAACACTGGTGCTGCCTGAACGCCTGCTCCTCTGCCTCGAGATGATGCTGTAAACGATGCATTGCGTGCTGCAAGATTAGACTGTTCTGGCGCGCGAAGAAAAGAAAAAATGCTTGCGAAATAAGGACAATTGGAAGAACTCGTACGGTAACGCATTCAAGTTGTAAGTATGAACGCAACGTCGGATGCTCATGTGGCATCAGCCGGGGGCATCAACGAATGTACCATGGTCGAGAAAAGGTGAAGAGAGGTGAAGAATCTCTAACGAGTAGGAAGTCCGATGTGTTTCTTGTCATGGAGACTGACGCTGCGAAGTTGCTGCCCAAGGAGGTCCGTAGGGGGCTTATTCTCTCCTCGCTTCTCCGCGGCCGTGTTCGTTGAGGGAATCGTGTACGTCTCGCCCAATCTGGCACCGGCGCCACGAGAGTTGGATGTTGTGTTCGCGATAGCAGGAGTCAGAGAAGCAGTGGCATGACCAGAATAATGAGGGAGCACTCCTTGAGCTGTCATGGGAGACACCTGACCGGCAACTGCATTCGCGCTCGTCTTGCCACGTCTCCGCATAGACGACCAGATCTCGTTCGAATGCTTGGTGCTAGTCTCATGTCAGTGTCATTCAGACCAAAGCACTGCATGTCGGCATACCTTGCACTGCGTTCCATCACCCGGCGACCCTTGAAAAGCAAGTTGCCATCCTCATCGCCCGAGTCCTCTGATGGCTTTGTTCGCAGGTTCTCTGATGAGATCCGAGTCTTCTCGTTGACCCTTCGTCGGAACTCAAGATATCGAGGACTGGGCTGACTGACGTAAGACTCTGAACGAGGAAGCTCAGAGGTGGAGCTGCCACGGAGGGAATCTTCGGCTCGGTGCAGCGACTCAGAGCGAGTTGCCTCATCAAGTCGGTTCCGAATAGCACCCGTACCAGCTTGAGCCATGGCGTTGAAAGGATCGTTCAAAGCGTCGTTCTCACAAGTGGATGCAGGAGGTTGTGAATCCTGGGGGTTCTCACGAGAACTCTGGCTCGAGGCGTTTCTAAGATCGCGGTGCGGATAGTAGAAGTTCACGCCATCGAATATGACACCGGTTTGTTGATCAATGGGGACCCTCTGCCGATACATGTGGATGGCATGCAACTCGTGTTGATTCAATTCACGAATGTACCTGCGGTCAGTGTCTTTGGCATCTTCAACCTCCATATGATCAGGAAGTTGGCCGACTAGGTAGGGGACACCGAAGATGTTTCTGTCGATGAATGGGTTGTGAAAATAGCCCTTGAAAGTCGAGCCACGAGCTGGCTGAGACAATTGAGTTACAATAGCTGGCTCGTCAGGACCAGCAGTCGCCAGTGAAGAGTTGCTCGTCTCCGCACGGGGTTGGAAAGGTGGTGCCAGAGCAGCATTGACAGGAAGGCTCGACGATTTTCTCTGTGGAGCCTGGCCACCAAGCTCAGGATTTTCGACAGGAGTAATCGTGGCGCCTGGTTTGGAACCGGGGCTGCGTGAAGGAGCAGGTCGCTCACCGGTTTCCTCTCGTGTTCCAGGTCGGGCTGCAGCCAGACTGTTAGATCCAGCATCGCTCTGGGCATAGTAGTCAGGGAGGTCAACCGGGGTCTGAAAGAGCGGCAGTGTTCCAGCCTCCCCCTGGAGCTGCTTTTCGCGCAGGAGCGTCATTCTGTTGAGCTCATCACAAATCTCCTTCAAACTCGATTCCATTTCCTTGCGGTCGATCTGGTGAATGTTGTATTGGAGCTGATCTTCGACCTGTCTCTTCTTGGCACGAAGAATCTTAAGATGGCTCTTCGTGATGTCGCTGGCGAGGATTGAGCTCTTAGGAGTGCCAGGCAAACTCGGGGACAAGGGAAGCCTGGGACCGGAGTGAACGCTGCTGACAGAAGGCAAAAGTTTCCAGGCTCTCGGGTCCATACCAGGTGGAGGGGGTCCTTTATCATGCTCTCGTCCCACAGTCTTTGGATTGGCATCACCCTTTGGGCGAGGTGCTTGCTGAGACTGCTTGCGAGCTGACCGAGGCTGCGTGGGAGCTGGCTGCGTGGGAGCTGGCTGAGACTGCACTGGAATTGGTGCCGTGTTAATGGGAAAAGGAGGCATCAGGCCGATAGGCTGCGGATGATTTCCATAGGCAATCATCCACTGGTTGTTGTAGAAGAATGGTCGGCTTGCGTCAAATTGTTCCGCGGGGGAAAGCTGAATTGGCTTGGGTTGATGAAGCGCATGAATCTCATTCTGCTTGCCAAACGGAGCGCTCATGTTGGGTTGAGGAACGTGACTAGGAGGGGAGATCTGGTTGTAAGGGACACCTGCGAATCCAATCGGAGCGGGAAAGAAAGGGATCTGATCAGGCCTGAAAGCCATTCCAGCAGGGACAGGACCAGGGGCTTGGCCAGGGAACAGAGGTTGAAATGGAGTCCAGCCAGGAGGGATGATGGGGAATGGGATGGGCTCAGGATGGACACCGTTGACAACGCGGGGTTGACGCATGCCATCAACTGGACTGCGCTCCCGGGTCCATTTCGACGTAGGGGAATGAGGTCCCCGCGTGTTGGGCACGATCCGACCTCCAGCTGTGACCCGGACATGGGTGGGCGAAACGACTGAGTTGAAGAACTTTTGGAAACCCTCTGCTTTTTGGGCTGCCAGGTCAGATGGTGCCGTCAGAGGTGCTCGTCCTTGCTCCGAATCGGTCTGGCTACGGAATTTGCGCTCCGAGTCGGTACCATCGAGCTGCTGAGCGGCGGCTCGACGGTATCGGCGCTCCTCCTCGATGGATTCGGCGGAACTTTCCTCAACAATCAAGGAGAGGGGACGGGGCGATCCAGTGCGAATGATTTCACCTACTTCATGGTTACATCAGTTCAAGTTAAGTGAGAAGGGATATACTCACTCAAATCAGGGTCCGCCTCAACCTTGGCGGCCAGGACGTATGAGACCTCCTCCTGCAGAGGGGCGTGTCGCAGACGCAACATCTCCCGAGCGGAGTAGGATCGGCAAACCATCTTGAAAACTGTCACCTGGAACAGTAAAAGGTTCTGATTAGTGATTGTCCGGCTTCAAGCTGTGGTCCGAAAACCTGAGCACAAACACCAGTGCTAGAGGGAGAAGAGGAAATCATCAGGGTGGACTAAGAAATCTACCCGAGATATCGATTCATGCATCGTGAGGAGAGACCGGTTTCTCCGTGTGTAGATGCACTCTCTCGGATGGTCCATTCAGGGGTGCTCGCAGTGCATGTAGGTCGAGAGCCAGTGAATGGGAAAAGGGGACGACTTACGCAGAAATGAGTCTATGGAGATGGGAAAGTCTGGGAGGACAACGAAAAGAAACCTTGGTTTCTTGTGCTTCCGAAATTTGGCGAGGGCACCTTAATCACTGTCTGGGTGGGAAGTTGAGCAGAGGGAGCTGGAGTGGCAGCGGCCTTCCCAGCGGAGACGGCAAACGACAACGGCAGTGGATAGAAGACAGCGTCGATGTAGTCGAACGAAAGGGTGCGGATGGGAAGTGGAGGTAGATGAAAGGTCTGGGTTCTGGAGAAGATTGTAAGAGAGAGTTCGCTGTCTCTTGGAGTGGAGGGAGGAGGAAGGGTTACAGGTAGTCTGGTGGACGGCGCAAGAGGAAGGAGCACACCGAGCTCCCAAGGGGGGCAGTAGTTGGGCAGCCGCCAACACACGGGAGCTTGGTCTTTGGCAGCTGCAACCGACGAACGAGACGAGGAAGCTGGGATCTGTGTAAAATGGATGGTAAGCAACCGACAACAACTTGATTTTTCAGTGACGGTCCTGGAGGTGAGAGATGTATGGAGAGTAGACTGCCAGAGATTTCCGACAGACAAAATCAAAGAAAAGAAAAGACAAGAAGGGGCAGATTCTTAAAAAAAAAAAAAAAAAGCCAAGTTTAACAGCACACCGATGATCAGGGAAAGAGAAAGAGAAAGGAAAGAGTGCTGGTCTGAGGTCGGAGTGATCAACAGCGAACAACAAGGCAAGACTCAGCTTCCCGGAGAAGACAAGGGCAAGGAGGAAACAGTGCGAGATGTGGGTAATCCCTTGGGGGACAAGACACCCGAGAGAACACAGACGAAGCTGAGAAGGAGCGCTGCCCTGCACTCCTTCAGTGTACAGCCGTCGTGAGCGAAAGAGCTGCGGTACCTACCTGTGCTGTGATCCAAGGGTGTTAGAAGGCACTGAGTTTGAGTGAAGGGAAGGAAGAAACGAACCTTGCTTGCCCTTCTTGGGCGGGAGGGTCCTCGGCGAGGAGGCGGATGGTAACCTCTTGCACTGTTAGCAGAAGAAGAAGCAGAAGAAGAGAAATACTAATACGTACGGAGACGAACACGGAGCAAAACCACCACCATGTATGGTGGAGAGTGGATGGTGGTGTTTGGGTCAGGAAGAAGTGGAACCACCTGGGAATCATCAAGGTACGCTATTGTTTACTGTCACGAGGCAACGCGTGTGCTGCGCGTTTGGAGAATAATGCCCTGCCCTAATTATGCGCAAGATATGCGTCTAAGAGGTTGGGTATCCTAAAGACTATCATCTTTGACCAGACGGGTCGTTTAATGCGGGCCTTAAGGTCACCATGGCGGCAACGGATGGTGGACAGTGGTAGATATGTCTTTGTAATTAGAATAAGGGACTATTCTCTGGCATACTGTGTGTCATTCATCCCCTAGACTTGAGCAAAAGCCGCCAGTCGTTCTCTATGGCGACACTTGTCGTTAGGCGGCGAGATTCCATATGATATCGTTCTGCATGTATTATATCAGTGCCTTGTGATCATGTCTCTACCTGACGACACATGCCGTCAGACCTCGTGGAGTGCCATGCCAAATATATCTTGCCAATGCCCTCCATCAACTGTCTACTCATTGATATCCAGAATATTGTAGCAAAGCATGCACTGAGGTCATTGACCACTGGGTTGTCCATGTGCCATGCAAGTGTAAGGTGGTGGTGCCTTTCTCATCTTCCAATGTGTCAAGACAATCCCCATGGACCGACCAATCAAGGAGGGTACGTCCCTGCTTCCCAGGAACCAAACTTATGATTCTTTGCCCTAACACTTGACTTCCCATATGAATTTTATGCTTTCCAGAACTATGGATGTTTGTCTAAGTCCAAACGAAGCCATACTCATGTCATTGAGCAGCAGGGACAATGGGGTTGAGCGAGGAGGCGTTGACTTCAATGACCAAATCAGGGGGTATGTTATTAGCGGCAACGTCGTTGTGAAGTTGGCGTTGGCACTACCGACTATTGCTTCGTTTGCCTTGAAGCTAGGGTGATAGGGCAGAATTGAGACAGGGGGACTTGTACATTTGGCAACGACACAATATTCTCCTTCACTTGATTATGTGACTCTGTGGTGTGAATCAAAGCGTTTGATCTGAATAAACTGGTGACGATACTGGTCTTGGCCATATTTCCCTGTGAAGTCGTTTGTACCAAATGCCAAAGGTAGTTAAAAAGAAGAGAGGGGCCAGACATGCAGATCACAACACTTGTTGTAGACTATCAACAGGCTCAACGTTTCAAGGAGGAGGAGGAACGGCGTTTGAATTGAAATCTACAGCCCACTGGATCTCGAGATCTAACACCTCGAAAATATCTCGCACGTAATTTGTATTGCCTGAATCTCGGAGATTCATGATTCTAGGGAAATCAATGGGTGATAACCCCAGGCACTCGTCATGAGCTGAAGGATTCGGTGCACTTGATTTTATCGGCCTTTATAAACTAACATGTGAATATCTGAATAAATCGAGGCATCATGAAATTCATGATAGTACCCGTAAGGATGATAAAAATGACAAACAGTTTGTTCCGCATCGGGTACAATCATGTGTTGTGGTGTTTCGTTTGTTTGACTCGAGAGGAAGAGGCAGCAAAAGGGGGGGTTTGAAACTCTAGTCTCTTGAGAACTTCACAGTTCTTGCCTCTTGACAAAAATTTTGAAAATCAGGCTAAGAGTAACAAAGTGGGCGACCAAAGAATACCTCGTGTTGTCACAGGATTGCATCGGCTTGTCGTTTCGAGGATATCCGAGGTCCAAGAGTATCGAAGCCACGAACGAGCCGGCAGTTCCCCTGGAATGACTACGACAATCATCAGCACAGTCTAGAACAAAGTGATAGGACGCACGCTCTGATGTTGTGAGACGTACATACTCAACGTGGCGTTGATGATTTCCAGCTTTGCCGCCGATAGCGAAGGTCCTATAGTTTGATCGACGTCCTCACGAGATTTCTTTTCTTCTTTTCTCATTCCTCCCCCGCAAAGTCGACTGACGGGCCACGGCTTCTGACCGAGCTCAATGTTTTTATTTCAGTGTCATAGCGCGAATCGAAAGAGACTTGCATTGGTGTCGTGGCGCGTCAGATGCGTCTTGCCGGAGCACCCAAGTCGACCGATACTCGAAACACAACTCCCCGACCGAGGTCAATGTCAGATTCCCGGGTCCGGGACGGACCGGTTCTTTACTCCGTTACACGATCAAATAGACTGAGATGGAGTCGTTGTTCTCTGAGAGAGTCTTGATTGGTAAGAGCTCTCATACCTGACGCCATGTCTTGACAGAAACTAACGGCGTGGACGCGGAAGCAATGTCCTAGATTCCGCGTCGATTACACAGCAGGAATCCCATCAGACTATGATTCGCCTCTTTACCACATAAGCAAAGCAAAGCAAAAACACACACGGCAATGCCCCGTCACCATCCCGAGACAGGGGGGCCCGAGAGCCAAGTGCGTGGGTTCATGGGGGGACAAAAGGTCCGAGACGGACTGGTCTATGCAGCATCGGAGCTGTGGGGAGATGCTTGACTGGAACGAGAGGCAAGACCAAAGGGCCATGCATATAACAAGTGCTCACATTCTCTCGTACAGGAAGAAGCAAGCAAAGCAAAGAGGTGTGGAGGGGCGGCTTTCGAACTGTCTGGGGAAGCGTGCCAGCCACGAAACGAGGATGCATGGCATCTGCAGGACTGGGGCCCTTGTCGATGGGCTTATCTGAGGCGAAGACTGGGGTTGGGCAAAGTCTGGAGAGGAGCTAATTGGTCTTGGCAAGCTCATCGAAAGATGGCAGGGCTGTTGACAGCTCAGGCCGGGGGGGGGGGGGAAGCTTCAAGACAAAGACTTGTTGACATGGGATATTGAGCGATTTCCCCACGACGAGGCGTCTGCAGAGCTGGAGACAAGGCAAGGGGGAAAGACCATTGACGCGAGGCCACGCGTGGTCAAGTGACGTCGCTGACGATGGGATCTGAAGGACCAAGACTAAGGCGTCGTACTATGTGCGTAGCTAGCGTGTGGTTCTAGGCTGTGACGGAGGACACATGATGAGAGGGGAATTGGGAGTCGAAGCCGGCAATTCACAAGTCTTTGTCTTGTATCTTGGTTAATTTCATATTCAATGCTTGATACTGGTTGTCTACTTGGACTTTATCCATCATGAGCAAACAATTGGAAGCTCTACAGTGAACAATGATGGAGATGGAGAAGCTGAGAGGCAAATGGGGGGTAAAACAGCCTCGGCTCTTTCAAGTTGGGAAACCCGGCCTGTCCGAGGTCACGCCCTTTGGCTCCACATGTTCCGGACGGCTCCATGACCTCGTTTCCCGGCTCATGAGACTTTTCGAGACTCCCTTCTCGTGCCAATGCCGATGAGATATGCAGAGTTGCGCGTTTTACACACATACGCATAAGCCTCGTTTTTTTACTGTGCCTCTCAATTGCAGAGGCTAGAATCATATTTCATGGGGTTTCACAAACATTTTTGCCTGGTCAAGCTTGTGAGAGAGGCTGCTTATTGCCCCTCCATGGTTGGTTTTACCCCTCCACACCTCATCGCCAAAACAGCCTCAACGCCACGGGAAGACCAGGGGTGTCCCCTCGTCTATCATGGGCCTTTAAACTTTCTGGCATTTCAATCTTTCCCGTGGCAACCGCTCAGCTTCTTTTTCGTTACCGGCTTGGGTTACACACTCGTCGTTGATAGGCTCCTTGTCTGTGGGGGTTCCCCCTTGTGAATCTCGCCCATGTCCTCATGACGCACATGTGTCTACGCCCTGAGATTCGCGCCAGCGGAGAACATCTTGCCCCATGAATTCAACGGCCAATTCAAGGTACCAAGTAGAAGCAGACAGATGAGATTCTCCCTACTGGGCTGATTTGACCGGCAAAACGGATACTAACGCCCTATCCCGTGTCATGGCACCCCCGCTTAACATCTTGTTTGTTCCCACGCTTGATACCCCGCCATCAATGGACCAGCAGGCAAACCGTACGAAACCACAGGTTTAACCGTGTGTATCCATCCATTCCAGAGGTTTGCCGCGCCGCCGGGGCGGACGGAGAAGGGGGCGTGGTGCTTTCGGCGCTGCGGAGACTAAAGATGGCTTCACCAACGGGAGTTGCGTATGTGGGTGGGCTCACTTTGAGTGCATCCTCTTTCCACTACCCGGGTCTCGAGGACACATTCGATCTGGCTCAAGGGGCCGATGAGACGGGTACTAAAGATGATGGATCGCCCACATCTTGTTTTGTAATAATGGCATCCTCATTGAGAACTCATTCCACACCATCCATCACAAGCTTGATCTCCGTCTCTCCACAATCCACCCAGAGCTAGAGCTTTAACTCCACTCTCACGTACCGAGGTCTCGACAACACTACCTTTTCTTGACTCAATTGCACTTCTTTTGTTACCCCAAGAGCTTCCTTCTTACATTCATCTGTAAAACTATCATCACGATACCCAGCTGTACGAAAAACACCACCAACCGTTCCAATTCCTCCATCCACTCACATCCTCGATAGCTTCATCAAGCTACCCTAAATCACCAACGATGGCTCCTCTCACCCCCCACTGGAAGCAGCCTTCCCACCCCGACATCCAAGAGGTCGTCGTCGTCAACGCCGAAGAGTTCACCACAAAGAGCATCTCGCGCGTCTCCCTCCCCCCCTTTGCCGTCTTTGCAAAGTTCGACTTTCCCCCCTGCACCCCGGCCAATGAGCCCACGTACGCGACCGTTCAGACTGGCCGCGATACTCACCTCAACCTAAACAGCGATCTGCTGTACATCAACCACTCTTGCGAACCTACTCTCGTTAGTTGAACCTACTTGAAGGAGAACCCCCAGCTGTTGTTGAACCATCCCTTCCCCTTGCAGAGGGAATCTCTTGATTAACACGATTAGCTCTTCGATGTGGGCAACTTCAACGTTCTAGTTGGCCCCAAGGGCATCAAGCCTGGTGATGAACTCACCGTGAGTCCATTGGCCTATTTCCCGACTGGTTCTTCAACTAACGAAATACCAGTTCTTCTACCCCTCTACTGAATGGCACATGGCTCAGCCTTTCGACTGCCTCTGCGGAACGCCCACCTGCCGAGGCCGCATCGCTGGTGCCCGCGACATGACCGAAGCCCAGCTCGACGGTGTCTGGCTCAATGGCCACATCATCCAGCTCCGCGCTGAGCAGGAAGCCGCCCGCATCGCCCGGTCCGCGGATCCTACCGTCAACGCCCTCCACGAGGCCGTCGTCCACGCCGAGAAAGTCCTCGAGGCTGCCCGTCTCGCTCTGCGCACCTACACCCGCAACGCGCACGCCCAGAACGGCAACGGCATCATCACGCCCAAGTTCGCCAATGGCACGCTCGGCAAAGTGGCTGGATCGGAGCATCGCGGTCCCACCTCTCGTGAGCTGAGTGGTGAGATGGGCGGTGATACCATCCGTGTCTAAGGGAGACGGAGCGTTGAGAGGAAGACATGATGGCCGTGACTGGAAATGTTGCTGCTGTTGGAGAACCCTGTTGACGCTGGTAGATAGACGACATGTTCCCTTCTCAAGTTGACGCTTTTAGGACCTAGATTGGAGAAAATCAAGAAATTGCTTTGTTTTGGATTCATAGCTGAAAAACGATAAGCCACCATCATTGCACCATCTGAATACCTCCCTGAGCAGGGTTGTCGTGAACGAGTCCCCCAATTCCCATCATCAAACTCTTGCTCCGCCGTCATAAACTCCGTGATATACACTTCCAAACGCCAAAAGTCGTCATGTCGAATACGGTTCGTCGTCGAGATAAAAGAACATCGCTGCGTCCATCACCGCATATAATGCAGTAGGTCCATCCCCTGATTACTTCTTCGCCTTCGAATCCTTCCATCGGCTCCATGCGCTACGCCCCTTTTCAGAGCCAGCGCCGCCGCTGTACTTGGCCTCCTCCTTCTCCCACTCGCTCCGTTCCTTGCTACGACGTGCCAGGAACGCGCGTGCAAATTTCCATGCCTCGGTATCAGCCAAGTTCCACGCTTCGAGGGATGCGCGCAGTCGAGTGTCGGTGGTTTGCTTGGTAAGGGCAATGATCCTCTTAGCACGCTCTAGAAGAGCTTGCTCCTTTCTTCTTTTCTCTTGTGGACTTAGTTCCTTCCCCTTGGCAACCTCATCGGGGTTTGGCTGCGGCTTTTCGATCCTATCGTCCTTTGTCGACTTTTCTGCGCGCTTTCCCTTGGTCGATTTGGAATCATGTGCTTTTCCGCCCTTGGCCTTCTCTGCTGGCTTTGTGCCGGCTCTATCTGCTTCCCCAGAGCCCTGCGGAATGCGGAATCCAAAGTGCCAATTGATATCGGAGGGAACTTCCGCCTCGGCTGTTAACCAGAGCGCATGCGCTGGGGCATGCTCATCAGCCACAGACTGCTTGAAGCGCATGATGCGGAGGTTGCTGGAAACTTTGTCACCCAAGATCTTCTGGGTGATGGTCTCAAGCCATGGATCGCGAGGAGACTCTTTTCGGATCCAGGCAACATCGATTCTCTCTCGAAGATTCGAAAGCGTGGCAAGAGTCCAGGGATGAGGTACCGTTCCAATAGCATAGGTGCGAGTCGAGTTCTGGTACTGCTCAGGGGTGTTGACCTTCAAGGCCGCGGAGCCTGCAGCACAGCGCTTGCAGCTGGAAAGCCTAGGAGGACATGACGAGGGAATCGGGTTGTCGGGGCAAAACGCCAGGGCGTTGGCAAGCTTCATCGCTGGGGCGACCATATCGGTGGTGTGTTCAGGGAAGGGCTTGAGAACGTCGATACCATCGGGGAAGCTGTTCTGCCAGGCGATGTGCATATGAGCATTGATCAGCCTGTTGAGAGACCCCAGACCCTTGGCTCGTCCATTTGTGAGACTTTCATGAACCTTGGCATATTGCTTCTTGATAAGCTCTGGGCTGTAATGGGCCAGGGAATCTGGTGTCTTGTCCGTCTTGAACGTGTCCTTGGGGGCACCCGCGATGACGCTCTTGGCGGTCTTCAAGTTGTCAGAATCTAGCAAAGACCGGATAGCCTTGGTCACATCGTCCTTTTGACCGACTATGAGTGCACTGTCGAGGCCCTTCCATTTGGTCAAGGCAGGATACTCGCCCCTTCGAAGGAAACTCAAGAGAGGATCCTCGGCGAGGGCCATTGGGAACAGGGTGTGTTCCGCCAAAAGGCCGGTACCCATGGCTCCCCAGGCCAACCACTTCATCAAGTCCTTTTTCAGCTCGGGATCTACCTGGAGTCTCTGTACCTCGGCATACATTGGATTATTCATGGCCTCGGAAGCGCCCAAAATGGTAGGTCGGAAACCCTGCGCCCACCATGCGCGACGCCAGGTCAGAAGTAGGTCGCTTTCGGCGTCCTTCTCCTCCCTCGACTTTTTGAGAGTAGAATCGTAGTAGCAGTAGATGAATGGGCGATCACGGAGCGGAGGCAGAAGAGCACGGTCTTCGTCGAGGGTGAGGGAGCTAGAGAAGGGCACAGACAGCCACTTCCAATCAGCCCACCAAGAAGAACCGTGATACGAGTCCTGTGCTCGAACTGGAGGCCGGTGAGAGGGTCCACGGAAGGGATTCAAGCCTGACATGCCCTTGGTGAGGGACTCGCGAAGGCTGGACACAGAAGTTTTGCCCTTCTTGGGTTCCGCGTTCTTAGCAGCATTGTCTGGAGCGGCAACATGCGTGGTAGTGGGAGATAGAATGGCGAAAACCGTGAATGCGAAAACGAGGGCGATGAGGACCAAATAAGTCAATCGTCGAGAAGTAAACCGGCGTGGTCGGCCGTAGAAGATGTTGAAGGCCATGATGTATAAGTCGCCAAAGCAATGTGGCCGCAGTAGATCGTAAAACAAGAATCGCAAAAATGAAAGAGCGACACGTTTGACCGGACTATGTAGTCGTCGAGAGGACACGAATGGCTGGCATCGGGCAGGTAATTGACAGATCGGGCTGAGCCACGAGTCTCATGAAACGAGGACGACAAGACGTTGTCAAGGACGCATTTCGATGATGGCGAGAGGACGCCAATTATGGCAACGAACGACAAACAAAGATGGTATGACGGGAGACGAGACACGAGTGGCCGTGGGCCGGTTCTTGAGGAGCAAATTAGTTGTCGAGGGAGGGGGAAATGGATACGAGAAATGCTGATGGAGAGTTGTCGTGAGTGATCCCTTTTATGCAAGTGTTGGAGGGATGACCAGTGAGGTGGGCCGACAGGGAAGTGAGACCTGAACCACGCGTTACCGAATCGGGTCTGGATCAATTAACGGGCAAGGGATTTGGGCATGAAGATTTGCGCCATGGAGGCCGGTAGGAGAAGTGCTAATTGATGTGAAGCTGTAAATGAGTGCAACCTTCTAGCTCTACCATTGTTGCATCGCATACTCGCAACGTGAGGCGGTGCAGGGAATAAAATGCCCTGGCATCTTTGATCGACCTCCAGTCCACTTGAGCATCTGACTGTGGAGATCCTGACGTCGAGCTTCGGGAGCTTGAGCGGTCCAGGCCCACCTCCCTCAGGTCCCGGGGCTTCAAAGGACGTCAGGTGGGCCTGGTTGTTTCGAAGCTGGCCGTGAAGCTGGAACGCCAAGCACAATTGAATTCTTTGGATCCTACGAGGTTGCCCATTGCTGCCTAGTGTTGAGCGACGGGTGCAACAGTTAACTAAACCCTTTGCTTCACCTCGTCCTCTGAGGCCCAAGCATGAGAAGATCAGTGCACTCGTCTCAATTAACCTATGGCTTTTGTTTGATGGGGTTTGTCTGTACGTTGCATCGCCACTAATTAAATCGGCGCCAGCGCTCCATAGGGCTGATTTAGGCCGGGCAGTTCGTGGAGTTCTAGTCAAGACCCTTGATCAGTAGGAAAAGAATTATTCTGCGTCGTGTGTGCACTTGATCTCAGGGGTTTGAGACTTCTGTTTGATACTGCAGCATGTCTCTTGCGCCCTATGCTCGTAGATTACTTCATTCATTTGGTGTAAGCGTGAGTGGCTGTCATGTACCGTGCGGTGGAGGAGATGGCCATGTCATCCACGGAGACAAGCTTGTACCTCAGGAAGCTTGTAAGAGCACGCTATCTTTAACGTAAGCCTGGATTCTTTTAGCAGCTAAGAAAACAAGATCTGTGATGCCTTTTCACTCTTTTTCTTGATATAAACGAGCTCTTTTGCATCTGCTGAAGTCAGTCACAGAGTCACAGCCTCTCCAAGTAACTTCGCTGTAACTTTCGGTTAATGTTTGCCCAAGCCCAAATTCCATCACTGCCACTGCCACCCACTCACTCACTGTATCTTACTGCAGGTCGCCGACACCGCGGGCGAACGTGCCATGCGAACGAACTGAACTGAGCTGCGCAGGCAGACAGGCAGCAATGACCCCATGCACGCCTACCTACGCCTGGTCTTCCACTCCTACCAACTCTTCCCTCCTCCCTCTCTTCGGTCTGCCTGTGACACACGACAAAGTCATTTGGAGCTAGAAAAAGCTCCTCTAGAATCGCACAGGCTGGACATTCAGCTCTGACTCCCCTCCCCTCATCCTGGGCAGGGTAGGTACTGCAAACAAACGGCAAACGCACCTGCCCTCCCGTGACCTGAACCACTGCTTCTCCTCCCAGGTATATCTTGCACCCAACATCTTTCATTTCAAATGCTGCATCTTGCCAACATTTATCTAGCTTTTTCTCACCCATCAGCGGAATTATCTGGGCGTCGGATATTCGCCCTGAATCTTACCCGTCTACACAACTGACCCCGCCCTAGAACATTGCACTTATTGGGCTTTACATCGCCTCGCCGTGCTCACTTCCCCCATCTTTTACCACCTGTTGCCCACGTCTAGACGAGCTCTGTAGATACTCGTCACGATTTTTGCTCAGCGTCTTTCCACCCCTCAACGTCGGGGCTAAACGCTGGGACCGGTGGCCAGTCGACGCCGCCATGGGTCTCAAGCAGTTCAACCTCGACCTTAGGGCCGCTGCGTCTAGCTATAACGACCCGCACGTCACAAATGTGCGAAAGGGAGACTCAGATGGAGAGATTGTATTCACCTATGGCCTGGAAGGGCAGCCGCCCTTGGAGATCCAGGCTCTTTCAACGGGTATGATCTTGCAATACTGCCCCCCAGACTCTGGACTGCACATTGAGCTGGGACATTTAATCACCCATCCCCCGCGGAAAGCAGAAACAACCTAGCTGACAATATCCAGATGCCGATTCTTATCCCAGACACTCGAGCTTCATGATATTCACCTCGTCAGACCATGCTACCAAGGATATGGATGAGTGGCTCCAGAGTTTCACTGCCTTGACCGAAGGCAAGAATGTGACCGAAGTCATCTCGCTGGTTTCCAGACGATTGACCGCCAAGCTCAGCAACAGCATGGACGATCCATCCATAGCCGTCATTAGTAGCGACGAGGATGAAGCAGAGGGCGACTCTGCATTCGATAGCGACGACTTCTCCCAGGGCGATGAGGACGAAGAGTATCGCATTGACATCACCCCGCTGCCGCCTAGAAGACCGGCTGCGAGATGCGCAGCTGGCTCTCCAGGATCGACTACTCGCTTGAAGCGGCACCTAAGAGATGCCAAGAGCGAAGGCTTTTGTATCTCTGTCCCGTTCACGAAGAAGGTCGACAATCTCTCTGGTATCTTCTCGCTGTCCATCCGTGTTTCAAAACTCGCCATCCCAGAGGAAGCCTTGGAGGCATGGGACCTCAGGTCTTCGGAGTACGTGGTCATGTTGATCAAACTGCCAATGGGATATCCTTCTGTGACCGAGTTTATACGTCTACCCTCCGACCAGTCAACGGTGCAATTCAGGTTCGGTAAATGCGCCAGTCCCAAGCCGTCCTACCACACAATGAGACGGATGTTCGAGCCCGAGCACAACATGGAGTCCCAGCATCCTCCTCGTCAAGACAGCAGCAGGGACAGCGATCATTTTCTACCGCTGTACATGTCAGCATCTCTCAATTCCCTGCTCAACCAAGAGTTCCCTAGTCTCCTACGACTTCGACGATCCGACAACTTTTCCTGGGACCAAGCACATGCATTCAAGTTCGATCTGAGTCGAGGCAGTCACTTCAGAGACACTTCCTCTTCAGTCAAAAACTCTACAGATGACCGGGACAGCTCTGCTGATTGGTTTAGTCTTGAGCTCCTTCGACGAGACTACGTCTCGGCAGGTGAAGATCTCAACATCTTTCTTGTGGCGATGCAGTTCGGTCTGCAGAGACTAATCAAATGCACAAAATACTGCATGGTATGCCATCAAAGGATGGATGGAGGTTTCGAGGCCGTCAAGCCTTTCGTTTGCGGAAACCTGCTTTGCCTTTACCAGTACCTGTCACTCGGGTTCGGCCAGAGCATCGAGCACGACATTGTCAACAACCCAGCTGTGGTCGATCTCCTTATCTCCTTTTTCTACTGTGCAGTTTTTAACAATCGTCTTCGCGAATTTCCCCAAGGACTGGGTCTAAAATGGGCTGATCCAGGTTCCCTCAAGGATCCCTCAGAGCATCTGGACGTGGACGTGTCCTTCAGGAACAAGACGATTTGGTTCTCTGGCACCGACTATGGCTCCCATAAAAAGATCAAAGAGGGTGACTGTGTCCTTCTTGTCATCAAACCCAAGGAAATGACTACAACGGTACCTATCCTGCACTCGAGTAAGTGGACACTTTTTGGTTCCCGGTTGATGGCAACACTAACACCGAGACAGCTGTGGAAAGGCACACGTGCATCATCGAATCGGTCGGGAACTCGGACTGCACTTTTCGAATCGTTGAGACACAGATAGCGCCCATGAATGTCTTGTCGCTATCAGAAAACGAGACGAGAACCCATGCGACCCATCCCAGCGCAGACCGGGTCCGCGTCATGCTTTTCCAGCACAACAAGGATATCGATGAGATTCAGATCACGGACCGTGATTACAATCTCATTCAACTGACCCGGATGATCCCGTCTGTCGAGGAAATGAGATCCTACCTTGTGGAAAGGCCAGGAAGTAGCCTGTCCCTTTGGAAGGGCATGAATAGTTCGACATTGGCTCTCCTCAACTGGATCGTGGCATCGAACAGATCTTTCATTGTTCAAGACGGCCCAATCCCTGATGGTCAATCGCCGGCGGGAGGGGCCGCAGACAGTCCCAGCATTGTCCAGGGCATGGGAGCGGGCTGGATGCAGTTTCGATTCGCTCAGGGCTCGCCAGAGAAGGAAGAGGCTTTCTTCAAGGAGCTCACGAAACTGAAAGAAATCAACGGGCAACCAAAAACACACCCAAGTCTATTCGCCTGGCATGGAAGTCCGCTCGAGAATTGGCACAGCATCATTCGGACTGGGCTTGACTTTTCTACGACGCTGCATGGACGAGCTTACGGCAACGGAGTCTACTTGGGCAAGGAATTTTCGACCAGTCAGGGCTACACGATGGGGGGTGTTCACGGAAGCCACTTGGTAAGTTGGCCATACCTGGAGGAAGGTCGAACGCGGTAGGGCAGGGGAAACTCTGTTAAAGTGTAGATCTCATTGGGAGCTGGAACGAGTACCAGATCGATCTGGCATTCGAACCCTCTAGGAGATATGCACACTCACAGAGTTCCCCTTGTCCTTGCTAATCACACAGCCATTCTCTGGCCGTCTTGTATCTTCTCCGTTGGTGGTGATTGTTGGCTGACATTCAATAACGCAGGTTTCTTCAGCATGGCCGAATTCTCGACTCAATATCTCCAGTGCTATCAGCATGTGTGAGATTGTCAACAATCCAGCCCAATACGTGTCAACACAACCGCATTTTGTTATCAACAAAATCGAGTGGATTCAGTGCCGGTACCTATTTGTTCGAGTGAACGCCTCTTCACAAACCGGTGACCAATGGTGCCCGAAGAAATCGGTCTTCACTTCGAAGGGTTATCTTACACAAGACCCTCAACATCGGTTGATCGGTGACCATAGAAATGAGATCCTAATCCCCTTGTCGGCAATTCCAACTGCCCGCCGTCGTGCTCTTGGACAGCATGGCTCTGTTGGTGATCCGGGCCTCACCCGAGAGAATCCTATCTTGCTCGATGAAGAAGATGGGGATGTGCTTGAGGAGGTTGACGGGGAACTCGACGATCTCCTGGCCTCGGATGTCGAGGAAGAGGATAGCCAGAGACAAATGGTGCGAAAACGGCGACGAACTTCCACGGACTCGGGCCTGGGAGAGCTACGACCATCCAAGCTGACGACAGGGATGCAGGATCGAAACAACACAGGCCAACCACAGTCTGGAACTACCACCGCCTTCAGGCCTGGCGGCCTGGATCTGGCCTCTCTCCCTAAGCTCGCCGAGCCGACCTGGGCGACGTCATCCCCAGGAGCCCTACGTGCCCTCAACCGGGAGATCAAGGATCTGCAAAAGATACAATCCAGCACCGATCTCGCTTCGCTAGGATGGTATATCGACTTTGACAAGCTGGACAACATGTTTCACTGGATCGTCGAGCTCCACAGCTTTGACGTGAACCTCCCCCTTGCGCAAGATATGAAGCGCGCCGGCTGCTCCAGCATTGTCCTGGAACTCCGTTTCGGCAGCTCGTACCCGATATCACCGCCTTTTGTCCGTGTCATCCGCCCTCGCTTCCTCCCATTCGTCCACGGTGGTGGTGGTCATGTTACCATAGGCGGCGCTATATGCTCAGAGCTGCTCACCAACTCGGGCTGGTCCCCCGCGCTGTCGTTGGAAAAGGTGTTCCTCGAAGTCAGGATGAATCTCTGCGACATGGACCCTCCAGCCCGCCTTGACCGGGTAGATAGCTTGGGGTCGATGGATTACAACATCTTCGAGGCTATTGATGCATTCCGCCGTGCTGCCACGGCACATGGGTGGCAGATTCCTTCGGACGTGGACATGATTAGTAGCATGTCCGCGCTGCAACAACACTAATGGAGAGTTCTCCTGAGCAACATTTTGATGTATACACAACGAGATCGATTGTGCTATATCAGACAAGGCACTTTTTTGGCGCCTTGTTACTATTTGACTTGTTTCTTGTTTCCAGAGACAAGTGGCGTTAAGGGCGTGCCGGATTTGAGGGATGTGATGATACAAGATCACAGATGTCCATATGCTGAGGGGATGAAGACCATTACCTAGACAGCGACACTCACGAGGTACAGATCGGTAGACGGGTGACGGAAAACGGTCTAGTGTATTCTAAGTTGGCACGAATCGCTATGAATTGATGATTTAATGATTCAAGACTTGAATTTGGTCAAGGTGTAGTCATGGCACTCTGGGATGGTAGTGGATCTGATCTTCATATCAAGGAGTTGTGACACTTCCTCTTCATTGCGTCCTTAACTTCCCTTCAGCCGATTAATGACATCAATAGTAGCAGTATCACCATTGACAGCAGGACAGCAAGAATTTATTTCAACTTTTTATTTCATTATCTGGCAGCATCACCATTTGCAAGGCTAGCTGACTTCTTTAACCTGGCCCCTTCTGGCAACACCTCAACTCCCCCCGTCTATAAAAACTCCCCCATCTCTCTCTCTGTTTAGGTTGGTCCGGATTTCTACGATTCGATTTTTTTCTTTCTCATTCAATTGGAAGACTTGCGATATCAAGAGAACCACATCTCGAAAGAAGGTCCTTTTTGTTTTGTCCAAGACATACCGTTTCCCCTCGATCCAGCTAGGGATGGAGGTGGGGTAGGTAGATAGCTACTAACCCTCAAGCAAGGTTTTTCAAGATTTTGTTGTTGTTTGTGTTTGTGTGTGTAGCAAAAGAATCAAGGAATCAACAAAAGAGAAAGAAAGGGTTCTAAAACCGTGGGAATGGATGAGATTGTGCAGCATAGTAGAAAGCAAGAAACCCCTTCCTCCTACCCACGCTGCACCAGCCTATACCAAACCCTTTCCTTTCCTTCCACAGTGTCTCCTTTTTGTTATACTGCACACCGACGTGTGCCGTTCCAAGTATCCCGTCAGGATACATTCTAGGGGGTGGGGGATGAAATGGAAAAATATCGAAACGGCCGGGAAACCAAGGCCTGGCAGATAAGACAAGCACCCAAAGCTCCCCTTAAACTCCAAAATAAAACATCCCAGGTCAGAACAAAACGTCGCATGACGGGGATGAGCGTCGCGACTGCGGTACCGAGGGCGGGATGCTCCTCGTACAAGGCCGTTTAGAAATCAAGGATCCGACTGGACTCGATTATTCGTCCATGTCGAGTAAAACGCCATAGTATGATTGGTTGAGGTTGTCACTGGACTCATGACAAACCGTGGATGTCAGTAGTTGGTGGTTTAGTTGTGCTGGAAAAGTACGCTGATCGACTCGCCGTGGTGGACACGGCGGATGGCCTCGGCAAAGACGGGCGAGATGTCGATCACCTCGAGCTTGGGACATAGTCGTCGGTGCTCGTTCTGGGGGACCGAGTTGGTAACCAGAATCTTGTCAATGGCAGAAGCATTGATACGGGCAATGGCGTCACCGCTAAACACTCCGTGAGTGAGAAGAGCGTACACCTTGGTAGCGCCCTCCTTCTTCAGAAGCTTAGCAGCGCGCGTGATGGTGTTGCCAGTGTCAATGATGTCGTCGACCAGGATGCAGATGCGGTTTGCGACATCACCCACAAGCATCATGCTGGCATTGCGGTGCTCGGTGAATCGGATCGGACGGCGCTCCTAGAGGTATTGTATGAGTCTTGAACAGAGGGGAGTCAAGAGATTATTTGAATTACCTTATGAATCAGGGCAAAATCCGTCTTGAGGCTGTCAGCGATCAGGGTAGCTCGCTTCGCACCTCCGGCATCGGGGGAGACGATGACAGAGTTTTGGTAGCCAGGGATTTGTGACTGGATATAGTTCTGGATCAGAGCCTTTCCGTAGAGGTTGTCGACGGGAATATCAAAGAAGCCCTGGTATTGGGGATCGTGAAGGTCCATAGTGATGATGTGGTCTGCGCCAGCGCAAGTGAGCAGGTCGGCAACCAGAGTGCCGGCCTGGGCAATCCAGTGCTTGTAACCAGGCTTAGGCTGGAAAGCCGAGATGTTGGACTGATTCTCGTAGTCGTGGGTCGTGAAACTTCGCTGCGAGGAAATCGAATTCTCCTGCTGGTGACCACGGTTGGAAGTGGTGCTCGAGATCGTATCCGAACGGCGAGGCGGCGCGTAATCGCCATTGGTGCCATTAACACCATTGACACCGTTAGCAGCGCTCTCCCTGGCGATCGCAGTCTTGGACAGCTTCTCAGTGAGGTTGTTAACGCCATTGGGCAAGCCGGCAGACCGAGGGGCGCCGGGGCGAGGTGTGGGCGGCACGCTCTCGAAGGTGTAGTCATTTCGGGAACCCCCAGAGGCTTGCGACAAAGGAGCACCGGCCTTGTTGTAGGGCCAGTCGGGCTGTCGGGAGTAGGGGAATAGTGGGACAACTGCAGTGACTCGCTTTGCTGAACCGATTTTGCAGGCCGAGATCATGATGCAGAGGTCAATGAGGTTGTCATTGACGTTGCCCGAGCCGGATTGAATGATGTAGACATCCTTTCCACGGACCGAGTCCTTGATTTCGCAACGACTCTCTCCACCAGAGAATTTTGAAAGGATGCGGTTACTTTGAGGAACGCCGAGGATGTTACACACGGCTTCTGTGAGCTGGGGGTGGGAATTGCCTCCCAGAACGACAATATTGCGCACCATTGTGAAGGCGAGGATGTGATTGTCGGGTAAAAGTTCAAGAGTGGTCGTCGGCTAAGAGAGCAAAAAGTTTTGAAGAGCGGCGAAGGACGGAAGCGGAAACGGGTGCGGAGGGGCCGATTCGGAGGGGCGAGCAATGGAGAAGAGAGAGGGGAGGCGTGACCGAGTCAAGAGTACCGGACACGAGGAAGGAGCTCTTGATGATGCGAGAACGATTTTGAAGAGGGGGAAACCCTAGACAAGTCGAAACGAGTCGATCCGAGATCGAGGGAAACCGAAGTCGAGACGAGACGTGACGAAGTTGAGGGTTTGCGAGGCAAATCCTTGACTAGGTGACTTTTTTTTTTTTTTTTTTTTGCTCTTTCAATGGCGGGCCCGGCCTCTTGGAGCGCAGCACAGCGCAGCGCAGCAACTGGGAGCGCGTGGAGTGGGGTGAGTGGAGGCGGGATTGCAAATGCCTGCCCGGTGAGTAAGTGGTGAAGCGTGTGAGTTGCTGCAAGATGCCGGTAGAAGACGAAATTGGCGCCGGGGACTTTCTGAGTACGCTGTAGGAGGAGGTTGGCGACGCTTTTGGGGGGACCTGAAGGCCTGTCTGGGGGCGCTGAAGCGGCGCGAGGGATGACTCGACAGTGGTTGACAGGGGTGGAGGCCGATTGCTGTAGCCGACTGATGAGACGCACAGAGCAGTCGACGTCACTGCGTCAGAGGCTCGCAGCTCAGCAGGTTTCCAATGCCGAATGACAGGGCAGGGGATCCTAAACAAAGAACCTGGCGGTGCGAAGCCGGAGATGGCGGTCGGGGAGCGAGTTGGAGGGAACAGCCAGCCAGTTGAATGGAGGCAAGACTTTCGTTTGAAGGTGACGAGGAAGAGATGGAGGAAAGAGGAACTCGGCAGACTGACGTGACGAACGAACCGATGAAATAAAGCCCGGGGATGGCGCGGCGGTCGCAGGAGGAGTCCAGTCCAAGTGGAGGAGGAGGAGGAGGAGTGGAGATGGCGATGGGATGGGATGTCGATGGGCGAATATCAAAGGCCCATTGTGTGCGAATGGATGCGTGAATTTGAAAGAAACTCTCGACGAGCGGGAGGAAGGGAGGGAGAAGGTGGATACAGATTTTAGTTTCTCTGGGGTTGCGTAGACTTTGGGCAACACGGTGACGACGAGATGAAATGATATTTTATGATTTCGGACAAGCAGAAGCGTCAAGTAACGAGACAGGAGTCATTGGCAGTCCAAGTCGGAGCCAGAAATGATGAAATGGCGACGGGGTACATGACACCCGTCACGATGCAAATCCGTACAGTCATGTACTACTATTCTTAGTCAAGCGTGGCTGCCGCAGGCAACCAACCAGCAGCCGAGGAAAAAAAAAACAGCCAGCGATCGATGGCCGGTCCACCGGTACCCGGAGGGAAGGAGGGGCGAACCACAAGCGCCAATTGCAAAGACAATGCAGAGACATTCTCCCAGGTTTTCGGGATCGAGACCGCACGGGAAGCGTGGAGTGGTGAGATTCTTGCTGCAGGGAAGGGAGAAAGGAAAATAAAAGGAAGATAACGATTCCCTCACCTGCCCAGTTGGTTACTGTACTGCTCTCTCCTCACACCATGAGCCGCTTTACTTACCCACCCGCGGCTCTAGCTGCAGCCTGAAGATGGAGGAGGAGGAGGTTTTTTTTTCCATTCACATGAACCTGGACTTTGTACCCACCCCCGCCAATTCTCATGTACCAAGGGTACCTACCTGCTGGCCAGGTGTAGTAGCTCTCCATACGGGACCCCCATGCTGTTATGAGTGATAAAAAAGGGTTCGATAGTTGGCAAAAACCCGAGTCCACCACAACCCGGATATGCTAGGAACAAGGGTAGCTCTGCAGTTCAACCTTGCTCCGTCAACTGCAGACCGCCCTATTCTTCGAAAATTCATGCTGGTACCTTGTTCCGGGAAGGTTGAAGCGGCTTCCTGGACCGTCTTCAACCCGAGCCGGAGACGGAGTACCGAGGGTGTACCTCCGAGAAATGTGCAGGACAGCGGTAGCGGAAAGCAGGCAGTGGGAGAAACGCCGGCTGCAGAGAGGGCAGCTGGAACAATCCACTGGGGAAATGGGAAAATTCCACTGAACCTTTCTGGGCTTTTCATGCGAAACGGGCTCCATGGGCTCTACCGCTGTAGGCGTCTGGTCACCAGGAGATTGCCCGGCGGCGGTTCAGCCCGGCAGGGATGTGTAGTCAGTTGATCTGTACCACACTCGTTCAAGCGACATTCACCTTGGAGGTGCTAACCAGTCACAGCCGTGAACCCGTCCTTTTTATCCTATTCTTTCCTTCTTCCTGCCTGGTCATGCTGAGCATTATAAGCAGAGCCGCTGCAAAGCATTCTCGCGAGACACACACCCTGGAACAGAGCCGGCTCTGCAACGTGTCCAACGCCCCGGTGACGGACTCGAGGTCTTGGCAAATGTACAATGTAAAGCGCCGCAGTGCAGCTCTCCCGAGGCGTGATGCACAATATCAAAGACTGCAGGCGGGCAAGGCGTTCTCAGCAACTGCTGGCCTGTGGTTACACCATGTGTGCTGAATCTCTTTGTCAACTGACGCATGTTGGTTGCGACGAGCATGGGACAATTGCCGTTTTCATCTCTGTCAATGTGAGCAAAGCAAAAAACCCATGTCTCTGTGGCTTGCATCACTCGATCCCTCATCAGGTCTCGCCTTGTCCGAGGATAAGATGTCGAGTGCCAGTGTGTGCGTTCTAGAAGGGGAGAAAAAGAAAGCAGCTAAATCACGCGACCTCCTTCTCCCAAGAACAATCAGGAGTTCCAGACCATTTCAGCTTTTTTAGCACCATGCACGTAGACTTGCGTAGGTACTATGTGGCTCAAAATGCCACCGAGATCCGGGGAGGGATCTTGTTTCTGTTCCCCTTCTGATGATGGCATTGCACATCAGATGGCTCCTATTGGATCCTTTGCCTGTAGGTTGACCCCTCTTTATGAACCTGCGTGCTGCGATGCCGGAAGTGAGAAAGGAAGAAAAAAAAAAAAAGAATCGCGGGGGGCGTCTTTGCCGATGGCTTGTGGACGAACGAATTGGAGCTAGACATTGGAGGAAAAAGAAAAGAAAGAAAAACCTTTGCGCAGGTACGTGATGAAATTGACTCCACTGTAACACGGAATCTCCCTTGCTTTGCGCACATGGTAAAAGGTGAAGCAATTGAGGCTCACATGCAAAAAAAAAAAATCGTGAATTGGAGGGCAGCCAACTTTTGCCCAAGTCTCAACCTTGAATCAACATCTCACACCTTGTGCTTCTGCCACATTCGCACAAGGTGTCGATCGTGCACCACGCTCAATTCCAGAAAAGAAAACTCCAAAGAAAAAAAAGCCTCCCGTTTTTGAGTGTCTCACAAGTTGCTGCGTAAAGGTGCATCCACTTTTTTCTCTTCTTCAGCCTTGTGTTTCTGCGGGGCCGTGATTGGTTCCTTCAACTACACATTTTGGATCCCCCATTTTTCTTTCCTCTGCAGCTCAGAGCCTCATCCTCACCCACCATCAGAATCTCACCTTTGCTCGCCTGGTTCGCTCTGCTGAGCCGACGCATCGACCGAAGCTATGAAGATTCTCGAGTCTCAAGCTGCTGTGCTCAGTAATTGGGAGGTGTACGAGCACCTCACTGAGCAGAAGGAGCGGTACAAGAAGACTAAGCATCGAGGTCCTCAAAATTATGAGGATCTAGTTCGCTATGTAGGCCATTCTCCGATTTGCTCATATTCAGATGTGCAGTTTAAAATTCAAGGATACATAACTGACGACGCTACAGCTCCTGAATTATCTCCGCTCAAATCCCAACCCTCTCAGCGAGGACCCTATTCCCTACACCGAGGGCTGCATCACCCAACTCCTCGAGCGCCTGAGGCCTTTCAACTTAGCCAAGAGTGAGGTTATCATGATCATCAACCTTCGCCCCAGCACTCCCCCAGTTCTCGGTTCTGCTCTCGAGGATATGTATGAGCGCTTCACCGCAGAGCAGCAGGAGGAAATGGTCACCATCATCGCCGAAGTTCTCGGCCCGTTCGGGCAAGAAGCTGAGGCCGATGCATCCATGGCTGACGCATAGCCTGAAGTCCAGACTTTGTTAAGCATTATATCCAGGGCCAGCTCTGTCCTATAATATCACCCATCGCTACCACCACACGTCACCTGGGGCTCGCCCATTCAAATCTCACAGTATCATACACGTGCTCGCGCTCTGGCTGTTTGACCCTGTCGTCGGTGTCACGGCCGTCTTGCACAAGTCCTCAAACGCCAGCTTCAGCAACTCTCCCGTCACCGCCGAACACTCGACGTACCGGTCCGCCCTCAAGGTCTGCGCCACCTGGTACGCTTCCTGGGGGTAGATGATCCCATTGGGGTCCTTCTCCGACCTCAGATCCCGCTTCAACCCGAGGATGATGAGAGGCAGGGTGTCGAACCTCTGAAATGACTTCTTGACCTCGTCGATCCACTACAACGCCCCCAACTGTCAGCCCTCCCTCCGAGAACAGGGTTTCGCATCACTTACATATCTCTGCATGTTGATCAATGTCAGCCGCTGGCTGATGTCGAAGCAAATAACAATGGCATCGGGGTCTAGGAGCCTCCAGTTATCCGGGCTCGAAGTATCAAAGAACTCGAACCGGTACTGTTTGGTGCCGGTCTTGATCCCAAAGATGTATGGCTGGTCGATGTCGCGGAGCAGGGGGATTGGGTTGACGTTTTCGCCCGCGCTTAGCCGTCTAAGAGGACCTAGGATGAGATGATGATAGGGCCAGATTAAATAGATGGGTTAGGACTGCGTACGAGAGGAATGTTGTCTTGCCACACTTTTCATCGCCTACGAGGAGGATCCTGATCACTTCGGTGTCCATCTTGTGCCTGTGTAGGATGTCTTTTTTCAGATTATCGATGGAATGGATCAGATCACGATCTATAAAGGGTGAAACCAGCTTGAATGAGCAGGCTATCGCTGTTTAAATGGAAGCTGGGGTATTGATAGTGGTGAGCTGAGAGCAGTACGTAACTTATCTCTCGGCCTGTCCCTTCTCCCCGTGTGGCGCACCCCGCAACGCCACAGCGACTAACAAGCCACACATCCAAGTTGGCTGCTGAAGCCCTTTTTCACAATGACTCTGATGGGCCTGCATACAACGGATCAAAATTTGGAACCCACCAACTTCACATGAGACGCTTTGGTCGTCAACTTGGGCGTCAAAGTCCGCTCGGAGCCATCATCAGCGGAGCTCAGATACATCATCAACCGTCAAGACGCAGCGCTTCAGTTTCTTCGAGTTCTTCATCAAGTGGTGAATCCCCCGAAGCTCGTGCGCAGCGAAAGGCTGCCAGGTACCGCACCATGTCCGGGGACGCAAATTATCAGTCATGGACGAAGAACGGTCTTATCCAGAGGGTCAAGGAGCTTGAGGCTCAGCTCAAGAGCCGACCAGCTCCAGAGCCAAAAGTCGAGGTTGTGCAACAGCCACAGAAGAGTGAAGGAGACAACACGACACCAGAGGTCAAAAAGGCTAAGCCCAAGGGAAAACGAAAGATGGACCCCAGCAAGTACTCGACGCGGTTCATCGCCCTGAAACTCGCGTACCTGGGCAAGAACTACGGCGGTTTCGAGTTCCAAGCCATGGCCAACGCTCCATCTATCGAGGAGGAGTTGTGGAACGCCCTCACAAAGGCGTGCCTCATCTTCCCCAAGGATGAACGAGTTGTCGACTTTGAGTGCTGCGAGTACTCCAAGTGCGGCCGCACCGATAAAGGCGTCAGCGCCTTTGGACAGGTCATTGGTCTACGGGTTCGGAGCAACAGACCTTTGCCTAAGAAGCGACGGCGTCTAAGTGAAGCGGGCGATGCCATGGTTGTGGATGAACCAACAGGAGAGAACGGAGAGGAAGAAGATTATATTGAAACTTCCTCATTCGACCCTATCAAGGATGAACTACAGTATCCTCGACTCCTCAACCGTGTGCTCCCCCCTGATATCCGCATCCTCGCCTGGTGCCCCTCACCACCACCAGACTTCTCAGCCCGATTCTCCTGTCGAGAGCGTCAGTACCGCTACTTCTTCACCCAACCTGCCTTTACACCAGAGCCTACGGCTGGCGGCGCGAAGAATGGATGGCTCGATATTGAAGCAATGCGGGATGCGGCGAAGCGGTATGAGGGTGAGCACGACTTTCGCAACTTTTGCAAGATCGACCCCGGGAAGCAGATTACAAACTTTGTGCGCAACATCTTTGAGGCCGATATCAAGGAGGTCCGCGATGTCAGCTCCGCCTTGCCATACCTCTCCGGGTCTCAGTATGCGCCAGCTGGAGGAGTCGTGGACAAGGACGCTGTGCATCCCAAGGTGTACATGTTCCAAGTCCGTGGCTCGGCTTTCCTGTGGCACCAGATCCGCCACATGGTAGGAGTGCTATTCCTCGTGGGCCAGCGCCTCGAGAAGCCAGAGGTCATATCGACTCTGCTCGACGTGGCCAAGAGCCCATGCAAGCCCAACTATGTCATGGCCGATGAGGTGCCCCTGGTGCTCTGGGACTGCATCTTCCCCGGCGAGGATTCTGCTCCTGTGGACCCTGCTGCTGAGAAGAAGGATGCTCTTGACTGGGTGTACCTCTCCGACGACCCGGCGCTCTGCAAACCGGGCCAGTTCGGGGTGATAGACGGTCTATGGGCGTACTGGCGTGAGCGTAAGCTCGATGAGCTACTATCAAACCAGCTCCTACAGCTTGTCTCTCAACAAGGCAGCACAGATCCCTCCCGCCAGATCTCTCGGCCGGAGCCAGCCAAAGCAAACAGCACCATGGTCTATGAAGGAGGCAACGGCGCACGCATGGGAGGTCGTTACGTGCCGCTCTTGGAAAAGGACAAGTTGCAGTCTCCCGAAGAGCAGAATGAGCGGTACGCGATCCGAAAAGGATATGCTAGCTCGGAGGATATGCGAGCGCAGAAGGGCTTTGGCAGGAGAAAGGATGAGTCCACGGCGGACGAGTAGACATTAGATGCATAAAAGTGTTTTTAAGCAAGCTCAAAGCCGCACGTCTATCGCCGGCGAGCACAAACAATACAACAAAAACGCCCTTTGGGTATACCCTCTAACTCTGTCCCTTTTCTTCTGCCCTGCTCTCGTATAGACACCGTCTTACACCCCTCCATACCTCTTCAACGATTTTGCGTCGTGGGAGCAAGCGAGGAAACACGACGACAACGTCTTCTTCTCCTTCCACCACCACGACGAGGTAGTACCGCACCTCGAATCCAAGGAACGCCTCGTTGACTAGAATATCCTGTATCTTTTCCGTCGGGATAAATCTCGTCGCCGTGCCTGCGAGGTAACTACCCGCACACGAGCTAGTCTGAACACCGAGACCCCTCATGACGAGAATGCTCTCGCATGCATACCCCCTACGGCTAAGCAGCCAAAGCACAGCAAAACTCCCAGGCACGAGTACAGAAACAGGTATACTCTCCGCAAGCGCAGATATAGAAGTCGGAGCCTGTAGGTGCGCGCGAGGCACCAAGTCCTTGAGTAGCGGTGGTATGATGCTTGCGAGGAGCGGCGAGAGGGTGAGGCGCGCGTAGACGAGTAGGAGGATGAAGACAGTGACGAGGAAGCGTGAGAGGAGTATTAGGGTGTGGAGGGCGGGAGGGATTGGTCGGAGGGTTGTTACTGTGAATTCGGCCGTTGTCGGGGACGGATGCCTGATGCGCAGGCGGGGAGATGTCGAGAGCATGGTGGTTGATTTGGTGATGGGTTAACAGTTGATCATGGTGGGTTGTGTTGCAGAGTAGCTGGCGGAGGTTGTCTCTATCGTGTATGCTGAAGAAACTGGAAAAGTCTGGAATTGTGGTGAATGCGACAGTTGTAAACAGACAATTGAAGCTATAACTGCTGTACCAGCCAGCTACGTCAAGGAGAGGAAGCTGTGATCATGGCAAGTTGAAGCTCAAGTCCAACAAGCAATCACACACACAAGCCCCACCACTAGCCACGCCCCACCCACCATACCTTTATAAGCCCCAAATTGGTCACCAACTTCCGACTGTAATGGTCCAACGGCGAAGACGTTCAAACACGCTCATCTTCCCATCCCAATTCCACTGTTCTTCGGAATAGTGGCCCTCTGCCGCGCCCCGTCCGAACGCCGCGGTGGCCGCCCACTCGTGCAGGAAACTCACGATGCTGGTAAACCCCTTGGCGGTCCTGAGCGCTGGAGATGACCCTTGAGGGAGGCTTCACTCTGCAGAGATCTCTCCCCCGTCGCGTGGCGGGTGGGAATACGCTTGGTGGAAGGGTTTGGGTTGGATGAGGATGAGATGGAATATTCAACGCTTTCTTTTTTGCATTTTTTGCACATCAACTGCACATGTAAAATGTCATTTAAAAATTGTATTTCAATTGAATTGCATTGGATTTATCGATTGCAGCCATTTTTAATATCATTGAGGTCGAATGTGGTGTTGTGCTGTGTGATTCGAACCCCCACTGAATTTCCCTGGACCTCGCACATGAAGCCATCACCACGTCCATGTCTCTCCTCTCAAACAACACTCACTTCACAAGTCACAGCAACAAAAATCATATGCAAGACAAACCACATTCGTTCAATTCGTAAACACTAAAAGCCCTCCGGGGGAATAAAAAAAAAAAAGAGCTATCCAATCCGATCCTTTCCAATCCTTATCATCCATCAATCATTTCCATCAAACTATCCCCAGGTCCCATAATCCAGTCCATTGAATCCATCCATCCCGTCCATCATCATTCACCCAAAACTCAAACAAGTGCCGCGAGGCAACATTGTATAACGCGATTCGCTGCATTCATTTCCCGCATCGTGTCCTTGACTTTTTGGAGGCCTTTCGTCTGATCCAAGGAACACGACGGCCTTGAGATTGGCCCTCTTCTTCTTCTCCCCCTTCCCCAAGAATGTTAAAAAAAAAAAAAAGAACAGGAACAGAAAACATTGCGCGTATGCAATTCAACCACCCCCAAACATAATCTGTAAAGCCACGGGTTTGCTTTTGCAAGGACCATACACGTCCCGACCCAGAGAAACGAAGAGTCATGCATAGTTCATCAGATCGCCTGCCAGTCAATGCAACTGAACCCGCCGTGACAGGGACTAAGAACTTGAAGAAATCAGAAATAAGAAACAAAACCAGGGATTTTCATCCGTGTCGTGACAAGGCGCAGGAATGCAATATCAGCGTCGGACAACAAGCATGGTATCGTATCGACTTAAGAGATGGTGAATAACGCCGATCGCCATGCAGAGAGAATCGAATAGAATCGAAAAAAGTACAAGTGTCGTTTATAAGGAGTGGTAGAAGGAAACAAGATGCCGTACAACGCGCTGCTTGCGCCCGGGTGAGACCTCCTAGATCATCTCGCTCCGGTGCAGGCCCGTCGACAGGTGCTTGTTCTTGGTGTCGATAGGAGATCGGAGCACATCAGGGTTGTACGACACCGGGGGAGGCGACTTGAGCTTTTGAGGCATGGGGATGCTCTCGTACGGTGCCTCAAAGGGGGGCGACTTGGTGTATTCCTTGCGGCTACGGCTAGCCGATCGGAGACGCTCAGTCGCCTTGGAGATACGGCTGGAGATGCTGCTGCCATCACCGACACTTCGACCACGGCTGTGACCCTTCTGAACAGGGGCTGGAGGAGGGCTAGCCTCAGATCCCATGTCATTACCAGAAGTGTCCTCGTCGTCCATGACAATCTCAATCATGCCAGATGCCATAGCTCCGCCCTGCTGAGCTCGGTGAGCGACGTGAGGGAGGGGAGCTGGGGGTGGTGGAGGAGGCGAAGCCAGATGTCGGAGCTCCTTCAACACCGGAGGAGGGGGAGGAGGCATAGGCTCTTCGTGAGATCGACGTCGCTCGCCGCCAGGGAGCTCATCGATGCGGCCTACGCTGCCCTTGCGATCGGGCCAAACTGAGTGCTGGCTTGGCTCGTCAGGGATAGGAGCCGACATGCTTCGGGGAATGCTGGGTCGGGTTGGTGGTTGATAAACAGTCGAGGGCAGCAGAGTGAGAAGATCACTACCCATGTCCTTCTTGGGCGAAGCATGGGGTGACGAGTTTGGTGTCTGCCTCTGAACAAAGTTGGGTGGGATCGAGGGGACATCGGGCCTGGGAGTGCTGCCAGTCTTGTCATGGTTGCCCTCAATGATGAGCCTCATGGCCTTGGGGGTAGCGGGAAGACCCATGACAGGTCCGCTACGGGCGTACATGCTCTTGGGTGGCTGCTCAGTCGGGCTGGGACCTTGTACCTCATCAGATGACTCCTTAGGCTCAGGAGCTTCAACTGCCGTCGGGAGAGCAGGAGAAAAGTCGTTGGGGTGAGGAATAGATGGCGCCTGGGGGCGTTTAGCCAGGGACTTGCGACGCTCCTCGAGTTCTCGGGCAGCCTGCTCCTTCTTCCGCTGACGCTCATCCTTCATCTGCCTGAGATCGCCAGCCTGGTCAGTCGAGGCGGTCCGACCATGAGCAAACAGGGGCTCGGGAATATCAACGACATCCGAGTTGGCCCTGGTTCGAGTCTCCGAGGGAGATCGCTTGCCGCCGACGGAGGGTGAGTTGAGGCCACGGCTTTGACTGCGACTGTGCTTGTTCCTAAACTCCTCCTGGGCAACCATGGCGGCCCTGTAATCTTCCTCATCCTCAGAGCCCTGGTAGTGGGGAGCCGCCGACAAGGGCAAAGGAGAAGATGGGGATCGCTGAACTGATCCCTCCCGACCCTGGCCACGACCGCGGATGTCAAGAGCTGGGGGACGGCGGCTATCAGGGCTCCTGCGACGGCTTCCACGGCTCGATCCCCGGCTCTTTGGCTTCGAAATGGAGGAGCTCAACTTGCGCACCGTAGCGGGCTCACCCATCTGAGTATGTCTTGGGGTGCTCAGGTTGATCAGATCCTCAGGAGACATGGGAATCGGAGAAGTAGGTGATCGCTTGGCCTTGGGCCAGCCTCGAGCGACGACGCGGCCACGCTCCTCGGAGTGCTCTCGAGGGCCGGCTGTTCGATCGCCTGTTCGCTCACGGCTGCCGGGGCGGCTGCGTGAACCATCGCGAGTCCTTGACTGACTGCGTTGTCGGCTGCGCTGCCTCTTTTGGTAGTGATGGGCGGCATCCAAGCTGTGGATGTAATCCTCTCGGTTTCGGACAGCTTGGTGTCGCAGGCTTCTTCCAGCGCTGGAGGCAGAGGTAACAGAGCTGCTGGTCACCGAGCCAGGTCCACGGCGTCGAGTAGGCCAGTGGTAGCGAGTAGACGAACCAACAGACTGCTCAGGGGAGGTCACATCACTCACTTCCACGCCCGGGGAAGACGTCAATCGCAAGTCGACACCCACGGGAATACGATCACGCGAGCCGTTACGGCGGTTCCTCTTCATCATGATGTCGTGGTTGGGAGGAGGAGGAATATGTTCAGCAGGCTGGACAACGCGCTCGGCGTGCTCCCGCATCATCATCGGGCTGGCTGTGGCAGCACGCTGAAGCAGGTTACCGGCAATCATGTTGTTGTCTTGACCTGATGGAGTGCGAGCGTGGCCAGATCGAGTCTCCATGTCGTACAGAACAGCTGACAGCTCAGCGTTCCTGATAGCATCACGGTTGAGATCCGCTGGGACCTCGCCGATGGAGGGCAGACGTCCGCGTCCTCGTGCCGACACAGGCGTGTTGAACCTGCTGTTGCTGGATGGACGAAGGAATGCGGTTGTGGCATCGTTGTTGGTGGACACAGAAGGAGACCCGGCAGAGTCGGCGATAGGAGTGACACCAGCGGCAATGGGAGTCTGGCCGCCGTCGCCAGCAAAGAACTTAGACTTTTGCGACTGATCACCAAAGGAGGTGATGAGCTTCAGCGCCGATGTCTTGGCAATGCTGCGCTGAGGGCCACGCTGGATGCCAGGAGGCGAAAGAGGTGGGCTGAGAACTTCGGGGATGCTGGGGTTCATGGTCTGGAAGTTGAGCTGGGCGGCAGATGGAGAAGTCCAGGGCTCGGTGGACTCCTGATCAGTGCATGCGAAGCATCGGATAGCCAGCTGCTGCTGGCCGTGCTGCACAGCCCACTCTCCCCATTTCCGAATGATGGCGGCCTGGCGCTCCCAGACACTGGAGAAAGCCAAGCAAGTGAGAATCAAGGCTTCCATGTAACGCTTGTGAGAGATGTAGACCTCAATAGCGTCGTTGTGGTCACCCATGCCGAGCATAATTGTGACGGCGGCATGAATGTCACCAGTCTCAAGAAGGCGTTGAACGTAGGCACGGCCAATCTTGTGCTGTGAAGCCTGGTTGCCGATACCACTGAGAGCCAACAACATCCAGTCTGAGGATGTCATGTTTTCTGAGGTCGCACTCATGATATCTGGGTCAATGTCACCAAGCCACTTAGCCAACAAGATACGGCTAGCAGACCCCGGAGGGTGACGGGCCAACTCATCCCTAATGAGATCCTCGATCTCCTTGTTCCATCCAAAGATGGTGCTGAGCATCTGGCGACGGAGGTCATCGTTGGTGAGACGAGTGTCCTTGGTTCCCATGTGGTGCTTGTAGGGGATGTCACTCAGACGAGCGCGAGTGTACTTGAACAGGTCATGAACCTTGCTGTCATCAGGACTGCGCGGAACCTCGTTGCGAAGGCGAGAGGGCCTTCGTCGAGAGCGGCTAGACGCCATTGAAGGGACACTAGTAGTACCCAGAGAATAACCCATGGAATAGTTGTCCATCTCCCTCCTTTGGCCAAGAGTCGAAGACCTAAGAGAGGTTCCAGCAGAGATATAGGTACTGTCAGACAACCCCTTGGATCTCATCGATCCAGCGTAACGACCCTGAGTGTTGGAGCCCGCCGATGACTTGGAGAGGGAGGACAACCCACTTCGGCTTGAGATCGGGCTGGCAGAGTCGTAGGCCTCATTGCCGCCCGAGTCGTACACTTGGCGTTGGGCTAACCGGGCAAATGGCGACAGGTGATCTTCATCACTCTCGGAGATATTGATCTCCAGCGGAACGGAACTTGTCTCAGACTCCGAGTTGATAGTGGTCGCAGAAGTGGCCGACCGATCACCGGTCTCCTCCGACACTGGAGGCGAGGGAGGCAGCAGGTTTGCTGGGTGCTGGACATTCGCCACCATGATGGCAGGGGAGTTGAGGTCGAACTGCTGCACCGTGTTGTTGGGCCCCAGGGTGAAGAGCGTAGCTCCTGGGCCATAGACGGCGAGACCCCGGACGATGTCGAGGGTTGGGATAGGGTCGTGGGTGACGTGCTTGGTCCTAACATCCCATGACTGTGTTTGGCTGTGAACAGGTTAGTATGGAATCATGCAGTTAAGCGCGCGCGTAGACTAGGGGGTTCTGTGGTGGTGGCAAGTTGTGACTTACGAGTCAGAGTATTGGATTATGCGGCCGTTCTTGGACCAACCCATCCAGTTGGGACCATCCATGGAGATCTCCGTCTTCTTCAGGTTTCGAACCACCTTTGCGGGATCGTCAGGGCTGAACTTCTTGGCCACACTCCAGACCCGGAGGTCTCCATCACGCATTTGGACAGATAGCATGTCCGACTTTTGCCGCGATGACGAAGCATGCCATGCCAAGTTGACAATGGGTGACGGTCCTCTGGAGGTGGTGAGATTGTGTAGAATAGTGAAGCGTGGCTGCAGAGTCGCGATAAAGAGGGAGCCATTTTGATAACTGAACCATGTTAGTGAGATGTGATTATGAGTGCATGAAGAACTCACCCAATGGCGAATGTGCGGCAATCTGCTGATGGCGCCAACGCAGTCACTGCAATTTGATCGATTGTCCTTGCGGAAACATGCTCAGAAGTTGAGGGTTCAAACAAGATGATACTTCCTTTTGTGTTTCCTGCGTCTTGTTAGTTCTCGCTCTCAAATCAGGTCAATCACACATACCAAAAGCAACATTGCCGTTCTTCATCCAGGCTGCAACAGTCAGGTGCTCATATGATGCAAATCGGGCAATCTCATCACCCGTCATCAAATCCCACACAATTGCAGTCTGGCCAACGTCGTAGCTCACAACGAAGCGGCCGGCACCCGCCTCGCTGTGGTTGTCAACGGCCAATAATTGAACATCGTCGGCGTGCCGCGAGAACCTCCGCTCGATTGTGAGGGTGTCATGGTGGCAGCAGACAATGGATGATCCCTGGGCGTATAAAAACATGGCGGCCGTGGCGGCGCAGGGATCAAAATACTTGAGGTCGGTTACGTGAGGCATGGTGGTGCTGTCCGGGACCTGCGACGTCTTGCTCCTGGCGGTCCCCCTTCCAGAGCTCATTGAGACGGTGCGGTTCCGCGACGATGTTGGCACGGCGGCGGACATGATGGGCCTGATATCCTTTCGAATCTCAACCTGCAATTCACGGAGCTCACGTTAGCCAGTCGGCTGGCGGCAGGGCACGACGACAGTTCGGGAACTGGTCTGCAGGGGCCTTGGAGTCGTGTGCGACGATGCACGTACTGTTCTAATGCGATGTCGACGAGGGACGACCCCCGATGGCCGGGGCCTTTGCTCTCGTTGCTCTCAGAGTCGCAGTAACAGGCGGGAAGCTACACGCTGGGGCTGTCGAACATGCCTCGGAGTGTCCTACTGCCCGCACCCGGACAATGACTCTTCTCGGGGCGCCTCGGTAAGCCAAAGTCTCGGATCGCGATGCACTCTGTTCTCTTGTTCCGTCACGGTATGCGATACGGCGATGCGGGTAGCGACGGTGAACCAGGGTTGGACAATGGGCGGGACTCGTGAAGCCGTGTGTCTCGGTTGCAACGTGGAGAGGATGTAATTTTCGAATGCGGTGAGAGGGGAGTGAGGTGTTCTTGAGGGAGGCGGTTAGGTTAGTGAAGATGAAGAGAAGAAAGGAGTCGCGAGCGAGCGTAGAGAGGAAGAAGAGATGTGTGTGGAGATGGGTCAAGCAGTGGTTTTGCTTGACAGAGACGCTATAGGCGCAAGCCGGCAACAGTCTGAACGCAACCGCTCTACCTCGACCGGGCCTGAATGTGATTGCCTGGGGTCGGACGACAGCCGAATAAGGACGGGTGGGCAAGGTGGGCAAGGTCTACAATGGAAGAGCGGACAAGAGTGGATGGAGGCTGGAGAGGGGTGTGACCCGGCGCTTGACTTGCAGGAGTAGCTTGGAACGTCTCTTGAAGGGATTCTAGGGTCTGGTAACTTGTGTGGGTGTGGATGTGGATGTGCGCGCGTGTATGCTGTGCTGAGCAACGACAGGCGACTACGCTGAAGAGTTGGGTGAGGATCTGAGGAGCGAACAACAGGATGCGGCACGAGGCGTTGGAGGAGGCGTTCGACGAGGCGCAGATGGGCAGCAAGAGAGGCGATAGGACCATGCATAAGGTGATGATGACGGGTGTGAGGTTTGGTTTCGGAAGACGACGGCAAGTTATGAGAATAAGAAAAAATCATTACCTGTTTCTTCCCACAAACTGAAGCTGGGATGAGCGAGCTGGGGGCTGGGAGTGTTGTTGTTGGTGGAGTTGTTGTAAGAGCTGAAGATGTGACAGTGTGATGAGGCGACACAGACACAGCACAGGACAAGGGGAGAAAAGGACTAGGAAGAGGCCTAAGAGGGAAATCTAGAGTAGAAAAAGAGCAGGTTGGGATGGTTTTGAGAAGGACGCAGACGATCCAGGGTGCCTGAGAGCGAGCAGTGTGGGTGCCGTTACTGCGTGTGCTCAGTGTGATGGACCATCCATCATGGGTCATGGGCGAGGGGTCCAGAGTCAGAGATGGCGCCTACAAAGTGGCGTCCTGGCCTGTCAGTGGACGCCTGTGCCAGAGGCCATATAATTAGAGCCCTGCGAACGTTGGGTTCCATGGATCAGCGGAGACGGACCGGCTCATGGGCAACATGGCACCCAGGGGTCGACATGGCGGATGGTGGACGGCGGCTGGGGATTGGAGCCTTCAGAAACACGGCCTCGCTGTGCTGGGACGGACATCCATTGTTAGTACCAGCCTGTGGAGACTGGCGGCCAAGACGAGGAGAGGAGCTGCATGGAACTGGGATCCCCTCTCGTGCTGTAGAGGGAGCTCTGTCGCTCTCTAGCAGGTCTCGTAAACAGGGGTCTCGAGCAAGGCATCGGATGGCGCAGAAAAAAAAAAACGCCAGTCCGGGCGGAGGCGGTCACCTTGACGTGAATGGATCGCCGGCGGCGGCTGCGGATTTGATTGATGAATGACGAGCAACAGCGAAATCGACTACTCTATGGATGCGATGCCGAATTGTGGATCGACGGATCGTTTCCTTCATGACAAGGCGAGTAGCCAGCAGCGAGTAGTAACGGCTCAAACGAAACGTCTAATGAGCAATGCCCCCTGCCATATTTAGCCTCGTGGGTTGGCCGCGTGCCTTTTGAGTTGACCCCGTCGTTGACTCGTTGGACGGCTTGTCGAGGTGGGTGGCCCGCTCGGCGGAGCCCCTTGTAAAAACCTCCATGGTCCATTCCGACTCGAGAACTCGACGCTCGATCGACTCGACCTATCAATCAATCAATTGTGTCCCGTCGCTCGAGTCCAGGCGCCTGAGTTGGCCCCGGACCTCACCGTCTCGGGCTCGATTCTTATCATGGACACATTCCCTTGGTCGTCATGGCTTTCACCGTCGTCTCATCCAAATTCCATCCTACCTATGCATTGATTCAACCCGTCAATCACCGTCTCGCGGTCCCTGCTGCCCCTCTTTTTGTGAGATGGGCAGAGCTATGCGGGGCTACGTCTGGTACGACGACGAGCGGTGGCTTTCTCAAGCGTTGCAGGACAACACAGCAGAGCATATAGGTAGCGCAGCACAGCGTCTTTGCACGCTGGCCTGGCGTCGCGACGACGGGTGCAGTAGGGTCGGCGACACGGCATCGTCGATCCAGTTCTGCTGGAGGTCCCGTTGAGACGGCAGGCCGGTTGGTACCTTACATTGCGGTCTGCGTGTGCGTGGACACGGCATCATGGTGGTGGTTAGGCGGCGACATGGAATGCCAATGCTTTCTGGCAGCCTCGGACCCTGCGGTGGGGGCTGCTGCCCTGTGGCTCCAGAGGACTCCAAGCCTAGCCTCACAACTGCAACTGCCATCCGCCTCGCTAGGTCCTCGCTCAGGCAGTGTCGAGTACGCGCGACAAATCGAGGTTGACGGTCTCGAGGTGAGGTGAGTGAATGAGGAGGAAAAGCATGTGGTTGGGAGATGGAGCATGGGGGCACGCGGGGTGGGGCACGCCTTCCCGGTAACCGTTCAATCGACGTCGACGTCGAAGCGCCCGGATGTGCTCCAGATGTGCTGCAGGTGCGTTACGGCACTTGATTGGCCACGCTAGCTGGGAGCTCTTTCCCGGGACGGGCCAATGGGCGGGCCGATCACCGTCCCCAGCAGGGATCTAATCGCCCTCTCCTTCCCGGCCCGCTAGCAAGGGAAGGGGTCCACTCCACCTTTTCTCCAACCTACGGACGGAAAGAGCTCAGAGCTGCCCAAGCCCAAGCACAGCTCTCAACGTTCACTCATGAGCATCAGCCTCTTGGATCTCTTGGAGCAGGATGTGCCTTGGCGCCGAAATGGCATGATGAGGAGGAAATGAGGGATCGGTTCACACGAAGCGAAGTGCACTTGCGTGCCTTCCTGTTTGGCGCTCCCAATGCCTCTCGTCATCTCAGGTCATTTCCGGCATTGTCCAACGGGTTTTTGGCGATTGATTTCTTTACCGAAGCACTTCCCTTGCACTTGCTGTGTAGATTCCCGCTCGTCACGAGTCACCCATGTCCAACTCACCCGCGCCAATGCCCGTCAGACCCACTTTCAACCTCTGACGAGCGTTGAGTGTTGGAAGGAGCAGGTGAGAGTCAGCAATTGACTCCAAGTATGAGTCTTCTCACGTTGTTGGACGTGGCGGTCTCTGGCTCTTTCCTTCTGGCATTGACTTGGTCGGATGTGGATCATTTCTTCCGTCCGAGTGTCTTGCTACGTACCCAATCCTCTCAACTCCGAGTCTCCTCCCGCATACACGATCTTTGGTTGCTTTTGCTGTACCCCTGGTCCATCCCGCCCATTGCTACCACACCCACACTCTATTCTACATATCCATTCGCGTATATCTCTTCTTCATTAAGCCCATGACAGCTCAGATCGCGCCTAACCACGTCACCTTGCTCATCTCATTTCCTTTGCCAGCTCTCCGCTTATAAGGCTTTGCTTTTCTTTACCGTCTGTCCAATCCATCACCGCATGGGTCTGGGATTCATGTCGGACAGAGAGCGCGGCTCGACCGCCATTGGGGCTTGTCTCTTGACTACCAGATCGACGATGTTTGCCCGGGGTCAGAGACTGAATCTCCACATAGATGCAAGTCGCCAGCATCATCCAAGCAACCTGCCTCTGTGGGCCATTGAGATGTTTGACCGACCTCCCCGAATGCCCGGGACCGAGGACCAACAGAGGCGGACTGTCTGTCTCATGAGCAAAGTCAACCATAGGGCTTGTCCTTGAACTCCCCACGGGTGGAAAGCCTTTATCCCGACGTTTGTCTCACCGGCAGGTGGCCAAAATGGGCAACGAGGCTTGCACATCCAGATTTAGCACCAACCAACCAACAAGCAAGTCCCCTGTCGAACTCACTTTTGCTTCTTGTCCTCGTCACCGCGCCTCAGCTCAACAAGCGCCTCGTACCTCAACCTCAACCGCTCGGTTATCCTAAAGAGGAGTTTACGGCATTGCGATCCTAGATACGGCGAATTTACCTCTGTCTCCTGGCTCTCAGCTCCCATGGCCAAGATCATGACCAACCCGGTGGTCCACTATTGCTCATAGGGCATCACACGACAACAGCCTCTCGGACTAACAACTGGATTTGCGTTGTCCAACGCATCAAGCTCTATATGCCGCGCCTTTCGTGTCAGAATATGCTAAACCGCCTTAAAACTTACTAATCCACGCGGCTACATGCTGTGGAATAGCATCCCTCTCGTGGCCAGCCCAAGCATCAGCCTGAAGTGCAGATACAAGTGGATTCCTCTGCAAAACCTCCCTTGCTGCACGCACTTAACAGCCAAAAGCACGGTGCGGGCCAGCGCCACTGCCTTGAAAGTGTTTTGTCCACCAAGCGCGAAATTGACGATCCCGGCGGACCGGGCTCGTCTTGTTCACGAGGGCTCCCCGTGATGCGACCTTGAGGTTCAAATGGCCTAGCAGACGGGCCTCGTACCCCACGGCTCATTGCTG